ACAGCATCATTTACCTTTCCGGTGTGTAAGGGTGCTGATTTCTCCACGTCTTTGCCAACGCTAATCGTTCATTTATATATGTTTTTAATTTTAGCTGTCCCAGTGGGTGTGAAGTATCTCCGTGTAGTTTTGATTTGCATTTCTCTAATGGCTAATAATGTTGAGTATCTCTTTATGTGCCTATTAGGCATTTTAATGTTTATTTATTTTAGAGGGTGGGGGAGAGAGAGAGCAAGAAAGAGCGCCGGCAGAGAGAGAGGGAGACACACAATCCGAAGCAGGCTCCAGCCCCTGAGCTGTCCACCCAGAGCCCAACGTGGGGCTTGAACTCACGAACTGTGAGATCATGACCTGAGCTGAAGTCAGACGCTCAATTGACTGAGCCACCCCAGGCGCCCCTCCTTTGTTTGCCCAGTTTCAAATGGAGTTAAATATCTTTTTGTTGTATCTCATCCACTTTGTTTTCTTTCTCCTCCTCCTCCGTTTTCTTTTTTGCCAAGTTTTAATTTAAATTTCCACCTTCCTTGATGTGGTCTCTTCTGTCCCGCTAGTTGTGCTAGTCTTCAGGTCGACTTTATGGTGTCGGGAGGGTGTGACAGTATCTAGCTGTGCTCTGGGGGAGTCGAGCGTAGGGCCCTCCCACTGTGCCGCCATCCTGGCCTGCAAACCCACACGATGTTTTTATTTTCTTAAGTTCCAGCAGAGGATAGTGCAAAATCCTGACGGTAGAGGAAAAGTCCTTAATGCAGAAGTACTCAAACCATAGTACGCGGCTAGTTCTCAGCTTTTCTTAGAAGTTCTTTCGTAGTGGTCACTATATGAGTCTAATGATTAGTTGAATGATACAGTGAATGTCTTACACATTTAGAAGATTTCTAAATTAACACACCCTAAAGCAGTTTTGTTCCAGGGGTGATCAAGGCCCATGATTTTTGCTGTCATTTTCTTTTTCCATTTGCCCCAAGCATTTAGTGGGAAAAGGATTTAAATCTATCCAAATATATCTTTATTTTTTGTGCTATAATTTTCATTGTTTCTAAGAGGAATAAATTTCTATGCTAATGTGATTGCACATTTCCTTTAATCAGCCTTACTGTGTCTAATATTTGAAAGCATAATGGTAGAAAAGTTTTTAGAAACCTAGTCCGTTGATGTACTTGATCTCACAGGTAACTTGTGAACCCAAATTTCCAGTTCCTAAATTTTCTTATTTATTTAAAAAGTTTGAATTATGGCACTCTGGGGTGGCTCATTGGTTGAGTGTCTGACTCTTGATTTAAGCTGTCATTATCCCAGGGTTGTGGGATCAAGCCCTGATTTGGGCCATATGCCTGCTTAGGATTCATTCTCTCTCTCTCTATCTGTCTGTCTCTGTCTCTGTCTCTCTCTCCCTTCCTCTCTCCCTCCCTCCCTCTCCCTCTGTCCCTCCCCTGCATGTACTCTCTTTCTCTCTCTTAAAAAAAAAAAAAAAAGTTTGAGTCATATGAGCTTAAAGACCCTGCAATAATACTTAAATGATTTAGGCTCCTGAATAATTCTGATTTTGTGTCTTATGCCAATTTAACTTTTTTTTTTTGTGGTAAAATATATATGACATAATTTACCATTAAAAACTTTTTTTTAATAGTTATTTTTGAGAGAGCGAGAAACAAGAGTATGAATGGAGGAGGGGCAGAGAGCAAGGGAGCCACGGAATCTGGAGCAGGCTCCAGGCTCTGAGCTGTCAGCATAAAGCCTGACGCAGGGCTCGAACTTGCGGACCATGAGATCATGACTTGAGCCTCGGTTGGACACTTAACTGACTGAGCCACCCAGGCGCCCCTTATTCACTATTTTAATAATCTTTAAGTACACAGTTCAGTGTCATGGAGTACATTTACATTTGTTTACATCTTGAGAACTTTTTCATCATCCTAAACTGAAACCATTTACCCATTAAGTAAAACTCCCCATTTCTCCCTTCCCTCCAGCCCCTTGGAATGACTCTTCAACTTTTTATCCCCACTGTTCAGTTTTAGTCTAGGTACTTGAGATAAATTAGAATCACACAACATTTGTACTTCCGTGTCTGGTTTATTTCACTTAACATAACGTTTTCAAGATTCATCTATGTTGTAGCATATGTCTAAATTTCCTTCCTTTTAAAAGCTGAATCATATTCCACTGTGTGGATATAACACATTTTGTTTACTCATCTGTTGATGGACATTGGGTTGTTGGTTGTTTCTACTTTGTGGCTGTTGTGGATGAGGCTGATTTGAACGTTGGCATATGGATATCCGTTTGAGTTTTTGCTTCCGGTTCTTTTGCGTGTGTACCCGGGTATGGAACGATCTGATCACGTGGTGATTCTGTGTTTAACTTTTTTTTTTTTTTTATCAACTTTGTTTTAAACTTAGTCTTTTGTGATCCTTTAAAATTGCCATGTCCCATTTATTTGGCGCCTGTGAGTTTGTGTTAAGAGGCATCTGTAGTAACGCTCATGCGGTATTCTGAGGAGAAAATGCTGGTGGCAGCACTTCGAAGTAGACTTTGTGTACCTGTAATGTGTCTATTTAAAACTGTACCAGCACCAGTGCAGGCGCACGCGCTGTCTGCTGGGTCCCAGGCGCCTTAGCCTCTCCCCGCCCCGCGCCGTCAGTACTGCCGCAGGCGTCTGCTGGTGGGTGTGCAGGGAAAGTAGGTTTAAGTCCCGCTTCCCTTGTTGGTTAGTGGCCTCCAGCAGCGTCTCCAGGGAGGCATATCCGAGTTTGGATTAAGGATGAGGACCAAAGGGAAGGGCAGTTCTGTGGCTGTGAAACCCAGGATCTCATGTTACACGGCAGCTGCAGCCCCTTCCCTGTTGTTGTACACGAAATCCTTACTGGAGTGTGGGTTTCAGTTATCTGTACTTGAGATTTGGCGAAGGGAAGGTGGGCCATTGAAGTGCAGATGGTACAGAACAGGCCGTCGACCTTGGAAAGATGGAATGGGCCCGGCCCGACTGAGAAATTTCCGAGGAAGGCCAGATACAAGGCTGGCGACCTGGAAGTGACACTCCACACACATTGCTGTGGCTTTTCTTAAGTAGAGAGAGAGGTTTGAAAATCCCTAGAAAAGTGATACTTTGTAATTTAAAAACGTATTTGCTATCTGCTGCAGTGCACCTTAGCCTTGAAATGTTTTTCTGTAAATCTGACTGTTAGTAAGGAAGTGTTGTCAGTCTGTCTGAGGGGTAAAGGGAGGAGTAGCCTTTCTAAAGGAAGAGGCCAGTGAGAAACCCATGTGAGAAGATGAATTGCTCTGGCCGTGCCCCTGTTTAAAGCTTGAGGTTGGCAGATTGCAGTTTGGGGTTTTGTCACCAAGAGGCCAGTTAACGAGACCGGGCAAGTGCCAGAATGGGGGACTTGACCAAGTGTGAACCAGTCAGCTGTCTCCTCCTCCTAGAAGCCTGCTGGGACCTCGCTGTGCCAAACGAAGGTGCCTTCCCTGAGCGCTGTGTGTCTGCGTCCCCCAGCCAGATCGAGGACTTCTTTGGGGCACCAGTGTCACATCTCACCCTGTATTCTCACGCCGAGCCTAATTGCTTCCTCACGGAGACCCTCCCAAAGGGTTGAGTCTTAGTGTGTGGCCCCCCCCCTCGGTAGGGGAAAGTCCTGTGGTTATTGGGGGTGATGTGAGTCAGAGTTTGGATGTGGCCGGCAACAGAGGGAACCGCTGCCAGATAGAGGTCACCGAGAAGATCTTGACGCTTCATGTGCTGTGCCAGGCTGCTTCCCGGCCTCGTTTCCTCAGCCCTGGTCCCTGGCCTCAGATTCTCCTGTTCATTCAGCAGCCCTCGATGGGGATATGGGGCTGTGGGGCTGACAGACGCGTGCGACTTATTTAATACAGTGCAGTGGAGGCACATTTCATACAGTGCGGTAGAGGCACAGCAGAGGTGCATGTGTGGAGAGGGTGTGGGGAGAGGCTTCCTAAAAGGAGGGAAGGTCCCTGTCGCCGGGTGGACAGTGTGTGAAGAGAGTCTGGGGTGGAGCAAGTCCTGGGAAATACGGGGGAGATCTGACTGAGGGAACCTTGTATCTGCTTGTGCTTTCTTCTCCCTCCCCTCCCCGCCCTTCTCCTCCCCATCTTTGTGCTAATCTGTGGAATTTTGTTTTAGCCATAAGTAGTAGGAGCCAGTGGAGATTTTAAACAGCCTAATGACATGATCAGAGCTGTGTCTTGAAAGGCAGGTTGACAGCCCTATAACCACGTAGAAGGTGGATTATGGGACAGATTCTGGAGGCAGGTAGATGGATTTGAAGGCATTTGCGGTTACAGTGTTGAAGCAAGAGATCAGCTCCTGTGTGTGATTTCCCGGATAGGAAGTTTCCAGAATAGGCTGATGCACAGAGACAGAAAGTAGGCTTGGTGGTTTCTAGGAGCTGGGGCGAGGAGGAGGGAGGGGTGCCTGTAGTGGGCATGGGCCTTGTTTCTGGGGTGAGGAGAGCCTCCTGGAATTAGATAGTAGTGATGATCGTGCCACTTTGTGACCGTACCACGGAAACCCAGCAAACCTTAGAGTCGTAAGAGTGAATTGGATGGAATGCGAATTACATGCCAGTTTAAAGGAGGGGGACCTGAAGAGCTCCCCGAACAGGTGGAAACAGCATGAGGAGGCGGGGCTGGGGGGAGAGACACTCCGCGGCAGAGAACTGGCAGTGCCCACGATGAGATCGAGGCTGGTGCTTCTAATTTGTATGATTGAGTTGATAGGGAAAGAGATTCTGGAAAAAGCAAGTTGCAGAGACATATAAAGTCATACAATAAGTTGTGTGAAATGTTTGCATCAAGGCGAGCAGTTAAAAGAAAGGCCAGACTGCAGGAGAGACTATGGGATAGAACAAAGACATGAGTGCCCAGAAGGTGAGTGAGGAGCTGATGGGGACGGTGTCTTGTCCCATCTGGCTCCTAACCTCAAAGCTGGTGGAGGTCGTTGTTGTTTGTAAATAAAGCTGAATCTTTATATTACTTTTCAGGCAGAGGCAAGGCTGGCAGCGAAGCGGGCCGCCCGGGCGGAAGCCAGAGACATACGCATGAGGGAGCTGGAACGGCAGCAGAGAGAGGTAATTTGCGGGGATCATGCTCGTTTCCTGCGAGAGTCACAAAGTCAGTGCTTGCTGGTTTCCCTCCTTCCTTCCCTCCCTCCTTCCTTCCCTCCCTCCCTCCCTCTCCTTCCCTCTCTCCCTCCTTCCTTCCTTCCATGTATTTATTTATTGGCTAGTTATCTTCTGATGAAGTAAATCTGATTCCCGTTGAAACACTGGGAATAGTATGACCTGATGTGTGTATTTTAACAAGCCATTCTATGTCAGCAAATTAAATGCAATATTTCCTTTAAATAATAACTGCAAGCACTTATACCGCTCTTGCTGTGTACGTTGTAATAAGTTGTCATGGTATGAAAAGTGCTTTGCTTGTATTAGCTAAAGCGAGCCTGGAGAAGACAGAGTTATTTACTATAGTCCCAATTGGCCTAGGGTTTTGTTTAATTACACTATGATATCTACTTAGTAAAACACTGTGAAGTCATTCAACCTTACAGTTGTTAAGCATATTTAATAACAGAGGAAAGTACTCATGTAAGAAAATTAAAACAACAACAAACAAACCCCACTTGTAAGACTGACTGGAGGACTTCCATCATGTGTCACAAAACCTAGTACCCATATATAGGGTCAAAAACTACTAGAAAGAAGTGATTACTATTAATACTTTGGTTTGTCAGTGGTGGGATTGATTGGTTTTGTTTTCTTCTTAAAGTTTTCCTATAGTTCGTAAATTTCAGTATACCTTTATCAGAAAGAAAAGCAAAAAAAAAAAAAAAACCCCATAGAAATTGGGCTGCTTTAAAATGAAACAAATATTCTTTTTTTTTAAATCCTTCCCTACTTGAGATTGACCTGGCTCTGAAAATTCACATAAAAAATACTTTGGGTGCCATATCGATATAAAGAGGAAAAAACTTGTAGGGTAGTATTCAACACTCTATTTTGATGTTGGTGGATCTTCTGCTAACGGGTTAAAGAGAAGTGTATAGACTTTATTCACAGACTCAAAAACACAACCGAAACCAGTTGATGCATATGTTGCTTTTAACTTCATGTATAGTCTCAAATATTGAATGCAGCTCTTGGCTTAAAATGAAAATGTTGCAGTGCATTGTCTTTTATGCTCCTAAAATTATAGCAAATTATAGGGAGATTGTTACTAAGTGTAAGTTCCATTTTCTCTAAACTATAGAGAGCCATGTATCTCTTCATTATTGAACATAGTTAGCTCAGTGATTTTCCGTACGTTGCATGTGTAGCTTCTGCTGAGGTCACGATCACTGCCCCTCAGGGCAGATGTATGGGATGGATTTAAGAATTTTCAGAGCATGCAGTGTGTTGGAAACTTCAGTTTACTAAACTCTTGTATTTGTAGCCCTGTCATTATTCCTTTGACCGGAAGTGGGGACAGATTCACCAGTGGCTGGTAGGCCAGGATCGCCTGCCTGCATGTCGTGATCGGTTGCTGAGATAACACAGTCTTGAAGGAAAACACTGACTAATAGTTTGCCAAGTAGGAGTGTTTGCATGTTTGGACCGAAAGGTCAGAGAGTGTCTCTTCTGTGTGTGGGGCACCGAATGGGTGCCGGGGGCCCGCCCGCTTTCTCTCGGGGTCTCCGCCTCACGCCTGTGTTGTGCGTGCACTTGACCAAGGACTGCGCAAATGGATATGGTTCCTTTCTGTGTGTTTGCTCTTGGCTCCCTCAGATTTGTCCTTCCTTCTTTACCTCTCTCCCTCCTCCTCCTCTCCTCCCCATCTCCTTCCTCTCCCCTCTTTCTTTCTCTCTTTTTTAAAAAACACTAGGCAAGAATTCCTCATGAGAGGTGATGGTCCCAGTCATTGTTTAATTTTCTGTGAAAATTACTCTTATGTTTTCAGTTCTCCCAGTTCCTTTGAGTCTTCTACCACCATTCCCACATTTTTAGTTACAGGAGCAAATTGAGAGCCAGTAGAATATTAGTACTTGGGAGTCATCCCTAAATTTGAACTGTTTACAGTGCTGGCAACCCCCCCACCTGTCTCCTGCTGCGGATTCTTACCCGGGATGTGAACAGGCTTGGGAGACGGAGCAGGGGCCTTAGAATCTGCAGTTTTGAATATATAGGTATTTTTGTAACATTTAAATTTTTTTACAATGTTTTATCCATTTCTGAGAGAGAGAGACACACAGTGTGAGCAGGGGAGGGTCAGAGAGAGAGGGAGACACAGAATCTGAAACAGGCTCCAGGCTCTGAGCTGTCAGCACAGAGCCCGACATGGGGCTTGAACCCATGAACCATGAGATCATGACCTGAGCCGAAGTTGGATGCTTAACCAACTGAGCCAACCAGGCGCCCCATATGGGTATTTTTAAGTGAGATGTCCACAGGTGTTATGATCACCAGATGCTCAAGGGAGTCTTTGATCCCCAAAGGGTTAGGAACCACTAATTGTTGTTAAACAAGACATTTTTATAAACAAATCCTTCTGTAGCAGTATTTTGAAGTTCAAACACAATTAAAACATTTATGACTGTGTTGATCTACAGATTTGAAACTCACGTTTCTCATGATATTTTAGAAAGGAGAGAAAGATGATGTTTGGTTACTTAAAATTAAGTGACTCCTCACGTATGTGTTTGTTACTTTGGAATGGAATCTACCTTTGTTACTAAAGCTAGCCTAATTGGTTTTATTTGAAGTGTCTTCTGCATGAAACTGGGCTCTCTTGCTGATAATACATTAGGAACATTTTGTGTGAATTAAGGACATCACTTTTGCCTACAGATTTTCCAAGGAAATATTAGTTTAATTTTTTAAAATTATATATTATAGTTCTAAAATTAAATTGCCTGAGATTTTATTACCTTAGGGCAGACCAACACATGAAAGAGGAAAAGCCTATATTAAAAGTCTAGTATTCGATTCTTATATTCGAAGGCCATGAAGAGAAACATACGTCTTTATCTCTGAGAGGTGTGCAGTTCAGGCAGTGAGTGCACTAGAGCGCCGCAGGCCGGGGAGCCCCGGGCCTGGAGGCGGAGCGCAGCTGGGGCTGACTGACTCCTGTCCCGAATGACGGCTGCGACGCGCAGAGAACATGCACTTCAGTTTCCCCCCTTCGCCCCTTCGGACACTGCTTTTACTCTTCTCAAACTCACTTTTCCTTTCACTTCTCATCTTAGCTCTGGCTGCTTTCTGTTTGCGAGCCTATAGTAGAAGTTGGCATGGGATAGTCACAACGTAAAATATAAAGAATAATAAATGTGTAATAAGCAAAACAGATACAGAAAAGTAGGATTGTCTGTTATCAGAAGGAAAAATCCTCCCGTGTTAAAAATTTCGCCAAATTTCAACACTTTGTGCGTGGGGGTGGGATGCTGGGCTGTGACCAGGGAAAGCGAGGGCACGGGGCTCAGGAAGGAAGCAAGCTCTGAGGGTGCCTCCGGGTGCCAGCGCCCTGCGAGTGCCTTTCACGCGTGTCCCCCCCCACAGGACAGCAGGCGCGCCCCCGTCTCCACTTCCCCGGGAAGGTGACGAAGGATTGGCGGCGCCAGGGTCCCAGGGTCGGGGAGAGCGCCCTGTCTGCCAGTGGGTTCGGAGGCGAAGGACCGCGCCGAAGGGGCCTCAGTCTGTGTGGGCCTCCGGGCAGTCCCAGCGAGGCCAGGTTTCCTCCGAGTGCGAGCTGGGTGTCTCCATCAGGGGCCTGGCGGTGACCCGGAAGAGAACGGGCCACTTCTGAGGTTTCCTAGCGTGAAGCCGAGGCGGTGGCTCTAGTCTTGACTTCCGTACTGCGTGTTGACGGAGAGCGCGGCCGGTCCCTTCATGGGGCTGTGGTCTTCTTTCTTACAGTGAAGTCCTTCACCCCCACATCAGGTGAACTTGAAAAACAGGCTACTTTTCGTTTCTACTAATTTAATTTAAATGTATCAAACCACTTTTCCAGAAAGCCTTGGACAAATACATATCTGTCTTCCCAGGCCTGGCCCCATTTTTGCCACCTCGGACCCTTTGTACGACCAGGGGCCCCAGGACAAGGAAAACGGATTGTCGCCCAGACTGTGGAGAGGGGTAGTCCGCCCTGGGGTTGGTTCACAGAAACAGGGTGCAGAAGTTTTCCGTTGGCCCCTGGTGCTGTTAGCTCAGGAAAGCCAGTTGACAGTTTACAAGGCTATTCTAGAAATACCTGGAAGTGAAGTTGGTTGTTCTTCCCGCGGAGAGCCCCTCAGGAGAAGGCAGACTACCTGGCCACTTCGCGTGTGCTCCTGTTACACAGTCAGTGTGGGTCCGGCCAGGACACGAGGGTCCCATGACAGTTCAGCGGTCTAGGGAGTCAGGAGAAGGAATGCTGGTCCCCGCTTTCTGTCTTTGAGGAGCCTTCTTGATCTTTTTTAGCGGCAATTTCCTTTACTTTAAAACGAAGGGTTCAGACTATAAAATCTCTCAGGACCTTTCTAGCACTTAACAATAATTCTAGGGTTGGTGCTAAGGTCTTTTCTAAGGGTTTCCTTCTCTTTCTCTTTTATTTGCCACTGTGCAGAAGTAGCCAAGGTCCGGGGCCGTAAGTTACAACAGCCTAAATGCCTGCCTCTTTATGTAAGAGTCGCGCTACATGGCAGCCTCTTAATAAAATAGGAGCTTTGTGTCTTTTTTGGTGTAATAAAAATTTGCTTTGAGTTTGCCTTACTGTTTGTCCAGTAACCACTGGCCATGTGTGGTTGCACTTAGTAAAATCTCATTCCTCAGTTGCACTTGGAGCATTGCAGGTGGTCCATACCCACGTGTGGCCGGTGGCTACTGCGTTCGACAGCACACAGCATATTTCCCTTTATCACAAAGCTCCGGTGGACAGGACTGGATTAACCGTATTCTCTCACATCATCCTAACTGGCCCGTATGGGTTTACATGCTATTCTGTAGTCTTCTAAGGTCTTTTTAGGCCATTTGTTCCCAAATGGGATTAGAAAGAAAGTCTGTGGAAGGTATTTTTATTAGTTATTTTTATAGTAGTGTAATTAAAAATAAATATGAATTGGGGCGCCTGGGTGGCTTAGTCGGTTAAGCGTCTGACTTTCGCTTAGGTCATGATCTCGCAGTTCGTGGGTTCAAGCCCCGCGTCGGGCTCTGTGCTGACTGGCAGCTCAGAGCCTGGAGCCTATTTCAGAGTCTGTGACTCCCTCTCTCTCTGACCCTCCCCTGCTCACGCTGTCTCTCTCTCTCTCCTAGAAATAAATAAAACATAAAAAAAAAAAAAAAAGAATTCATCTGTCTTTGCTGAATCTCTAATGGGCTGTCCTGTTTTTAGAGGTGGGTTTTAAAAAAGTGCTCCTGTGTGGTAGGTGGAATGAAAATAAAGGGCAAAGAAAGGGAAGCAAAAATATTATGAAAACAGGGTGGGCGGGGGACAAAACACAAGAGACTCTTTTTTTAATGTTTTATTTATTTCTAGGAGAGAGAAAGAGAGAGACAGCGCAAGCAGGGGAGGGTCAGAGAGAGAGGGAGTCACAGACTGAAACAGGCTCCAGGCTCTGAGCTGGTAGTCAGCACAGAACCCGACGCGGGGCTTGAACCCGCGAACCGCGAGATCATGACCTAAGCGAAAGTCGGACACTTAACCGACTAAGCCACCCAGGCGCCCCACAAGAGACTCTTAAATAGAGAACAAACAGAGGGTTACTGGAGGGGTTGTGGGAGGGAGATGGGCTAATGGGCATTAAGGGCATTAAAGAATCTATTCCTGAAATCATTATTGCACTATCTGATAACTAACTTGGATGTAAATTAAAAAATAAATTATATTTTTTAAAAAAAGAAAAGCGTAAAAGGAAGATTGAACATTAAACTATGTTTGTTGCCCTAGTACCCCAAATGAGACTGGAAAGGGGCAAGTAGAATTAACCTGCCTGTATAGTACAAGGTTCTTTAAAGCTAACTAGTCTAGAGCTGGTTACCACTTAATAAACTGTACCTACCCTTCTGGGTTTATGCACATGCCCCACAGAACTTTTGGGTGTGTAACCTGAGAGTCAAGGGGAGGAAAGAAATTTGCTTGGCTCTGCAGATTATATGTGTCGGTTCTATAAGAAAAATGTAAATGAGTGAAACTCCTAAAGGTCAGAACACCCTATTGGATATTGAATCATTGAATCATTCTGGTGCTTCCAGGCTTCTGAACAGATTTGATCACATGCATTAATGTACAAGGCAGGTGACAGCCAGGAGTTTTTGAAGGACACTGAACAATCAGGACCAGAATATGGCATTCTGGTGTGTCCGTCGACTCACTGTTTCTATATTTGAAATGAGTGCTCAGACATAGCAACATCTCTTTGTCCCATGTAGTGGTCATGCTAAGGGCCATGTGGCATCAAAGTACTGATTCATTTTGGAAAAGACAGTGTTGATTAGCTATGAGCCCAGTTGGACAGTTGCGTGTAGATTCTTAGTCATTGCAAATTACTTTAACATTTTGGACTTTGAAATTCTGAAAGATCAGAAGTTCCTTACTGTTTCAGTTGATGAGATTCTAGGGGACTAGTCGTTTGATTTCAGACTCAGGGCGTAATGCTCCAGTGCTAATAGTTGACTGTGGAAAAGTTTAGAATTGCATCCGATTTAATCAGCTGTTAGGCTGTGGTCATGGTTGTTGGTTTGCTTTGCTTTGTTTGTACCATCTTGAGATAACTTTTCCAACTCTAAAATATTTATTTAGTTTCTTCAACTTAAAATTAGTTTTTCATATTAACAACACACATTTAGTTATTCTTTTCCAGGTAGAGTGGTACCAGAAAACAAGAAGAAATTCTTTTCTGTGAGCACAAAGTTATGACCCAGATTTCTTTAGATCCTTAAACTGTCCCTGTATGCAACACTTCTTCCTGCCTTGCATAAATGAACATTCACAATGAGAAAAAAACAGATAAAAGTCTACTTTAACACTGAACTCTATTGTTTATTAAGTACACTTGCTTATTTTTATCTTGGTATATTGTGCTCTCATGGTCATATATCGGTTACATTCTACAAGTGGTCAGACATGCATACACTTATTAAAGTAAAACGATTTCCGAGATTATTTCTGCTTTCTTGTCGCCTGAAGCATGTGCCTGCCTCAGACCCAGCTGTTGAAGCTGAGCCGTCCACACCTGCCTGCTCTGGGAAAGGCGCTGCTGTGCCCTTAGCCTGTGCTCAGCGGCCGTGACAGACAAGCCTCCGTTCAGTGGTTAACTGTCCGTGTACTTTCTCCTTTCCCAGGAAGACTCCGAAAGGGCCCGGTACTCCCACCGGGCCAGCCGTCGGCGGCCGTCTCTGGTTTGTAACAGCTGATAAGTTTGCCCGATACTTTTCCTTGTTGACGTAACGCAGTCGCCCACTAACGTACACTCTGTTTCTTCTTATCAGGGAGTTGAGGATGCGCTGTCTGTTCGGAGTCTTGGCAGCCACAGGGTTGGTACTTAACGTTGTTTGTGCGGTGACGGCGGCTTCTGTGTGTGAGCCTCCCACAGCCTGCGTGACCTGACAGAGCTCCTATGTCCCGCTGCCTTTAGACCGTAACAAGGAAATACTGGCCAAGGCCTTTCATTGGCAGGGGATACTTTCTCTAAATCATTGCTATAATCAGTATAAATCAATTCTAAAATCACGCCTATCTTAATCTCTTAACATAGGTATTTACTATTTTTCTATAAAAGGACCTTTGATTTTGGAAAATTATCACAAAAGTAAGATTGATTTTTATGGAATGACATCTGTGTGGTTCAACTTTCAAATTTTCCTACTTTCATATTTTTTTTGAAAAGCAGTTTATTAAGTGGGTAATTGCTTGGGGCTTGGGTGACTAATGACAGTTTTATTGCATACAAAAGTTGAGCTACTGATTTGAAAAATTACCTGCTTATCATATTTATAGTAGTTGCCACACTTGAGTATTTTGGTTAATAGGTGTGGTGCGCATCAGCATCCTCGCACCAAGGCTGTGAGTCAGGGTAAATGAGGTTGGCTCATGGCTGTGAGTCAGGGTAAATGGGGTTTGCTCATGAAAGGCTGTGTCTTGTGTCAAGACGCTCCTCTCTTTTTAAAGAATGTGCTTCAAACCTTAAAGCAGCGCTGTTCATTTGTGCCTGGGTAATGTTGTGTATATGCTCATATCTGTTTTTCCTCAGTAAAACGATCTTTCATGTTGAGGTCTATATTGGTTAACTTTCCCTAAGTCTAGTTTTCTTGCTGTCTTGTATAGGATATAATAGCACTCTATAACCCACGTATGCTCTGGTAAACTAGATACTGATGTGTTTGTAATTCTTAAGTAGTCCTTTACTCTGGTTATAGTTCTCACTGGGGAATGTAATCTCCTGTCTTTTTACAGTAAGTTAGCAGACTTGTTTTTGAATCCTAAATATTTTCATTAATTGCAAAAGTTTAGATTTGTAAGAATATTAACAAGCCTTCACAGTAAACTAATCAGTAGCTTGAGAATGATTTTATAGGAGAACCATTTTTTAAAGATTAAATGAACTCATCCTGCTTCTCCCTGGAGATATTTTTTTTTCCTCTTTAGACAGTTTGGAAAGAATCTTACAGGGAGTTAGTCAACAAAAGCTTGAAAGTTGAGTGTTGGGGGCTTTGAAAAGAATCTCTCCCCACTTTTTAAAAATTTATGGCTTTTTGGGGCAGCTGGGTGGCTTAGTCGGTTAAGCGTCCGACTTTGGCTCAGGTCATGATCTCGCGGTTCGTGGGTTCGAGCCCCGCGTCGGGCTCTGTGCTGACTGCCAGCTCAGAGCCTGGAGCCTGTTTCGGAGTCTGTGACTCCCTCTCTCTCTGACCCTCCCCTGCTCACGCTGTCTCTCTCTCTCTCTCCTAGAAATAAATAAAAACATTAAAAAAAATTTTTTTTAAATTTATGGCTTTTTTCTTTGCTTTCCATTATAGCGTTCATAGTGTAAAGTTCTCATCATCAGTTATCCTCAGGCTGGTTATTTAAATTTCTATGTGGTCGCAGCCAAGCTTGACTATATATTAGTTACATTTGTTTAATATATAGTGAACAGTAAAACTATCTAAGTTTGACCTAATTTAGGAACCTTTAAAATGAATCTGCAAATAAGCACAAGAGGAATTAAATGTGCAATTAAACTAATAAGGAGTTGATTACCCTGAGTGTCTATATAGTAATGATGAGGATTTTCTTATTATGGAAATCATATCATTAAATAAATTTAAGATAAAAGTAGAACTTCACAGTATTTTATTTTGCCATGGTAACTGAAAATTTGCTATTGTATAATTTGGGAGTTTTGATATTTATCAGTTATTAAATTTTTTTTTAATGTTTATTTTTGAAAGAGAGAAAGAGTGAAGGGAGACAGAGTGTGAGCGGGGGAGGAGCAGAGAGAGAGGGAGACACAGAATCTGAAACAGGCTCCAGGCTCTGAGCTGTCAGCACAGAGCCCAATGTGGGGCTCAAACTCGCAGACCATGAGATCATGACCTGAACCGAAGTCGGATGCTCAACCCACTGAGCCACCCAGGAGCCCCCATCAGTTACTTTTTAAAACTTACGAGCTGTATATTAAAAGGTCTAACACTTCCGGACCTTGTATTGATGTATGGACATTGGCAGTACCTGGACTTGAGGGCAGACATATTTAAGGTTTTCTGCCACACTCTTAGGACTTTGATCTTCGTCCAGTTAAATTTCAGTGCTTTTCTTGACAAATGGCCAGGAGGTATTTGGGCTGGAAATGGTGTCCGTGCTATAGGCATTTTGTATACAAATAAAAAGAGCAAAGATAGTTCAGGACTAAGAATGGTTGGTTTGGGGAAAAGAGGATGAAATCAAAGCCCTGAGCTTAGAATTTAAAATCTGTTTCTTTCAAAAACTATCAGCCTTTAAAAAACATCTTAGAAATGCTTGGTCACTGCTTTTTATACTGAAATACAAGGAGACTATAAGGTAGACGTCCAAAATTAGAAAATTGAGATGCTCTTGAACTAGAGCAGTAGGGATACATGGCAGTTTCTTCCTGGTGCAGATTTTTACTGTTACATATATTAGTTCTGTATTTAATTACCAGTAGCCTTAGTGTAATTTTAATGAATATACTTTTAATATGCTTGCAATTTGTGTCTTTCATTTACTACTACACTGTTTAATTCCATGGAAGAGCCCATCGAAGGACATAACTGGGACGCACTGGAGCAGAGCCAGTACACCCAGAAGGAGAGACATCATGGTGTGTAGTTCAGAAAAATGTGCAGTGTTAATGTTATGCGTTCACTGCTGACTCTGAGAGTTCTGTGGGGGTGGGTAGTAGGTCTATCCCAATGGAAATTGACACATGCTGAACATTGTTTCCACAACTTGTTTGCTGTATTTCTTTTGATTTTGTTTCAAATGAAGACCCTCAGGTAACTTTCTGGGAGAGTTAAAAAAATTTTTTTTCTTAGTAGACCATAATAGCATTTTGGAAATATTTTAGCTAGAGCCCTTAATATCTTCAGTTCTCCTTCTTTGATGAATCGTTTGTTTTTAAACAACATAAACACCAGTTGGCGTGTCCTGGGCGGATTCTTTCCATTTACTCTATTGTTTTAGTAGCATTGGAGTGTCAGTTACGGATTTCTTACTAGATAGAGTCAACAATTTAAAAAAAACATCTGAACTCTACATTACATTTTGGGAAAGGAAAATTGAAACAGGTCAATTGTGATGCAACTTGTTAAATTCTCTGCCTTTGTAAAATGCCTTCGGTGCTCCAGAGAGGACCAGAAAACATAATACATGACTGTTGTCTTCAGTGAACTTACCTGGTCAGGAGGGTGGGATAGTTAATATGCAAGAATGTGTGATTCGAGTCATAACATAATTTTGTGATGGCATTCTCTTTTAAACAAAAAAGGTATTTTGTTGACTGAGTAAAGTCCTAAGTGAAATTTCTACTGAGAAGGGACTTTACTTTCAGGGAAATGTCACTCACCACACAGAGACATTTATCATTGCACATAATTTGCCAAATGCACACCTTTAGGCATTCTAGAAAATTTTAGACAGATTTTTTTTTGCACATATAATAACACTCTTTATTCCTTGCCTCTTCTGGGTCAGATTGCTTAAAAGGTATAAGCTAGAATGCTTAAAATACAAAATTAGGAAACCAGAAATCTAAGTAGTTAACTATTTAATTACGTTTCTTGGGTTTGAAATGTAGTGTTATGCTTTTTATCTTATTTTCTTAGAGTCTGTACATGAAATGTGATTTTTCTGGTTTTATCGTAAGTTTTATGTATTGTTCCTTTATTTATGCTTATAATGCCAGCCCTGTATGTATACTGTGCATTCTACACTTTGCTCACATTAAATTTCCAGTTTTGTCCAGTGTTTTTGGTTTTTAGTTTAGTTGAGAAAGGAGGTTTTCAGCTGTATGTCCACAGGCAGGTCCAAGGGAACATCCTACATTTTGATCCTGCATTTGTTTTTTTGTCAGCTTGATGATGTTATATGCTGTCACTTCATTGTTCGTGCCTCGCTTTGCCACGTTTCAAACAATGGGAAGTGATGGTAACAGTCACAGTAATAAGTAAAACATCTTTTAACTTCAGAATGCTTAATTCCCACATTTAAAGACTTTCTTAGGATGTTTTGTGCTAGAGTGTACTGAGATCGAATCGTCTCACCATTACTGATGAGGAATCCTGGATCTGAAAGAGAACATGCAGTTTTACATGTACATACAGTTTAGCAATAACTAGGGAAGTGTGGGTGGGGGAAAGAATGTTTTTTAATTCAAATGTAACAACCTTTGTGTATAACTTTGGGCTTTTAAGGTGTGCTGGGCTTTTTAAAATTAAGTTCTTATTTAAATTCCAGTTTGGATTTTTAATCTTTGCAAATGTTGCTTTTTTCCTCCTTATATCTCTGATTTTGGACTGGTACCTTTCTCCGAAACCCAGTATGATGCTCTCAAGGACAGATCATCAAGACTTCCGTCACTAGTATGTGGTGCATGACTTTGTGTTAAATGTAGAGTTTTTCTGTATAAATGCCTGATGATGCTAATCACAGATTGTGACTAACTCTCACAGGTTTGTTATTATGCTTTGGGGAAAGAATGTGGCCAGTAATGGAATCGTGGCATAATTTACCATTCGAATAATTTTTTCTTTTAGAATTTTAGGATCAGCTAACAATGACTTGCTTCCCTGTTCAGGACTAAGACTGGTAGTAGCTTCTTTTTTCAAAGTGATGAACCACGCAGCTGACACATGTCTGTTGCCCGGAAGACACGTTCCTGGCAGCGTTTGATACTCACTGAGCTATGGGCCCTGCTGTGTCTCGCTCTGTGTGCCCCAAGTCAGCAGGTGCGAAGTTACCAAACAGGAAGCAGCCAGCAGGGAGAAATGATGCCTGAAATGTCAGTTACGTTTGCTTGTATTTGCTTGATTTGGTTGGTTTGTTATGTATGTCATTTTAGCCAAGGAAGTTTAGTTATAGCATGTTTTCCTTAGGTTATGTCAGCGGGTTGCCTGTTTCTAGACCATGTAGTCATCTCTTAAAATGTTCAGGGTAACGTCTACATGGAAGGTTATGCGTGTTCAAAAAGAAGAGTGAGTGGACAGTCTCAGGATGGAGCTGTGCGTGTGTCAGGTGGTTTGCCGGGTGCACACTAGTGACCGCTAGAGCGCATCCCCCTGCCCCTCCTCGTTCAGATGCGTGGTGCGGAGCCATATTGGGTTTCTTATCTACCTGTCAGCCTGTGTGCCACTGTTTGTGTCCTTTATTCCCGGTATACACTTGGCTCTGTGCTCCTGGGAGAAGTTCTGTACTGAGACAGTGCTGTCTTCCTAGGACCTGCGTGTCAGGCCACTGTCTGATGATGCTGCCGCTCTGAGGGATGGTCCGGACCATGGAGGCCGTTCTCCGGAGCAGCACGTGCTGCGGGACCACTGACTTGGGTCAAGAGTACATTCTTGGGCGAAGCAATGTCATGTTCTTTCTCTTTCGGTCTTTTTTGGTTGATCCCAAAGGATTGCCTTCTGCCCTTTGGCTGAGGACGACCTAGAAGGAGGTGGACCCTCTTGTCACCCGTATCTTTATAAGGAAGATAGGACTCAAATAAGGGGTGGGAGAAATCCCCACAAACCCTCTCTGCCTGGCTCTGAGTCGTGATTGTATCTGTTTTAGCCGGTTGCACGTGGAGCTGGATGGTGCAGTGGGAAAAGAGGGGGTTGCAGACGTGCAGAGGTGCCGGAGATCTGAGCTAGGCAAGGGCAGTGACTCATTTACTAACATCCGGGAAGTAGATTGCATGGGGGCTGCTCTGTATCTCATACGCATCTTTCTCTGTATAATTTTAAAACAGATTTTGTGAAGTTATTGTTAAAGCTTCACTATATAATCATTAAAGTTAACTTGACGTGTTTATTTCCAGAACCATTCTTACAGTCACTCTTACAGGACGAAGAAGAGTTCTTCTGGTTCTCATAAAGACCCACTGGTTAGTTGTGTTCTCTCATGTCCCACGGTCTTGTGCTGCTGTGAAAGTTACTGATTACTTTTAGGGAACTTAAGAATTATGATCGCAACTTTGGTGTGCCTTAGGCATTATTGAAGTTTGATAGCGTACCCAAGCATGATTATTCAGAATCTTATTTGAAAGTAATTTTGTTTTCACTTCCAGGATCTAATATCAAGTTAATACAAGAAGTTCCTTCACCACCTGTTTTCATTTATGAACTGTCTTTTGGTATATACTTCAAGAATATGTTTAGTGAGATTTTTATCCTTATTTTGGAAATTTGAATTCATTTAGTTGTGGTATCACAGGCAATACCAAACTCACAAATAGGTTTCATTCTGAGAGTTTGTAGGTTAAATTTTGGGAACATGGAGTTTTCCAGTAGAAACTATGAAATATGTGTTAGTACAGTTCTGTGCTGTTGTGCAGAGAACTCCTGAGCCCGTTATGCCATGAAGCTACAGAACTGTAGTGCTCCGTCCAGCCACTCCCAGCCGCTTCGCTAGACAAAGTGTGTCCGGAATGCCCACTGGGGTGTGAGGGACACCTCTTCCTGTTAGGCTGCCCCAGTCCTGGCAGGAAAATCCGTCCCGGGTTCCCTGCTACCTGGTTCCCGTGTAAGGGGCTCTGACGCTCGGGGGGGTGGGGGAGGTGGGCTTTGGCACAGAGGAGGGGGGAGAGGACATCAGTGAGAGGTGGAGGGTGGAGCACTGGGACCGTGTAGTGCAGGGGGGCAGGGCCTGGAGTGGCAGGGGCTCCGCGGGAGGGGGGTGGGCTCCCCCCCGACCACCCCCCCATTGCAGAGTTGGCAGCGTAGCAGGAGTCTTTCAGTCCGGGATTGCTTACATTTCCTTAACTTCCACGTAAAGAAGATGGCTGGATGAATTAGAAAGAGGATTTTGTAGATGATTTTCTCTTCGTCAGGTAACCACAGTCTGTAAAGTGGCTTATTTTGCGTAGTGTTTTGACAAATGAACTTGGCATAGATATTTTAGGCCGAGCCTATTTAGTAAACACTCGCACTCCGTCTTTGGTACCTTAATTTGATCAGTTCATTTTGACAAATAATGGGATTAGGAGAAGTTTGAAAACAAAAAAGACTTTACTACTTCCTGTGGCCTTGCCAGATGGATTATAAAGTGGTCATTATTCAGTTGTCCTGGATTTTTAAAGGATGTTACCAAGTGGGACAGGAGAATAAATCCCTTTTTATTTCTATCCCGTTTTGACTGAGGGTTTATGCTCATGTTTTTAAAGTAAAAAAACTAGTAAAGGCTTGGTTTGAAAACACTTAATCTTTAATATTAGTCTTTTTTGGAGACTTGAGATAATTACTATTGTAACTTAATGCAGTTCAGTGCTGCAAAGTCATTGTTTCGGAGGAGAGGGGTTGGCAATACGGAGTCGCCTCCGCGCATTGTTAACAACGTTTAAACCAAGAAAAATGTTTAATTGTACTTTTTGCAGAGCGGCCTCTACTTTGACCAGAGAAGCTACAGCAGCCTTAGACATAGCAGAGCCCTCCCCGCCTACCACTCTCGGGTTTGTCTCAGGCTTGTTGGCTTTGTGTGTTTTGTTTTCCCACTTGAACACCCGCGATTTCTAACCCGCGATTTTGCATTTTGACGGGGTAGAACTAATCTGTTAATGGCTGTGTGCCCACTGGCTTGTGGTAACTGAACTCGTAGAGTCTGTGTGAGTGTCTTTATACGACAGGAACTGCTGAATCACCGTTGTGCTAAATACTCACTTTTTAAAATGAAAACTACTTAACATGTAAAAACGTTCAAAGAATTGTATAGCGACCATCCATGTGTCTACCACTTAAGGAGTCTACACTTAATATTTTGCTATATATCCTTTATCATATTATTGTCTGTCCATCCATCCATTGATCCATCTTTTTGGGGGGATGTATTTCAGAATAAGTTGCAGGCATCAGTACACATCATGGTGAATGTCTTTCTAATGAAAGCTTACATGTAGGATTTAAACTGTAAATGGGGTGAGAATATAATTATTTAATGTCTGAACTCTTGTATTTTTTCAAGGAATCTGGCACATCAGTACACTGAAAAAACATTAAATATACAGTGCATAGTACATTTAAAATAATTCATTCGTCAAAACCTGCACACAAAACTTATTCTGATTTGCCCTGTCTGATGGGCTTGGGGAAAAGAATCGAAAATTATATTTCTAAATGACATTGGAAAAAGAAAGATTGAATTCCATTTTAAGAAGTGCTGTGCCTTGTCAGTTGCTTTGGATTTGTTGCGACCAGTACAGTTTATCTGATTAAACTAAGGCTTGTTTTGAAATACTGGTTTCTAATCTATTTGGAAAATGGTGTTTGCAGAGATGGCTTGGAGCTCATTTACCTGGTTCCTCAGCCATCAGGCTAAGTCCATTTGGAGTCTACTGTGAGGTCACAGAACGTGGCCCAGGGGCCATGTGCCACCTACCTGGGTGTGGCCACCCTCGTCCACAGACCCGCGCCACAGCCCTCTTTCCTGGAGTGCTACCTCCTGACATTACTGTTGGAAGCCCACCAGGACGTAAACACATTTATAGAAAACTATTCCAGGTGTTTTTGTTACTTATCCCTTAAAATGGGTATTCACAGATTTTTTTTTAATGTTCATTTTTGAGAGAGAGAGAGCGCGCACAAGCAGGGGCAGGGCAGAGAGAGAGGGAGACACATATTCTGAAACAGGCTCTGGGCTGAAAGTGCGGTCTGACATGGGGCTCGAGATCATGACCTGAGCTGAAGTCAGACGCTTAGCCGACTGAGCGAGCCACCCAGGCGCCCCTGGAAAGGAGTTCTGATGACGAAGTTGTGCTCAGCTGTGTGTTACTGAACTCAGCACCCAGGAATTGCTAATAAATTATGGAGTGTAGAATAATCACTGCTTCTGCTTTCACGATAGAGAGACCAGTTCTTTTGTTTTGCTAAATTGTCTTGTTCTGTTTTTTCTTTCTTGACAGTCTTCTTCCCTGTGTAGTGAGCCTCTGGCGACGTGGAAGAGTAACAGGGTTAGTACTTTCTCAGCGGTGTGTTGCCTTCAGAGGTACCAGTTGCTTTTCTTTGGGTTAAATCCTGCGCTTTTTCTCATAGGCCTCCTTTACTGCAGATTCCGGGCTGCTGAGAAGCACCAGTCTGGTGCGTACTGTCCCTTCCAGTGTGTGTGCTGCCCCCCCCCGGGGGAGGGGCGCTGTCCTGGCGCCTCTGCTCCACGAGAGTCAGGGACACAGGCTTTCCTGCCGAGCGCCCTGCGGGATGTGCTGCCTGCGCTTCAGATGCAAAACCTGCGGCGGTGAAAAAGCCCCTCCTTTCCAAGGGTCCTGTAGACACGGCGGACTTCGTGCCGCACCCCACCCCCCCCCATGCTCGGTGGGACGGCTGCCCGCGCACGGCTCTGGTATTTCCCGTGGGACAGCTGCGGCGCCCGCCACGGCGGGGCTGCGTCCGACACGCAGGCTGACCGGAGAGCAGGAGCCGTGCGCCGCGTGACGCGCCGTGGCCTTGTGCTTCCCAGCGGCCGCGCGCGTGCCTGTGCGCGTGTGTGTGCGCGTGTGCGCGCCGTGGCCGCTCTCGGGGGCCCTCGTTCCTTCTCCGCGCCGCTCCCTCTCCGGAGGGAGAGCACTCCTAAGCGTTCCTCCTGGTTTCGCGGCCGGGGGGGGGGGGGGGGGGGGGGGGGGGGGGGAGACCCTGTCACTGCCGAGCGTTTGGAGCCGAGTGGGAGCGTGGCGCTGTGGCGCGGGGAGGCCGGCCGTGACGCCGCCCCGCCCGCGCTCCGCTGGCGTAGCCCGTGGACACGGCCTGGGACCGGAGTGCTGCCCGGAGCCGGGACACTTCCAGAACTGCCCTGATGCTGGAGAGGGATAAGTGGCGTTTTCTCTGTTCTGTAGGTGTCGCTCTATGGCGGTGGATTGTATCCCCCTCACGGGGCTCGAACTGTAAGTCCAGCCGGAGGGGGGTGGTGAGGCGGGTGATGGGCAGGTGGGCACGACTTACCTGCGAAGCATAGGCGCTTCACCCGGCCCGCGGGTGCCCTGTAAGCCGAGCCCCGGGAGCTGCCGAGTGTGACCCTCGCGTGCGCCGGAGTCCCGGCGCCGGGGGTGAGGGAACGCAGGCCGAGGAGCCCCTTCCTGCTCGCCCGTCCCTCCGGGGAGGGTGGGGGCCGTGCCCCTCAGGACACCCCCGCCCCTCTCACCCTCCTGCCCGGGGCTGGGGGGCGGGGGGCGGGTCCCAGACCGGGGAGCGGCGGTCACCTTCCCCGTGGACGCCGGCAGCCGCTGAGGGTGCCGGGTCCCTAACGTGTCCCCAGCAGGAAGGGGGCGGCACCGTTGTAACTGCCTTCCTCCCGGGACCTTCACAGCCGTCCGAATACAGCTGGCGCTCCTCGAGGACTAGCTCGGCCCGAAGCAGCCCCGTGGTGAGCGCCGCCTGGGCCCCGCGCGCCGCGCCTGGGGCTGGGAGGCTGCGTGCGCAGGCCCGAACCTGGGGGGGCCCGGGGGGCACCTGGGGGGCCGGGGGGGGGCGCTGCGCGCTCCCGTGCACGGCTGTCGTCCTCCCTCAGCGCACGCTCGCGTGTGCCGGTCGTGCTCGCCGGTGCTCTGTGTGAACGTGGCCCCGTACGTAATTTCTGAAACGAGTCCGGACGACGTGTGGCGTGACGTCTGCGAGCGTCTTGCCTCTTCAGCGGGGGCGATGCCGTAGCAGGCCTGCCGCCCCTTCCCCGCTTCCCGCCCCGGCGCTTTCCCGGCCCCCCCCCCCCCGGGGGTGGAGCGGGCTTGGGGGAGCCAGTCCGCCGCTAGAAACCGTCACGGGAAGGCCCCAGCCGCGACGCTTCTACTCACCTGTTTCTGGAGTATTAAAGCATTTTTAAGCTCTGACAGTAGTGGTGGCTTCAGGAGGTCCACGTTAAGGGCCCTCCCCCGCGTCTGTTCCCCCCCATGCAGCCTCCGGACTCGTGTAGCGTTCGGAGACCGCCCCGCGCGGATGTGAACACCTCCTGTGCCTCGACTTGCCTTCTTTACATAAAGCCTCTTGTATCCGCGCCTGAAGATTTCCTTCATTTTTTTTCTTTGGCATTTAAAAGATTTTTTTTAGTGTATTTTTTTTTTAAGAGAGTGAGCGCGTTGTGCATGAGCAAAACGAAGGGAGAGGCAGAGACAGAGAAAGAGAGAGAGAGAGATAGTCCTAAGTGGGCTCAGTGCTGTCAGCCCAGTGTAGGGCTCAGCCCCACAGACTGAGATATCACCTGAGCTGAGATCAAGAGTTGGGTGCTCCGGCCACTGAGCCACCCCAGGCACCCTTGACGTTGAAAAGATTTTTAAAAAGTAAATCATGTTCCGGGACGCCTGGGTGGCTTAGTCGGTTAAGCGTCCGACTTTCGCTTAGGTCATGATCTCGCGGTTCGTGGGTTCGAGCCCCGCGTCAGGCTCTGTGCTGACTGCCAGCTCAGAGCCTGGAGCCTGTTTCAGAGTCTGTGACTCCCTCTCTCTCTGATCCTCCCCTGCTCAAACTGTCTCTCTCTCTCTCCTAGAAATAAATAAAACATTAAAAAAAATTTTAAAAAGTAAATCATGTTCCTTATTCTACCAAATGCTTTTTGGAGATAGTGTTTTTCGTCAGCACGTCAGCAGGTCTTTTTAATGACGATGTACTATTCCATTAGTGCATGGATTGTACATTTCTTTTGGAGGATTTCTTGGATACATTTTATTTCTTGGTAGGGGTATTGTTTTTTGTTTTTAATTGGACCCTAGTTGACACACAGTGTTCCTTACTTACCTGTGTACAGCGTGGTGATGCGACCAGCCTGCCCGTGGTGCTGCGTTCACCACAGCACGTCTCTCCCCGTACAGCACTCTGTAGCTCCCCTGTTCACACTCTCTGTGCTCTTTTACCCTTGTGACTCCATCATCACGTAACTGGAACTTTGTATTTTCCACTCCCCTATCCATGGACGTTTAGGGTTGCGCGATTTGTTACCACAAACACTTGCATAGTGGACTCTCTTATACAAGTATATTTTTGTGTATGTATGAGTAGATCTCATATAAGGGAACTTGTTAATCCTAAAATGATGGGGGTATATACATTTAAATTATGATGTACATTGCCACATTGCCCACCAAAAAGACTGTACTAAGTTTTTTTTCCAGTGGCAAAGAGTGACTTGAGGAACTACCTTGTTATTCTGGACAGTGTCAAAATTGGAGAAACTACTTTTTAAAAAAATTTTTTTGAGAGGGAACATGCAAGCACGTAAGTGAGGGAGGGTCAGGGAGAGAGGGCGTCAGAGGATCCTAAGTGGGTTCTGTGCTGACAGCAGAGAGCCCGATGTGGGGCTTGAACTCACGAACCATGAGATCATGACCTTAGCCATAGTCGGTTGCTTAACTGACTGAGCCACCCAGGCGCCCTGGAGAAATTATTAAAGTAGTTTCTTAATGTTCAGTACAGATCGCTTTGTGGAATGGAGTAAGTGAACTATATTAGTTTTCTTTTATATATATGTTCAACTCTGTTCTGCCATTTCCAAGTGGCAGTTCTCAGGAATTCTACTCCCATACTTAACAAAAATGTACACAGACATGTTTCAGGAGATAAAGGCTTTTGATATAAGTAGGAAGTTTACTTTTACCTTACTCTGTAATAAAATTCCACTTGGCAGTTCTTGGGCCTGGTAGCATTTTTAATGTACCAATGTGATGAGCCCTTGCAAACAAAGTTATAGTAATACATTTTCAGTCGAGTGTAGAGCCTTGTCCTTGTGTGCTGCCTATTTGCTATGTGATTTGCATGTTGAGTTCAGAGTCATTATCTTAGTGATGCCAGAATAGTTCTTCAGTGACGTCAGAATGGAGGTAAGCTTCACACATGGAAGAGGAGTCTTCTAGGACTGGTGAAATAGGAAGGAAACTGTAGGGTGATGTTAGAAATAGCTCCACTCATTGCCTAGGAATGAATAAAGGAAAATAAGAATCATCATTTCAGTGTCCTTGCTGGTAGGAAATTCTGTCTTTGACTTATGTATTATTTCCCTTGAAGATATTCTTAATATTTTCTCTCCCAGACTGAAATATTAAGTACACTTACTGACCACTGATGGGATCCCAAGGGGCCTAGAGGTTTAGAAAGCATGAAACCCCTAACTGCTTTTGAGTGGTCTCTTTATGCCCCAGCCCTTCACTCCTGCCCTCTTTCCTTCTGTACCTTCAATAAAAGATAAAGTAGTATTTTATTCTGTGTGCTTTTTGGAAAATACCTTTTGGTCTTCAGGGGTAGTTTATTGTGCCTTGAAGTCACTTTTCTATTTGATGGTGCCCGATAACGGGGTGCCCGTGATAGGCTTGTGTGCAATATCTGCATGCTTCTCAGAACCTTCCCCAGTGTGCTACAGCCAGGTGAGACCTGCAGTGAAGTCGCACCGTCTTCATTATCTGTTTTTACTGTCTGTAGTTTCCCGACGATGACTGTGCAAGCATTGGGTCTTCTGGTCGTGCCAGTCCTGGGCGAAGGGACAGTGTGGTGAGCGTGGTTTGCATGCAGACATGTACCGTGAGCTTTAAAATTGCACCAGTGTGTGATCACGTGAACTCTACTAGAAAGTGAGATTTGCATTTGACAAAATGAGCATTTTCTTCAAATTTAGTTTAATTGAATAATTTGCCTTCGAAAATGTGTTCCGTGAATGTGCGTTCTCTGTGGGCTGCGAAGGCTTTCAGTAATAACTTGCCCCTCACACCTCTTACGTGCTAGTCTGCGTATTTGAAAGATTTACGCTTTTTGTTCTCTGTTGCCGTTTTATTCATATGCATTTGTGTGCACAGTTCACAAACAAGTTTTTCAAAGCAAAATTAATGCTCTGCTCTGTGTAAGACTTGTGACCGTGGATTGCAGATCATGTCAGTTGCTTTCTTTGCTGAGTATTTAAGATGCATTGTTTATTATTTATACATCTTTTAAGACCTGTGAACTTTTTAGGAGTTGTTGATGGCAAAATTTAAAAATTCCAGTCTTAGAATTCAACTAGCATAATAATTGTAGAAGCAACATTAAATAGTTAGGGGAGACTACAGATTGAATAATTTCAGATTATTCTTTTGATGAAGCTGGGAGTTTTACAGAGAGCTGATGACATTTTTGCTATATATAAGAATTGATTTGGAAATCATATCGGTAAGGATGGTATGTCAGCTTAGAGCTAGAAAAAAGAGCCATGTTTTGTGAAAGATATTGATAAACATGAAGTTTCCATAGAGAACGGGACCACCAAATGTTTGTGAGATTTGTCGCCAAGAATGCAGCCATCTGATGAAGGCAGGTGTGGTCCACTGCGAGCCAGCTCGCGCTCATCCGTCCTCCCAGGCCAGGCCGCCCGGAAGCCCCTGGGACAGTGACGGGGTGGACAGGGCAGGGCCTTTAAAGTCACGAAGCCCGGCTCTGAGCCCCCCTCCAGCCCGTCGTGTTAGTTGCGGCTGATTTGTGACGGGGATGTTAGTGCCCGTCTGGTAGGCAGGCTTGGCGTGCGCGTTGAGGGAGTTGCTGCGCGCACAGTCCTGGAGTCCGCGGGCGGTCGGACGCCGTCCGGGGCTGCGTGTGCTGCTCTCCCCGTGAATAAAAGCACGTCTGCTGCACCGCGTCCGCCCTCAGCGCTTCTCGCCGGTGAGCGCTGCGGTCTGTGGGTGGTGCGCTTCCGGATCCCCTCGCCGGAAGGGAAGGGTTCTAAGCCGGGTGGTGGGGCAGAGCCCGAGGGCAGGAGAGCGGGGGCGGGCGGGGCGGGCGACCCCCGCCCTCGTTCCCGCGCTGAGGGGCGCGTGCTGGGAGGGCCGCGGTGAGCCCGGCGCAGCACGGCTCCGACTTCGTGGGCTCGCGTCCCCGTGAAGGAAGTAGTAAGTGAGAAAGCAGAGGAAGAAAAAGAAAGTGACCCCCGGAACTGTGACGAGAAAGGCAGGGAGAGGACAGGGAACGTGAAGGGACGCACGAGGGTGTCCGAGTCCCCTTGGGTGGGGCGATCAGGGCGGGCTTCCCCGGGGAGACGACCCGGACGAGACTGGAAGCGGCGGAGGCGGCCCGAAGAGCTGGGAGCGCACCTTCTAGGCCAGTGAGAGAGTCTCAGGTGGGGAAGACGGGGTGTTGGGAAACCGGGAAGAGGCCGGTGTGGCTCTTTCCTTCTTTTGCCCCACAGGCCCCTGGCCTTGAGGAAGGTGAAAGAGGGGGAAGTGTAGAACCTGGGTAAAAGGGAATGGATACCCTGCACTAGTGCCGCGTCGCGCGTGTAGGTGCTTCACGGAGGTGATGGCGTGTATACGGAACTACACCTTGTGAAGTGACGGAGAGGTTTGTGGCAAATACTCTTCTAGAAACGCCCGCAGCGAGGACGGCGTGTGCGCTGCGCGCGGGAGCCCTGGCCGGCGCCCCCGGGTGGCTGGCGGAGGGACCCCGAGCCTGGCTCCGGGGCTGTGGTTTCGCTCCGGGGCCTCGGCCGTTCTTCTCTGTTCGCAGTGTGTTGACTGCAGTCGTTTTCCTCAGTTCATGATAGTTTATGAAGCACCCCAGGGTTTCCCCTCACACGCCGATGTGCTTGTCCTTTCCTTCTCCCTTTTCTTAACCTTTAAAGCGTCTCATTTTTTCCGATTGAAAGGTTTCTGCCGCCGATTATTTCGGTCGCTCCAGTCGTAGGGCGAGTGTAGTGTCCGAGGCGGATGACGTCGGCACCCCAGATGGGACCCGCGTGAGTGTACCGCATGGAGGGGTCGTGCTGTCCCAGGCTGTGACTAACGGCTGACACCTCCGCTGTTTGAATGTCAGAAACTTTGTTGTCGTGTAACATACAGTTACTAGTTTTGGAATGGGTATATTGGTGTGCTCTGACATTTTAAAAAATTTTTATTAAAAATTTTTTTAAAAATGTTTTATTTACTTCTGAGAGAGAGAGACAGTGTGAGCAGGGGAGGGGCAGAAGAGAGGGAGACAGAATTGGAAGCAGGCTCCAGGCTCTGAGCTGTCGGCACAGAACCCGACGCGGGGCTCGAACTCATGAACCGTAAGATCATGACCTGAGCCGAAGTGGGACGCTTAACCGACTGAGCCCCCCAGGCTCCCCGATGTGCTCTGACTTTAAAAAAAATTTTTTTCTGTGAAAAATTTCTCCTGCAGAAATTATCAACAGCTTCAGCTATTATTAGTAATTTGACAATTTTACTTTATTGTCCTTTCCTTTTTTTCCCTGAATTTTTCAAAAAGCAAATCCATGTCATTTCCCAGTAGTTCAGTGTCTGTCTCTAATTGCAAAGTTCTTTTCTTTTTTTTATGTTTATAGATTTATTTATTTATTTTTTTTTTTTAAATTTTTTTAATGTTTTATTTATTTCTGAGAGAGAGAGAGACAGCATGAGCGGGGGAGGGTCAGAGAGAGAGAGGGAGATACAGAATCTGAAACAGGCTCCAGGCTCTGAGCTAGCTGTCAGCACAGAGCCTGACGTGGGGCTCGAACCCACGAACCGTGAGATCATGACCTGAGCTGAAGTCGGATGCTTAACTGACTGAGCCACCCAGGTGCCCCTTTATAGATTTATTTTTGAGAGAGAGGAGTGGGGCGGGGTGGAGAGAGAGAATCCCAAGCAGGCTTCGCACGTCTGTGCAGAATTCGACAAGGTGTTTGACCTCACAAACTGTGAGATCATGATCTGAGCTGAAATCAAGAGTTGGATGCTTACCCAGCTGAGCCCCGCCAGGCGCCCCTGAGAATTTCTTTTTCATATTCACTCTACCATCATCATACCTAATAAAAGAAATAGTTCCTTGGGGCGCCTTCTCTCTCTCTCTCTGCCCCTCCCCCGCTTAAACTTCTTTCTCTCTCTCTCTTTTTCAAAAATAAACATTAAAAAAATTTAATTAAAAAATTAGTAGGAGCAGGGAGAGATTTTTTCCTAAACTATCAAGCTTTTCACTTCTGTGTAGTCACTAAAATAAATTGCCAAATTTGTTTTCTTAAGCATTTATTTATCTTTAAGAGACAGAGAGCATGAGCAGGGGAAGGGCAGTGAGAGTGAGACACAGAATCCGAAGCAGTTGTCAGCACAGAGCCCGATGCGGGGCCCAAACCCATGAACAGTGAGATCATGACCTGAGCCGGAGTCGGACACCCGACCAACTGAGCCACCCAGGTGCCCCTCTAAACAACTCTTTTATTAAAAAAAAAAAATTTTTTTTAATGTTTTATTTATTTCTGAGAAAGAGAGAGTGTGAGCAGGGGAGGGTCAGAGAGAGAGGGAGACACAGAATTCGAAGCAGGCTTCAGGCTCTGAGCTGTCAGCACAGAGCCGGACACGGGGCTTGAACCCATGAACCGTGAGATCATGACCTGAGCCAAAATTGGACGCTTAACCGACAGCCACCCAGGCGCCCCTCTAAACAGCTCTTTTAAATGACAGTATCAACGTGTATTTATAACTAAAATGCTCTGTTTCTATTCTATTCTAATAAAATTCAGTTGTATTTTACCATTTTAGTCAGATAAAATTATCTGTCAAACTATGTAGCCATATGTTTAAATGAAGTTCAAAGGGCCTCTTAATCAGAGAATGAATATCAGAGAATAAGTAAGTGTCTGTCTTTTAAGGAGAAACAAGAAGTTTCAAGGATTTGACAAGGTATGTATTTTAAGAAAATTTTAACATGTGCTAATTTCAACAAATATTCAAGGAGTTCAGATTTAAAGGGAAACAGTGTACAGTCTGTAAAGTCAAAGCAAAGCATTTTCAGACATCCTCACATTAATAAGGCAAAGGCTTTTATCACTGAAATGTGGGAAAGATTATATTTAATTTTGTTTACTAGTTGATAATTGAAATTCTTTAAGAAAATGTTGCTTTAAAAAAATTTTATTTATTTATTTGAGAGATAGAGCATGCGTAGGGGGAGGAGGGCAGAGAGAGAGGGAGAGAGAATCCCAAGCAGGCCTGAAATCAAGAACCATGAGATCATGACCTGAGTAGAAACTAAGAGTTGGACACTTACCCTCTGAGCCACCCAGGCGCCCTTAAGAAAATACTACTTTTGAACTTAAGCTTTCAAATTGGGATACAAAGTTTGCCACCATGCGCTCTTCTTTTCACATTAATACTAATATGAAATATTGCAAGCGTGTTCGCTGACTTTCAGGTTCCAACTGCCAAACCCCTTTCTTGATTGGAAAATTACCTACTTAATTACTTAAGAGTGCAATGACACAGTGTTTACTTGAAGTTTTTTGAGAATAGTAGGCTATAGTTAGCACTAATGAGCAAGTCCTGAGCACCATATTAGGGAAAAAAGCTTTGCTTACTGTTTTTTGTTTCTGTTTTTGTTTTTGTTTTTTTTTAATGTTTATTTATTTTTGAGAGAGAGAGAGAGAGACAGAACATGAGCAGGGGAGAGACAGACACAGTCTGAAGCAGGCTCTGGGCTTTGAGCTGTCTGCACAGAGCCGGACGCGGGGCTTGAACCCACGGACCGTGAGATTATGACCTGAGCCAAAGTCGGACACTTAACCGACTGAGCCACCCAGGCGCCCCTGTTTTTGATATTTTAATCTACTTTTTTATTAGCCACTTTTTTTTAGCACTGTGATTTATTTTTAATATTTTTTCTATCTCTAATTTGCTTATTTTACAGGATTGTGACCATATAGTATATATAGCCACCGTTTTCTGAATTCTCACTTACTAATCTTATAAACATTTTATATATTAGTGCATATTTGTTTTCCATTGTTACTTATACACAACAGTTTTTTATCAGCTATTGTCACCATAATTTGCATTAGATCCTCAGACCTTAGTCGTCTTACAGCTGACAGCTTGTATCCTTTTCCCAACCGTTTCCCTATTTTATAATTAAGTATATTATACATGATTAACTTTTATTCCATTTAAAAGCCTTTTCAGGATCTGGCAGACTCTGGGTCATCATTGTGAACATGAGCTTGTCATTGCGCTGCAGCTGTGTAGACCTCCTGGTCTGCGGGGAGCCCCTGGGGCTTTTAGAACTCCAGGTTTCATGGAGCTTTTTGTCTGAATGGGGGAGAGCACGTCATCCAGCACAGGTCTGAGGAGACAGAGCTGGAGTCTCTGGCCAAGTCACTGCAGCTCAAGTAACTGGGCTGCGGCGTCGCCTCTCTTGGCATTTTTGCTGCCTTGACAGTCCCGAGGTTTGACGCATGGTCAGTCTGGGCTGCGACAGCTGGGCCCTGTCAGAAGACAGTGGAGGCAGTAGAATCGACATTGCGATGGACTAGTTCAGTGATGCAGCCTCTGAACTGTAAGATCATTCCAAGTTGACTCTTAAAAAATGGGTGGGTTTGGGAGTTATTTCTGTGAGAGGGGACATGAACCAGGATTTTAGGTAGACCTAGAGGAGTGTTTCTGAATGTTGCATGTTTTCTCTTTAACTCCTTAGTAGAAGAGAATTGGGAGGTACTCTGAGGAAAATGAGGCAGTTTTATTCAGACACAAGGTTTCTTTCACTCTGAAGAATAACAGTCTGAAGAATAAGAAGGCAATGTGTTTTTTACTAGCATAAATGTGATGGAAGGTTATTCCTTTTTGTGGCGGTAATCATCAGTATTCAAACCTACTGTCATTGCTTGTTTGTTTTACAACATTTTATGTGTGATTTAAAAAAAAAAATCAAAACTAAAATCAGTTCCTTAAGAGTATTATTGTAAAAAGTGGCAAAAAGATCAAAGTCTATAAAGTCTAACATAAATATATTATTGATAGAGTACTTTTTAATTAAGTAAATGCCTTTTGTTCTAAACTGTTTATTATATAAATGCAGAGAAAAAATGAACATGATAAATGTGTGCAATGAAAAAGGACAGAAAAACTTTAAGATGTTCTGAGAAAATTAGAGTGAAGTGATCTGAATAGTGCCAGAAATAATGGCATTTTGTGTTTTAATAATTAACCGAAGAAAGTTTTTAAATCCTTTTTCTAGATTGAGCTGAGAGGGTTGGCCTAGGAGTTGGAATCTGGGTTGATTTTCATTTAGTTAAACCTGTGACTTTTTCCCCCTAATAGTAATTGGGATAGTAAATAATATGAACACAGGCTTTAAAATTCACAAAACTGAGATCTGGTAGTTGTTTAGCTTTCAGGAAGTTCTTTCGCCTCTGAATTTCTCCTCATCTGCGAGGTTGGGGTTTAGGATTAGACTTGTAAGGTACTTCTCTTTACGAAACACTAATAACTAAGGCCTATCTGCAAAAGATAGGGTAACTCAGTTACACCATGTCCAGATAATAGGACACTGTGCTGCGGTTAAAGTAAATGAAGTCAGTCTTTAAGTACAGATGGGATAGGATTCATTTCCTCATTCACCCATGAAGTTTTTGTCCTTCTGTATGTCAGGTGCTATTTTTGATGTTGCGAATACAGAAATGAACACGTAGACATAGAGCTTACATTAAAGATAAAGAGATCAGGCAGTCAATAAATTAATAAATATCATGGGGTCAGAGATTAATAAGTGCCATGAAGAAAATGAAGTAGTTTCTTTAATCCCTGAAATTTGGTAAGGAGAAAAAGAAGATCTAGAATGTATTTGAGGTGTTAACCTAGAATTTGTAAAAGCCTCGGTGGCTGGTTGTCCTTGGATCAAGAATTGAAGGTCAGGACGTGGTGGAGTAAGGAGAAAGGCATACTTCGCACACCCTTTGGGGCTGTTTCGTTTTTTCTTTTCTTTCTGACATATGTGCACACATTGCTTAAAAAAACCCCAAAAAACAAAAAAGCCAAAGAACTGAATCCCTTAATGTTGTAGGGAAATCTTGTTTGATGACACATTTAACATGCTCTAAGCCAGTGGGGGCTGTTTTTGGCCAAGTGTACTGGTCTTATCTATGTGTCCTGTGTCCTAATAATGTTTAGATAATAAAGCTTTTTGGCTTTTGGTTTTATCAGACTTTTCCTTTTGATGTGTATGAAGTTTTTTTTTCTTTTCTTTTTTTTTTTTTTTTTTGGATTAACATTTGCAGTGCTAAAACTTAAGTGTATATATAATTTTCTTTAATGTGTTTCAAATACCATGAAAAGAAACTCTAAAAGTTCTAAACTTGTGCACAAGGACAGCTTGCTCACTGCATGTCCATCCTTAGAGTTAAAGGTCTTGACATTTTGTCTTATGTGTCTTAACTTTTATTTCAGTTTTAATATGTTTACTTTTAGGTTCCAAACAGCAGTTGAACTTGGAGAATTCCACTGTGGTTACTTCTTTTTTTCCTCTTAAAAAAAAAAAAAAAAGCCTGAGATGCTAATAAGCATCTTTCCTGATTTTTATCTCTTGTTCTTTTCTAGTTGGATGAAAAATCTGACAAACAGTATGCTGAAAATTACACAAGAGTGAGTATATAAATTCCTAAGGGGATTACATTCTCAAGGTCAGTTGAACTTAATTTCGACTGCTATTTCAGGGTTATACTACATGTGAGCTGGGGGAGCGGCTCTTCCTTTCTTCGTCTACTTCCTGTCCCTGGCCCCCCACATTCCTCTGAGGTTGAATCCTGTGAAGCACTGGGAAGAGAAAAGACACTACATTTTATTTGGTTGAATGTCACTTATGAAGCTTCTGGCTGCTCTAGAGATTTCCATTCCCTCTAGACGTGGGTCCTGGGAAGAAGCCATTAAACACTGAACTACACAGGAGTGTAGTGGCGGGGACAGACTCGGCGTTTTTGTTCTGGTGTTTGTTTTTTTCCTTAATAATAAATTTTTTTTTGAAGTAAAATAACTCCTTCCTAGGAGTTGTTTTGTGTTAAAGTCTCTACCTTCTAGAAGTACTTTTAGAAAGTAATTTTAGGAAAATTATCAGGATTAATATAATGCTGTATCCAGTTTTGTCCACTAGGAATACAGTGCAAGCCACAAACGTACCCCCAATAAGTAAGTTTAAGTTTTCTTTAAAAAAATTTTCTTTTAATGTTTGTTTTGGAGAGTGTGAGGCAGGGGAGAGGCAGAGAGACAAACAGAATCTGAAGCAGGTTCCAGACTCTGAGCTGTCAGCACAGAGCCTGAGGCAGGGCTTCAACTCATGAACCACAAAATCATGACCTGAGCCAAAGTCGGACGCTTAACTGACTGAGCCACTCAGGCGCCCCAAATTTAACTTTTCTGGTAGCCTCATTAAAACAGTAAAAAGCAACAGTTAAAATTAATTTAAATGATATATCTTATTTAACCCAAATAACCAAGATATTTCAATGTAATTAATATGAAAAATCATTGAGATAATTTACATTCTTTTTTCCACACAAAGCCTTTGAAACCTGGTATGTATTTTACACATTTAAACCAGTTGTGGGATTCGCAGCCTAAATTCATGGTGATGCACAGTTTGCTGGAGCTGCAAATTTTGTTTCTGACTTTAGCAGTATTAGAAAAAGAAAAGATTGTAAAGCAGCAGCCTCAAGACCTCAGTAGGAGGACTGGTAATTAGCATACCAGCTATAAATCCTGAACCGTTTTAAATTAATCTCGTGTGCTCAGTATTATTTACAATATAGCAAAGATAAACTTAGAAAGCAGCTTGCACACAAACCATTTCCTTTGCCATGATGAGTTCTAGGCCCCAGTAGCGTGTGGGCATGAACGCAGGCCCTTCTCTGGACCCCCTTTCCCGAAGCCAGCCTGTGTTGTCCACTCGTCTCATCCACAGGTGTTAGGGTCCCCCCCCCCCGCCCCATTTTTAGCCCCCACGGCAAATGTCTTGGTACGGAAACAAGACTTAGATGTGTTCTCTTTCTCGTTGTCTAGCCTTCGTCTCGGAACTCCGCCTCGGCAACAACGCCTCTAAGTGGGAACTCCTCCAGACGGGGGAGCGGAGACACCAGCAGCTTCGTAGATCCAGATGCCTCATTGGGTGACTTGCGGGTAATCCGCGATCTTTGGTTTGCTTTTCACAAACAGGTTTTCGGCTTCTTTGTCGTATAGGACACTGGAGCTGTGTAACATTTAATGGGACTTTGTAGGAAGGAAAGGAGTACGAGTTCTTTAAAAAGTATTTTTAAAAGACAGTTCAGGAATGTGACTCAGATCTGAAAGGAAGGAGATTAGTTCTTTTTCTGTTCTCTTTCTTGAACATTTGATGATATTGGAATGAGATCTGCTAATTTACAGATGCCAAAAAAACTTGTTAATGGATGTAAAAGTAATTCTCAGAAATAGTTGGTCTTATTTTAAATGGAAAATATGAACAGGATTCTAGGACTTGTCGGTCTTTTGAGCCATTATGGTATTATTTGGCTGCTTGAGTATAGTTATCTCTCAGTTTCATGATAAGTGTAGTAATATTTGGGATGACAGAAATACCTGAGTCGAGTCCCCTGGGTTGGAGTTCCTGTTCTTATTAACCCTTTTATTGGAAGGAAAGATGGGGGCTTTCAAAATGTATTTGAATGTCTATTTGCTAAACTCGCTATTTGTGAGCAGTGGGGGAAGGGTTGTAATAAAAATTGCGTTCATGGAGTCATTCATTCACCATTTATTGAGCTGTTGGCCCCAGAAATTTAGGCAGTGAAACACACTTTGAATTTCAGGAGTTCACGGTGTCATAGGGAAGATAAACTGATAGAAATCAGTAGAACTAAATCATGTGATACTATGTAGTAGCAAGAATAGGGTTGTTAAGAGAATTCAGAGAAGCATCGGCTATGTTGGACTAGGGGAAGAGGTAACAAAAGGCTTTTCAGAGGAGACACCCTCTGAGCTAACATATGAAGGAAGAATGCAAATGAATCAGGCAAAGAAGTTGGAGGAAAAAGGCTTTCTGAGAACTTCAGAGAACCAGAAGTTTCTCTGAGAAGTGAGGAGGAGAGGCGAGTGAGAGGGAAGACCGGGGAAGTAGTCGTGGGCTAGAGCACAAAGCATCCTGTATGGTGGCCTAGAAGGCGTTGGGGTCCCCCCCGACAACTGTGGGGTGTTAAACAGGGGAGCAAGAGTATCTGAGTTGCATTCTTAAAGAGGGACCCCAGGTCGGAGGAGGCACCGGAGGTGAAGGGAGCGGTAGTCTGTGGTTGAATAATGAGGATGAGATGAGTAAGTCAGAACAGCGATGAGAAGATGCAGGAAGCTTACTCTGAAGAGAGTCCTGGGAGACCCTGGAGTTGACTGGTCAGCAGCAGAGAGAGGAGGTTAAGGGAAGGTTTTTGTTTCCTTTTAAAGGCGGCCTTGATTATTATTTTTCTTCCTTGGCTTGAGCCAGTTGAGAGAGAACAGGAAGGCAGAGCAAGGAGAGGGTGAGCAGGGTGCCTGAGAGGGATCCTCGGGCGCAGGTAGAGGGGGGCCAATGCAGAGGTCCCACCTGCTGACACCGTGGGGGGAAGGTGGGGACTGGGGTACTGGGTCATACTGTAGTCAGGTAGGAGCGAGAATTGGGCTTACGGAGTGGGCGGGGGTTAGAAGGTGGAGGGGTTGGCAGCAGTGGCAGTGGGAAAGGGGAGCTGACCCAGGCCGACGTGGAAGGACTTGGAGGGCGTCTGTATTTCTCACGCTCTTACTAAGTACTCGGCATGGGAGCTGGGGGTGCAGCGCTGAAGATCCGCTCTTGCGTTCAGTGGGACAGAAACGGGCACCAGGCCTTCCGGCCTCACAGCGCAGCCTGTGCTGGCCGCTTCCTTGTCTTGCTTCTTTGAGAGAGTGACTCCTGAAGGAAGTGAGAGTTTTGTATCCTCACGCTGGGCTGTGGCCTCTTGATGTGTCTGTGGAATAAAAGACAGACCTGCCGAGGAGGAAATGAAGAGGGCGGGGGAAGCGGAGCAGAAAGTGCGTGTGACGGCCTCTGAGAACTGGCCCTGCCTGCGGGGCCCCGGGGGCGGGGCGCTCCTGTGCCGCCTGCGTCCCGCATCCAGGCTGGTGTCTGGGCAGGGCCGGGCGCAGGGAACCTGGATTTTCCATTTAAAATTTGACCTGCTATCCCCCTGATGATTATGGTAACATTTGGAGCAGATGCTCTTTTCTCATCATTTAAATGTCAGTGTTTCGCTTCCCTCCCTTTACTTTCTTTCTCCTAAATGAATTGTGATTAGTAATGAAGTCCTTGAAAGTTTTGTTTGTTTATTACAGTTAAAACTTCTGGATGAGTCAGTAAAATTTGCTGCTTATAATTAATTTAGTACATCTTTTACTGGTTCAGGTGAAGCATTATGTTAAAAATTATTATTTAATGTTAAAAATTATTTAAATGATTTATAAAATTTTTGAATTTATACGTTAAGAACATTATAATCGATACAGCCTTTTCCCATACACAGCTCCATCCCCCTTTCCAGGGCTGTTTCAACACCAGTTCATGCCAAGAAGATATTTAACCCTTTAGACCGATTACCCCAGGCCTCCCCAGCCCCATTATCCCCTGACCTATTTGCTTTGTTCGGTGGTTTTAAGTGGCAGTTACGTTTGTGCACTTTGATTTTCCTGCTTGTGGTCTGGGATATGTGGAAGCAAGGCACGTTTTCATCTGAACCCTTTGAGACTTAAGGCGTGTTTGTGCGTGGTTTTATGCAACAGTTCATTCCTATGTCCCGCAGGACATCTATGACCTTAAGGACCAGATACAGGATGTAGAAGGGAGATACATGCAAGGGCTTAAGGAGTTGAAGGTATCCGGGCGCGCCGTGCCGCCCCAGCATGCTCTGTGTGCAGGCGGTGGGGTGATGGTGTTCTCGCAAGTTCTGCTAACCCCAGAGCACAAGGCTTCACTAACTGCTTGTCTTTCTAGCATGTGCTTAACCCGCAGCGCATAGGGGAGGTGGACTTCCAGTCTGCCACTGTCTCCGTGTTTAGCATGGTGTTTGGAACGTTCAGTAAAAGGTGTTATACCTCAGAGGTGTTAAACTTTGCGAGATACTTACATGTCCCTACGCCTTAGCCACACAAAATAGAATTGGGCAGTCTTAAAACATATTCTGAGATTATGGTTTTCAGTTGAGAATTAGACCTTAAAATCCTTCCATGCCAAATAAGAGAGTATTGCCTATTTCTGTCAACAAATTCAGTCAGCATTAAAGGCAGGCGGAGGAAGCATCTAAGAGGGCATTCTTACAGGTATTTCGTAAGGGGGAAGGAGCCTGAGGTAGGAGACCTGTGTTTTCATTTTGTTCTTTGGTCTCCTGCTCTTCCTTTTCCTCCTCCTCTTGTTCTTCACTGTGGCTCAAAGAAGATTACACAGACTCAGTGCGTTAAAGAATTTGGAGGTAAATTGAAATGGGCCTTAATCTTTTCCAAGCGAGTATGGCTACCAGCTCTCGATAGAAGTGTCCATATGAGACAGACGTTTTGGTTGTAAATGGTGCTTGGTTATCATGCTCTTCCCCGTGTTTAATTATGAAGTTCACATCTAATACGAGGAGATTAAGTTTCTCAACACGTGCATGGCCCTATTTGAAAAAGAACTACGCCTCGGGTCAAGATGCATAAGGAAGGCATTCAGAAAGATGACTCCGGACAGGCCCAGGGGGCAAAGCGTGGGCCTGACGGACAAGGCTCTCAGCAGCCTTCCTGGCGAGATGCGAGGTAGCCCAGTTACCAGTCCATACCTTCCTGTGGGTGATTGCTGTCCAGAAGAAGCATATGGTTAAGACTCAGGACCAGACAGGGTAGGGGGCCCCTGGAGAGTGTCTGTGAGGGAAGCCTGGAGGCTGCTGATCCGGCCAGCCATGTGCGGGGGTCCGCCCGCAGGGGAGTCCCAGGGCTGCGTGCCGATGGGCCGTGTGCACACTCTAATAGCTCATCCTCAGAACTTAATCACCTTTTAAGATTTTAGAGATAAGACTTTTGGAAATATGTTGGATCAGGGAACAAATTAAATATATTAAATAAATACACTCCTATTGAAGAGTAATAAGTAATATAACGTACCAGGAAAGCAAGCGATTCAGAGTTTTTATTTATTTCACACATTTTTTCTTACATTTTAGATCTATCGTTTATTATGTTCTTTGAAGGATACAAAAGAACAGATTAAATTTGAGACTGAACAGATATAAGATCCCTTTTTAAGAGGAAAAAAAGCAAAACTGTATGTTCCTCACGTAAATGTTAACCATGCTAAGACAAACTGTAAGGAATACTTTAAATATACCCATGTTCAGTGCAGCAGTGTTAAGCACACCCAGAGTAAAGGAGAAGTTACTTAGTGCTGTACAGTGATGTGCCCTGCTTTATTGTATTTTTAGTTTTTTTCATTTAGAAGAGGTTTTATTTTTATTTATTGAAGTAAAATTAGCATGTAGTGCCGCGTGTGCCTGAGGTGCACAGCATGGGGGTACGGCAGTTCTGTGCGCTAGTGCTCGTGCTGAGTGTGCTCTGAATCCCCTTGTCTGTTTCATCCGTCTCCCTGCCCACCTCCTTTTCTTGATTCGTGGTCAGCATATAATTGAGCTTGACTTCAGGTTTTATTTGTCCTTAAAACGACTTTTTTAAGTGGGGAAAAAAAATCATTAAAAATAAGTGATCTGAGTTGTGATCAAGCATACTGGCCTGATAATACCCATACATGTCCTATTAAAAAAGAATGCTGGTCATTGCTTATAACCTTCTTCTTCTTTCTCTCTCTCTCTTTTTTTTTTTTTTTTTGAGTTTTTATTCATTTTATGAGAGAGAGAGAGAGAGAGAGAGTGAGTGAGTGGGGGGAAGGGAGAGAAGGAAAAATCCCGGGCAGGTTCTGCATTGTCAGCGCAGAGCTCAGTGTGGGACTTGAACTCACAAACTGTGAGATCATGACCTGAGCTGAAATCAAGAGTCGGACACTTAACCGACTGAGCCACCCAGCTGCCCCAAATGAGGCCAGATTTAAAAGGAATCAAACGTTGGCTAAAACCTGTGTTCAGCAAAAGTTATACTTTTTCTTTTTTTTCTTAAGTTCTAAATTTTTTAAAATGTTTTATTCTGGGAGAGAGAGTGAGAGAGAGAGAGATGGCGTGAGCAGGGGAGAGTCAGAGAGAGAGGGAGACACAGAATGTGAAGCAGGCGTCAGGCTCTGAGCTGTCAGCACAGAGCCTGACGCGGGGCTCGAACCCACGAACCGTGAGATCATGACCTGAGCCAAAGTTGGACGCTTAACCGACTGAGCCACCCAGGTGCCCCAAAAAAGACCTTTTTAATGCCAGTAGCCTCTAAGGTGGATCAGAATCATTCAAAATTCTGTATTATATTAAGATCCTACTCTGTTTAAACCATTATACAATTGACTCTGCTCATATTTTTTATTAGGGTTATATTTGTTCCCAACCTTGGTGTAAATGTCACCTGTGAATGCAGTTCTACTTTGTGAACCATTTGTTATTGTGTGTGTGGGTGTGTGTTTGTCTAGATTGAGATGTACCTCACATACTTGTAAAATTTACCCATTTAAAGTCCCCAATTCAAGTGGTTTTTAGCATAGTCATGGAGTTGCACAACCATCACCACAGCCCAATTTTAGACCACTTTCCTTATCCCCAAAGAAAACCCTGTCCTAATTAGCAGTCATCCCTCAGCCTTCCTCTTCCACTTCCACACCCAACTCTGGGTGACCACTAATCTTCTTTCTGTCTCTTGGATGTGCCTTTTCTGGACATTTCATACAAATGGAATCTTATAATATGTTGTTTTTGTGATTGACTTTTCATTTAGTATAATGTTTTCAAGGTTCATCCATGTCGCAATGCCTCTCTGTCCATCATCTGTCTGTCTCTGTCATGGCCGGTTAGTATCGCAGTATGTTTCAGTTGATGGACATTTGGGTTGTTTCCAGTTTTTTAGCTGTTATGAATAATGCTGCTGTGAGCATTTGTGTTCCAGTTTTATACTTCTTCATTTCTCCTGCGTAGATCCCTAGGAATAGAACTGTGGGGTCATATGGTAACCTTATGTTTAATGTTTTGAGGAATTGGCAAACTGTTTTCCAAAACAAGTATACTATTTTACACTCTCTCCAGCAGTGTATGAGGTTTCTGGTTTTTCCATATCCTCACTAGCACTTTAATCTTGTTTCTCTTTTTTAAATTATAGCCATCATAGTAGGTTTGAAGCGGTATCTCATTGTGGTTTGGGTGTGCATTTCCCTAATTACTAACGATGTTGAGACTGTGTTCATGTGCTTCTTGGCCATTTGTATATCCTGTCTGGAGAAACCTCTGATCACATCCATACCCATTTTTAAAATATGTGTCTGTTTATTGTGGTATTGTAAGAGATTTTTATGTATTTTAGATACAAGTCCCATATCTGATGTAAGATTTACAGATATCTTCTCCTACTGAAGGAGTTGTCTTCTGTTTGTTTATTTTCTTGATGGCATTGTTTGTAGCACAGTCTGCTAAAGACCTTTCTGTCATTGATTCTGCTTTAGGTATTGTATATAAGAAACCATGGCCTACTCCAAGGTCATGAAGGTTTAGAGCTGTGGGGTTTTTTTTGAAGAATTTGATAATTTTAGCTCTTACATTAGGTCTCTGATCTACTTTGAGTTAATTGTTGTGTGTGGTGTGAGGTAGGGGTCTGACTTCAGTCTTTTGCGTGTGGATGTCCAGTTGTCCCAACACCATTTGTTGAAGAAAACTAATTTTTTAATGTTTACTTATTTTTGAGAGAGAGAGAGAGAGAGAGCGCGTGCAAGTGACAGGGAGGGGCAGAGACAGAGGAGACAGAATCCCAAGCAGGCTCCAGGCTCTGAGCTGGCAGCACAGAGCCTCATGTGGGGCTCGAACCCATGAACCGTGAGATCATGAATGAGCTGAAGTCAGACACTTAACTGACTGAGCCACTGAAAAAACTATTATTTTTTCCTTGAGTTGTCAAAAGTCAGTTGCTCACAAATGTAAGCAGTCTGGACTATCAGTTTTATGTCATTGATCTTGGTTTGTTGAACATTTACATTAGTATTTTAAAAATTTATTCCAGGAGCGCCTGGGTGGCTTAGTCGGTTAAGCGTCCGACTTTCGCTTAGGTCATGATCTCGCGGTTCGTGGGTTCGAGCCCCGCATCGGGCTCTGTGCTGACTGCCAGCTCAGAGCCTGGAGCCTGTTTCAGAGTCTGTGACTCCCCCTCTCTCTGACCCTCCCCTGCTCACACTGTCTCTCTCTTTCTCCTGGAAATAAATAAACCATTAAAAAAAAAAAATTTATTCCAGAAGTGATGACTTTTTCTATGTGAAATGTTTTTTCTTTTTAGCTTTAAAAATTGTTACTACGTAGTGGTAATCTACCAAGTCAGATACAGTTATTAACAGATGGAATTGGGAGCTGTTTTAAGCCGAAAGCCTTGCGGTATATAAAATTTCAGGCGTTCCGTGGTGGCTCTTTTTGTTGTTGCTCTTTTTAAAATCATTTATGTATTGCTTACTTATTTATGAATGACCAGAATTTGAATAATTGCTAGAAAAAATGTTTATACGTTTACATTAAAATTATTATGCAGAACAAAGTACTGAAAACAGATGTCTAGGAAGTAGCAACATTCAAATGAAGATGAAGTTTCCTTGTGCAGAGAGAGGCTGTATTATGTTGTGTCATTGCATTCTGGGGACTGAAGAGCTTGTTAAAAACAAGAGTACATTTCTGCAAGCATTGACGGTTTTCATTTTATGACTCTTAAATAGATGTGGTCTGCATACCTTTTCATCTTTCAGAGACTACATTGGTGCTTGATTTTGTTTTCTTAGATAGCAGAGAGCATATAAAGTTCTTATAATGGCAGAATTGGCTTATTACATCCCTTCCGTTTCACGTGCATGTGACTAAACATGGAGGCCCCAACTGCTTGTATTTTGCAAACACGCATCTTCATGTGTTGGTGCCAGTGCTATATTTCATGTTGCATTGCACATAAGCCGTGAACATATTTTAGGTACCAGGCTGACGGCTTTGGCTTTTCATTTAGGAATCTTTGTCTGAAGTGGAAGAAAAATACAAGAAGGCAATGGTGTCCAACGCACAGTTAGACAATGAGAAGAACAATTTGATCTACCAGGTGGACACCCTCAAGGATGTTATTGAAGAACAGGAGGAACAGATGGCAGAATTTTATAGAGAAAATGAAGAAAAATCAAAGGTAATTGTTCATCCTTTATCATCTCTTTCTCTGGGTCAGAAAATTCGAAGCTGCCATTTAAAAGGTGCTGCGCTTGATGGCGAGTGCTTCACACCTGGAGCCGAAGCTTTGCAGGAAACTGACTGTTCCGAGGAGGTTGACAGGCATGATCTATCAGGTCCTAAGATATTTTCCTTTTTATTTTTATTTTTTTATTTTTTTAATATTTTTATTTATTTCTAGGAGAGAGAGAAATGACAGCATGAGCAGGGGAGGCAGAAAGAGGGGGAGTCACAGACTGAAACAGGCTCCAGGCTCTGAGCTGGCTGTCAGCACAGAGCCCGACGCGGGGCTCGAACCCACGAACTGTGAGATCATGACCTAAGTGAAAGTCGGATGCTTAACCGACTAAGCCACCCAGGCGCCCCGATATTTTCCTTTTTAAAGTTTTATAAAAATCTATTGAATTTTCTCAAGGAAAATCTTATAACCTCACTTTCAGTGAGACAGTTCGTTTTGTTCTGTTCTTTTTATCATTTTTTAAGAGAATCTGTTTTCTAAATGATTAAAGTTTTTAACCAGTTATTTAAAAACAGCAGAATGGAGACTTGGGTCAGACATCAACAGATGCTTTCTTTAGAGATTTGTAAGCTATACTGTTAAAATGTACAGATGGAAAATGAAAGCCATGTCCAAGGTTCGTATTTGCCCTTTGGCACCTCCAGGAAACAAAGAGGGTTACAGTGTGACGTCAGTCCAAGCAGAGGACAAAAGGGTATTACTACCAAAATAGGAGTTGTGACTACGTTGCAAAAATAAAAAGCCTAGAAAATAATTTCGGAAATGTGCATTGGTGATTTGTTAGAAACATCAGTCATCTGAAGGGAGGGAAGTAGAACCTCAAAGGGACTGGCATGAATCCTGTCAATTCTAATAGAGATTTTTTCCCTTGAGGACTGAAGGTGTTCATTCCAGTCTGTTTTGGTCACGTTTACAAAGTGTTCAGCGTGTTTGCCAGGAGTCTGGGGAGGAAGGATGAACAGGCAGAGCGCTGGGGTCTTCGGGGCGGCGACGCCGTTCTGTAGCACAGCTCTGACGGGTGCGTTAGGCTCTCACGGAGACGTGTAGGATGCACAGTACCAGGAATGAACCTTCCACAGTTGTGGACTTTGGGCGGCAACGAGGTGTCAGTGTGGGCTTAGCGACTACAGCAGAGGTTCCGCCCCGGGTGGGGTGTTCGTACGACGGAGGAGAGGCTGGGGGTGGGGGTGGGGGGTTGGGGCATGGAAACTGTACCTTCCACTCAACTCTAAGAACCCAGAAGTGCTCTAAACAATAAAGCCTATTAAAAAAAGTTAGGCTAAGAAAATGTGTATCTACGTAAGTGGCAAAGAGCCTCCTGGGAATTGTCATATTGGATGACAGGGCTCGCTCTAGACTATGGTTTGGTGGTGTAGGTGATTGCCTCTGATTCTTCCTGTGTCTTAAGGGTCAGTTTTGGAGAATATGAACCGTCATAGTTTATGTAGAGCCCTCGGACTCCTTTTTTTTTTTTTTTTGCCTTCCCATCCTTTTTCACATCTATTTCTGGCCCTTTGCCTCTAGTAGATGAGAAGAAAATCTCATGGTAAGTATTTGCTGTTCAGTACTAAATGTCCTTGAGCGTTAAAAAAAAAAAAAAAACTCAGTGATTTAACTTAATAAGCAACTTTATTTTTCCCTTCTTTTTCTAAGGTCTAGAGATGTGTTAGCACACACAGAGCTGTGGTTTTTAATTTTTACGTAAAAAAAACCTTGTGCTTTTCAAATTTGAAAAATCTGTAAGCTTTTTAAATAGTCCGTAAATCTGCTTCGGGCACTGTGATGCCGAAGTCGTTGTCATAGCGCCTCTCTCTGGCCTACCCTCTCTCTGCGCCCTTCTTCTGCATAGATCCTGCCCTGTGTGGCAGAGGTTCAGGTCAGAGACCCACAGAGGGCTCAGCACTGAGGTATGTTTCCTGATAGGCCAGAAGGGAAGGGTGGAGAAGGACCATTCAGGTACAGCAACAGTGGTATTAAACAGGTTTTCAAAATGTCTTCAGTGTTTCCTAGTGGGATTATAATAACTGCATCTTAATTTTTTTTTTAAATGTTTTTATTTCTGAGAATGAGAGAGAGAGAGACAGCGTGAGCAGGGAAGGGGCAGAGAGAGAGGGAGACACAGAATCTGAAATAGCTCCAGGCTCTGAGCTGTCAGCACAGAGCCCGACGTGGGGCTCAAACCCACAAATTGTGAGATCATGAGCTGAGCCCAAGTTGGACACTCAACCGACTGAGCCACCCAGGTGCCCCAATAACTGCATCTTGAATATTGTCTCTCTACTTTCCTTGGGGAAGAATGCCTGGTTAGGAATGTCTCAAGTATATTAATCTTTTCTTAATAGCTATTTATTTTAGTAGGGGATTCTTTTTTTTTTTTTAGCTTATCTGAAATATTTAAAAAGTGTTTTGTTATAGATTTTAAAAATACAAAAAAAAAAAATAGACTATACTGAACCCTCTTAAAACCCATCACCTACACCCCCAACAACCATCAGTGCATGGTCAACTTTACCCTGTCCACTTCCCCCCCTCCTCTTCCTTGAGACAAGTCCTCAGGGTCTCATTTTTTAAATATCAGTTTAGGTATGGCTCTCCAAGTGATATGGACTGGACTCCTTCTCTTTTTAAAACATAACCACAAGATCATTTCACATCTGAAAAATTAAGAATAATCCCTTCATACCATGTATCCAGCCATTGTTAAAATTTTAATGGTTTCAAATGACCTAAGTTGTTTTCTTTTTTACACTTAACAACGACCACCAAGGTTCCAGATAAGTTCCACACTTTGGTATTAGTTGTCATCTCTTTTAAGTCTCTTTTTATTTATCAGTTTTCTTTCATCTCTCTCTCTCCCCCCCCCCCCCTTGCGATTTGTGTGTTGAAGAGACTGGATTGCTTGTCTTCATCAGTTTCCAACAGCCGTGGGGGTTTTGCTGCTTTATCCCTATGGTGTCTGTAGTGTGTTCCCTTTTCCTCAGAATTTCCTGTGAACAGGTAGTAAGGTTGCGAGGCTTCAGCAAATACGGGTGCAGTAGTTTGGGCAAGTCTGCTTCCCGGGTTCTCCCCCTTCAGGAGGCCCCGATGTCCGGCTCCTTCGTGGTGTAGCGCTGGCGCCCGGGGCTTCCTTCTGTTGGTGGGTCGGGGTAGAAAACGGCTTCATTTTCCTTTTCCTCTGTTAGAATGGCCCGGGGCTGTAATTCCCCTAGCGTGTGGTTCAGTTGTTGGCTTTTTTTTTTTTAATTTTTGAGAGAGAGAGACCGCGTGAGCAGGGGAGGGTCAGAGAGAGAGGGAGACACAGAATTCGAATCAGGCTCCAGGCTCTGAGCTGTCAGCACAGAGCCCGACGCGGGGCTTGAACCCACGAACCGTGAAATCACGACCTGAGCTGAAGTCGGACGCTTAACCGACTGAGCCCCCAGGCGCCCCAGTTGTTCGCTTTGAAGTGCACAGTTGAGGGTGATGTAGGGGTGCGGCCAGCCCCACTTGTAGGCACCCGGGCCTGCGCGGAGGAACTCCGTGTCCCTTAGCTGCGTTCCCGCGTCTCCCGCCCCCTCAGCCCGAGGGACACCCCCCGCCCGCCTGGGCGCCCGCTCCAGCGTGGCGGGTGCGGTTCGCGGGGTGCGGGCCGCGTGGGGGGGGGGTGCTGCCGCACACGGTGGAGCGCAGGCCCCCGTGCGGCCCCCTGGCCCCCGGCCCCGGGTGCGCCCGGGAGCGGCCTTGCTGCCCTGCGGCCGGGAGCTCGGGTCGCTCGCACCCTCGCCGGCACCTGTCTGACCGCTTCCCTAGCCATCCTGGCAGCTGTGGTGTTGGTTTCCGTTTTTCCCGAAAACTGATGGTTTTGAGCATATTTTCACGTATTTATTGACTCTTTGTATAACATCCTCAGAACACAATATTCACATCTTTTGCCTATTTTTAAATTAGGTTGTCTTTTTATTATTGAGTTGTGAGAGTTTATATATTCCGGCCACAAGTCCTTATCCGATACAGCCTAGAACATAATGGAACATGTCATTATGGAGTCAAGAATTTGAGCATTTGATGATCTGCATTCATTGTAGCTTTTATTCTTAATTGATTTTCAAACTGTTCGACCTTTTAACTACTATGATTTCTGAGTAACTCTGACTCACCGGAAGTCTCCTTGTTTCTGGGTAAATCCTTGGCTACCTGGCACAAGAAAGGTCCCAGGCTCCTGGGTCGGATCCTGCTCCAGCCCCGGAAGCGGCTGTTTGTGCCGGGAGCCCGGCCGCCCTGGGGAGGGTGGGCCTGCCCCCTCGGGCTCACTGCCAGGGTGGTCGACGCTTACAGGCTCTGGGGTGGCCACGGAGTCAGGACGTATCTCCGTGGGGCGTTGTGCTCCTTTGAAAGTCAAAATACGTTCTGAATTGTCGCTGGTGGTTCTCGTTCCCATTCAGGAACCTCCTTAACACCCGCAGGCCTGTGCGTCTGCCGCCGCCGGGTCCAGGTCCCCGGGGGTGGGGGGGTGGGGGGGGTGGTGTGTGTGTGTGTGTGTGTGTGTGTGTTATGTTCTGTCCTCCTGGCCCCACCCTGTGTCCCCACCAGTGTGTAATTACAGTTCGAGTTTTGTGCTCTTCTGTTTGCTTGGGGTCTACGAAGCCCAAACATTGTTTTTAAAAGTTACTCAAAATAGGCTCTCTCTGTGCTTATGCTGCTAACCGGATAGGTAGTTAGGTTCACTGTATTTTATGTTCAGTATTTAGGAATTGCTTTAAAAAGTTTTATCTTTAAATTATTTTTGCTTTTAACCGTAGTAAATAAGGTAACAAAATTTACCACCTAAACCATTTTGAAGTGTTACAGTTCAGTAACATCAAGTGCATTCACACTGAGAACTTTCTCATCTTGCAAAACTGACGCTCCTTACCCACCACACAGCAGCTCCCTTCGCCAGGCCCTTCCTCGGCTGGCAAGCCCCCCTCTGCCTGCCCCGAGCCTGGCTGCTCCGGGGTCTCACACAGGGGATCTTCCAGGGTGTCTTTTTGTGACCGGCTTGTTTCACGTAGGGTAATCCGCCCTCTGATTTTACCTGTGCTGTGTAGCCTGTATCAGAACCAGCCTCCTGAGTGATATCTCCCTGTCTCTGTGTTTATCGGTTCCTCTGCCTGCGGACGCTTGGGTTGCTTCCATCAGGAATTGCTTTTTGAATTTCATTTTGTTGTAGTTGCATATTTACACGTATCTGAAGTCAAAGAAAAGATATTCAAAGAACTCAGTCTTCTATCTCTGTTCATCTCTTTTTCTTGAAGGAATTCTTCAGTTAAATGGTTTATCATTCCATCTTCTTAACTTCAGAAGCTAGATCTATTTTGCTCTTCTACACACACACACACACACACGTGTGTATGTTTTTATTCCCCCCTTTCTTGGAAAATGGTAGCATACTGTAAATACCTTTCCACACCTTGATGACTGTGACCTTAGGATTGGAGGTCTTCTTCATTCTCTTCTATTATTACACAGTTATTCTATTGTGTGTGTGTGTCCTGTAGTTTATTCCACCAGTTCCCCATTAATGGACATTTGAATTGTTTGCAGTCTTTTGCTGTTAAATTTATTCCTGCAAAAGTGACATGCTGCATAAGTCCTTTTGCATTTTCGCTGGCCTAACTATGGGAGTCGTCAGTGCGGGTTTCCTGGGTCTGAAGGTCTGGTAATTCTGCTGGATATGGCCGGTTCCCCTCTGTGGTAGCAGTGATCCCAATCTGGACTCCTACCAGAATGTGCAGGAGGGCCGGTTCCCTTCCCATGGTACTTTCTGGAATATGTTGCCAAGGTTTTGGACCAGTGTTTCAGTGAGACATACAGTTTTAATTTATTCTCTATGATCATCTTTTTATATTCGGAGTGATTGCTGTTTTCTCTGTAAACTGTCCATTTCTTTAGACCATTTTTCTATAGAGTAGTTATTTTTTCTAACTTTAGAGGCTCTATATAGAGAGGTAGTAACCTTTTGTCTCTGATGTAAGTTGTAATTTTTTTTTTTTGTAGCTTATCATTTGCATTTTTACTTTTCTCAGAGTGCCTTTTGCCATCCAGAAGTTTGTATGTCGTCTTACTTATTACCCATTTCCCCTTCTTGCTTGTAGATTTTTGGATTCTTTAGTAATGTTTCCCCTACTCTTTGGTTATAGGAATCCACTCATATTTTTCTCCAGTAACTATTTCCTTCCTTCCCTCTTTTTCTCTCTCTCCTTTCTGCGCACTTGCAACCCCTTTGCACTTTGTCTCGGGGTAGAGTGTGAGGTGTGGTTCCCGTTTCCTGTTTCCATTTGGATGTATGGTTGTCCAGGGTCACAACATAACGTCTGTCTTTTCTCATTGATTTTAGATTCTCTTTCGGTTTTGTTGTTTTTTAATATATTTGACATGTAACTGGGTATATTTCTGGATTTTCTGTTCTGCTTTCTGTGTTAATAAGCCATTATAACATTGTTTTAATTATGTGGGCCATATATCTAGTAAGGCTAACTTTCTTCTTTTTTAGTATTTTTTTTCCCCTGGCTATTTTTTCTTTTGTTTTTATAATCATCTTCTGTAACTCTGATGAGGAAAAAGAAGAGCTTAATGTCGTTTTTACTGGGACTGCATTAAATGTGTAGATTTATTTGGGGGGAGGACTGCAATTTTTATGATCCTAAGTCTTTTTATCTAGGAAGATGGTACGCCTTTTTGTTTGTTTAGTCCTACTTCTTTGTCTTCAGGGGTGTATATTTTTTAGCATTTATTTATTTTGAGAGAGAGAGAGAGAGACCAAGAGAGAGGGAGAGGGAGAATGTGGGGGAGGGGGAGGGAGGGAGGGAAAGAGAGAATCCCAAGCAGGCTCCAGCCTGTCAGTGCAGAGCCAGACGTGGGACTCCATCCCACGGACCTTGAGATCATGACCTGAGCTGAAAGCACGAGTCGGGCACTTAACCGACTGAGCGACCCAGGGCCCCCAGGAACATTTTATGTAATTTTGTTCAGATTGATTTTTGGGTATTTCCTCTAAGTTTACATTGTATTTTTTAAATTTAGTTTTTGAAAACGTGTTTGTTATATTTTCTCTCTAGATTATATTTATGAAGATGATTGAATTTTATATGTTAATTTTGTAACCTGTTACTTTATTAAGTCATCTCCGTGTTCTTAGTAATTTGGCCATTGATTAGTCTGGGTTGTGCAGATGTGTTCCTAGGAGATGAAAAGCGTTAGTTTTCCAAACCTCCGCACAGAACACAGAAGCTTTCTAAGTTCCTGTGCGTGGGAGGTCCACGTGTGTCCCTAGAGGCCACCACCCACCTGTCGCTCGGTAGACAGCCCAGTGTCCGGGTGCCGGTCTCTGTGCAAACCGTGTCGCTTGTGTGTCTCCAGGAGCTGGAGAGGCAGAAGCACATGTGCCGAGTGCTGCAGCACAAGATGGAGGAACTGGCCGAAGGCCTCCGGCAGAGAGACGAGCTCATCGAGGTGCGTGCCCGGGGCGGGGCGGGCGCCTGCCTGTGACACCGGGGTGGGGGTTGTCGGGATGGAAGGGCGTTGAAAGGCCACGGTTTCTTTGTCTCTTCGTACTTGGCTGCACCCTAAAATTTCACGCACGCTAGGTACATAAAGTCGGGCTTCAGAAAGGAATGCTACCGTCGAAGCACCCCCCGTTTCCAGAGCAGGAGCTGTCGTAATGGTCCCTTACTCGTTACACCTTCTTTCCTACCGGGGTCGTAGGAAGTGGGCAAAAGGGAAAATGACGAGTCCCGTTACTCTTGGGGACGTAGTGGGTGTGGTCCTTGAGACGTGATTCTCGGGGGATAAGACGTTTGGTCCTCACCGAGGTGGAGGTTTCTGGCGCACTGGACGCAGAGGACTAGTCAGGACCCCTTCCGTCCCAGGAGGCAGAGCTCGGCGATGCCTCGGCTGTGCCCGGGGAGGAGCCCTGAGTGCCGGTGCCAGCGCCGGTGCGTCCCCGGGGTGAGGGTGGGGGTGGGGGTGCTCCCGAGAGATCTTTGAGATATTATGATCCTGCCGTTCCTACCCCCTCGTGAGCATCTCTGATCATCTTTAAATGTGGTTTTTTCCCCTTGAGGTGTTTTATGAGTGTCTGGGAAGGGACCCTGCCGCTGGCTCGGGGTGCCTCTCCGAGGTGTCTGAGGTCAACAGTGGCGATGGCACAACAGTGATTGCGGGAAGGCCAGCTCCTCGTGATCCCCGGGCCATGCTCCCCCACGGGCCCCCCCCCCCCCCCAGGGACCGGCCTCACCTAATCCCTCACCCTGTCAGTGACTTCAAAACCATTTCATAGGGGAAAAGGAATGACTACTTTTTTTATCCGTGGATTTGTGTTACTGTTCTTGGTTCTTGAGAATTGAGTGTAGCCTGGGGCGCAGGCGGAGTGTGTGAATCTAAACGTGGCGGCACTTAACCCGAGAAAACCCCAGACCACATGTGAGGTTAGTTGTCCTAGTTTTCTGTGTCTGGGGCGGAGCGTCTGACTGCGGTTTGCGTCCCGCGGGTGCTCAGCCGTTACGTGCGGCCCTTTCCTTGTTTTGTCCTTCTGTGTCTTGTGCCCGGGTGCCAGCCATTTGTCAGTTCTTCTTCTAATTAAGGTATACGCTTCTCCCCATTTTTTACTTGAAAAGATACTAAAGCTGCTTCGGCAGCTGCTCCTCAAACTCAGGAGCTTAAGAAAGAACTGGCGAAGTGTTCTAGCTTTTAATCTCATGGCTGTGCTTCAGAGGAATTGTAATGCTGATTCCTGGAAGTGTCACCCTGGTTACTCTACAAGCCAGGGTGCTGGATATACACACTTCAAAAACTTTAGTTTTGGGAGTTTTCATGTCTAGAATTGACATCTCTCAGACGTGAATACCATGTTGACATATAACTGACAAACCTTGCATGGGACAGAAGAGTGCTTTAGGTCTCGCCTGGTTAAGCAGATAAGAAATGCCGAAGTTGAGAAAGTAGGAGGTGGTAATTTACCAATAATTGTTCAAAGAAGGAAAACCTGTCAAATACAACAAGGTATGAAGGGAGCCTCACTGCCCGAGGAGAGCAGCTAAGAAGGGCTAGATGCTGAGTTCCGGTTTTTCTAAAAACTGATAGGACTGTTTATTCAGTTCATGATATGCTTGCCGTCGTAGGTTCTGCTGACAAATTGAGAATGATTCAGCTGAGATACGGCTCTCTTGCAGTTTGTAGTTCTGCTTAAAAAAAGTTTAAAACGGCTGCTTGTTCTCTGTGATAAGGATCACTTGTTCACAAGCAGATCTGCGTCCCCCCGGGAAGGCCAGTGGCTCCACGTTTGGGGAAGAACAGTTATTGGGGGAGGCGCACACAGAGCTGCCTGGCTTGTGGCCACGTAGCTGTGGTTGGAGGGTGACTCGCCATCTCCCTGTGGCAGGCCAGCGGGGCTCGTGTCGCCGGGACGTCATCCTTCTCTGTTCCTGGTCGTCACACTTTCCTTCCCCCTTTCTAAAGTGTCTTCACCAGCTTCATTCCTGTTCTCTCTGCTTCCCTCTGACCTCCGTTTTTCCTTTCTGCTTTTTTTTTATTACTTCTCTCCCCTCTTCCTCTGCAGGAGAATCAACGAATGCAGCAGAAAATAGACATCATGACACAAGAGGTGTTTGACCTCCAGGAGACACTTCTTTGGAAAGATAAAAGCATTAGGGTATGAGATGGAATCGGGCTTTGGTCTGAAGCCCCTTGAGGAGGAACAGAGCAATATCATTTAACTTAGAGATTCCTAAAAATCCGTCCTTTGGTTATTTTTGAGCATTTATACACTGAAATGTGAATAAAAGCAGTAGAAGAAAACAACTTCCAGGGGGAAACCTGATACTGTGCCTGGAAAGAACTCTTCTTTCTAGCTGCCTCTGGGCTTGTGAAACCTGCACGTAGGGACTTTCTAGGGAAGTTTCTTTCCCCAGGATTCTTATCCAGAAGCAGCCACAGGCGTTAATTCAGACTTGGGGTAACTTGATACCCTTACACTGCAAGAATTTTGGATGAGGAGCAAGAGAACAGTGAGTGGGGGGTAGAGGACAAGTAATTAGCACCCATAAATCCTTGGTGGAAAAATAGGAGATTAGCATCATTGCAGTCACGGCAGCGGATCGGAATGTACGGTTGCCAGAGCCGCCCGACTGTGGCGTTGCCTCTGATGGTAACCCCGCGACCCCCCAGGGCAGGGGCCCCAACAAGGAAGGGCCTCCAAGTAGGTGCCAGGTACGCAGGAGGCTGAAAACTTCGCACCAGTTCGCCCCATGACAGCCCTTTGACACGCTCCCTGTCTCCTGGCGTGAGCTGTCCTGCAGGGGGCGCTCCACCTGCCGTAGCTGCCAGCGAGGGGCTGTGGGGATGAAGCAGAGCGAAAGAAGCCCTGGTCCAAGAACCTAGTGGAGAAGTCATGTTCTGCTTGAGGTTTGGGGGTGGGGGTGGGGGGATCCCGAGAGCACGTGTGGGAGACCCAGGATGAGGGGCCTCCGGTCCGTGCCCTTCCTCCCTTGTTGGGAGGGCTCTCCCTCCCTTTGGGCCTGGCCTCTTAGTAACAGTCACATGGGAAACAAAATTACCTAAGGGTTCCATAGACCAAAAGTTTTAAGGAAATAAAGCTAACTTTATTTAGAGTTTCTGATATTTAAATATGGAGCTTCCAAAATTCCACCCAGAGTTAAAAGAGCCTTCTGGAAGATAAATTAACAACAGTTAAGAGTTTTGAAATTTTGATTGTCAGCTGCTAATCTCCTTTAAAGTTTTACTTGAGGACTTGAAAATGAGATGTGAAAAATGTATGGCACAAGGAGTGGTTTGCAAAGTGTAGTTGAAGTCTGGTCAGTATCCAGAATGGCCTTCTTTTAGGCCCCTCCCTAATTTTCTTTAGCACACTAGGTCCATGCTTTCTATTTTGTGTCATTATCTTAGTATTTAAACTGATTATTTTGGATCAGCCATAGGAAAACCGCAAAGCACACAGTCCAATAAAAGAGCTATTCAGAATAAAACAATTTTTTTCTACCAAAAAGATCTGCTCATAGTTCAGACACAAATTATTTGACTTCTAAATTTTCCTGGCATTATTGACTGAGCGGCCATCTATCTTCTTTCTGTATGGTGTATAATGTGTTCCTCTGGCTTGTTTTTTCAAAGTTACACTTAAAAAGCTTTTTTGAGGTGGTCGTAGGCTCACGGGCAGTTGTGAGCAGTAGTACGGAGGGCCCCGTACACCCTGTGCCCGGCTCTCCCCCAGTGTAGCAACTGGCAGAGAGTCACAGACGGGGATCGACCTTCGGAGGGCCCCGTACACCCTGTGCCCGGCTCTCCCCCAGTGTAGCAACTGGCAGAGAGTCACAGACGGGGATCGACCTTCACGTCGGCAGATCAGCACCCAGGGCTCCCGGCTCCCCTTCAGTGGCCTTCCCTGCTCTGCCTCCCTCACTCCTTCCCAGGCCCTGGCAGCCACTGCTCTGCTCTCCTTTCTGTCATTTTGCCATTGTGAGACCTGGCCTCCTACAGCAAGTACTGAAGCCTCTGGGGCCGTGTTTCCACACAGCACAGTTCCTGGAGGGTCCCCTAAGCCGCATGTACCGGTAGCTGGTCCTGCCTCTGACTTTTGAGGAAAGTTTCTAGACTGTGGTAAAATACAAATAACATCAAGTTTGCCACTTTACCCAGTGTTTGGTGTTGAGTTTGGTGGTACTGAGTACTAAGTATATTCACCACCATCCGTCTCCAGAGCTCTTTGACATGCGGAACCAAAACTGTGCCCTTCAACACCCCCGCCCCCCACCACCACCTCCGTTCAGCTCTCCATCCCTGCAGGCTGACTGCTCAGGGCACGTCCCCCAAGTGGAGTCGGACAGTCCCGGTCTTTCTGTGATTGCCTTATTTTCACTTGACATCAGGCCCTCCAGGTTTCTCCGAGGTGGGCCAGGCGTCAGGATGTCCTTCCTTTTTCAGGCCGAATGATAAATGTGCCGTTGTTCATATGAGCCACGGTCTGTTCACCCTTTTGTCTGCTGGTGGACACGCCCTTGCTTTGCTTCCACCTTCTGGCTCTCGTGAATTATGCTGCCGTGAACATGAGTTTGCAGATGCGCCTCTGCGACCCTGCTTTCACTTCTCCGGCCGTACGCCCAGGAGCGGGACTGCCGCGCGGTGCCCACAGCAGCGGCGCTGTGTTACCTGCAGCGCTGCGTAGGCCTCCGTTACCGACGCGGGTGCTCTGTGCCTCTGACGGCCGTCCTTGCATGCCCTTGCATGCCCTCCCTTGACTCACCCACCCGTGCCCTCGTGTGCCCTCCCTTGACTCACCCAGGACGCGTTTTCAGCAGTGACTACCTCATGCACCACTTGCCTCCAGCTTCATTTTCAAGATTTCAAGTTAGTAACTTCATAGAGGAACATGGCCGTTATTCTCATGCTAGAGCTTGGTTTTCTTTAGTTCTTCCTTTACTGATCCTTGTGGTCGTGCTCACAGCCCGAGGGCAGCCCCAAGTGCCAGGGGCCCACGTGTAGAGTAAGTGCGTACAAAGGACTTCTCCATCTCGATGGCCCCGTGTGAGACTCCCGACCCGGCAGAAGATATTTCTGCCCCCGTGTGATTATATGGGGGCAGCCCGTTACCCATGTCTTCCAGGCGCCTTGACACTAGAATTTGAGGTTAGGTCAAGGGCAAAGAATTATTTAGATCTCCACAAGCCTGTACTTTTTACCCTAAGAAAAACATCTGCTGTACGAGCTCTTATTGAATGCAAACACAGGGTGGGGGTTTTACGGTCAGGTACCACGGAGGGTTTCGGATCTGCCGTGAGGACATTTGCTCCAGCTATAAGGTATTCTGGTAGTTTCCAAACTTTGTGGTGAAGTGGGAGAACTTCTAGGATGTATTTTATTTTCCCGTCCACAATTATGGTAAGATGAAGTTAAAAAAGTCCGAAAGTAAAGCTGTCCCCTGCCAGAAGACGTGGGAAGAGGAGCAAATGGCATGGGTTAGGGTTAGCTAGCATTTGCTAGAATTTCCAGTTTCAGCTTGGTCTGTTCCCTGAGAGAGCCAGGATGTAGCGGCGGTGACCCTGACCCGGCTGCGTGTTGGCGCGTGGCTCACCGTGCACGCAGCTCCCAGTACCCACAGGCTCTGACCCGGCCGAGGTTCAGGTGGCGACAGGTGGGAAGGTATTGTTTGTGCCTTTGTGTCCCAACGCTGCGTCTGCTCTGATGGAACGGCCTGGTGACATTAGCTTGACGGCCGGGCAAGTGCCTCACGGTCCAGAAACTCCGATTACTGACTAGTGGGCAGACTCGAGACACACCGTATGGTGCGACCGTACAGTGCTGAAAGGACAGTGGGTCTGACGCTGCGGTTTGGGAAGGAAGGACCAGGACTTGCCCTTATAGACTGCTTTCCCAGCAGCATCTGAGATGGCAGATCGGAAGCATAATTGTGGCTTTTTTAGGGCTGTGATACAGAAAAATATGCAAAGGCTTTGGAGCCGAAAAGAACTGGATTCATTTTCTGGCTTTGGCACTTGCGGGGACTTCAGGCAAAAAATAAATATAACCTCTCTGGGCCTCAATTTTCGGACCTGTGAAATGGGGATAACATAAGGACAGGCTCTATAAGGGAGAAATTCCAGCTGTAAACATAGCAGGGCACATGTACGTCTTTCTAGCAGCGCCTGCTGCCTAGTGGAGCCACGTAGAAGGTCATGGCCAGCGTCTCATCTACTTACTGCCAGTTTGGGTGCCCAGTAGGAGTCTACCGGTTTAGGACGTTGTCCAGTCGGTGATGAAGCAGTCAGCTCATTCCTAGCCCAGTAAAGCGAGAGGAGAGTCACCTGTTGTAGTTTAACTGCTTGGATTGATGGGGTTGTTGGTAGAAAATAGCAAATATACGAACACACGTGTAGAGAGAAGCTTTTTCGAAAATCATCTGCCCATCAGGTGTCTGCGTAGACTGCTAGTCTGGGTTATGTCCTTACCCGGAGCCAGGTGTGGTTTGTCACTGGTGACCCCAGTGTGGGCCTGCTTCAGTGCCCGTCATCCTCAGCTCTGCCGCTGAGAGACTGAGGCAGGGGCGAGGGGGCCCCAAGTAAGTGGAAACCGTGGTGGGCTTTTCCGGAGCTTTCCCCGACCCTGGCGCTGCAGCAGTGCCCACACTGGGCAGCTGGGAGTTTTTCAGACGGGGAGTCTGAGGCGTAGGTAAGTCGGGAGTCGCCGGCACGCAGAAGCCTGAGCCCCAAGCCCATGTTCTGCTGCGCTGCTCCGTAGGTGGGCTCTATTTATTTTGTCAGTATTTTGTTTAGGAAGGTGGTCAGAAAACCAGATGATTCTTAATTGTATTTGATTAACAAAAAAGAAGCAGGTCGGTGGGGAATCTCTTTGGAGGTTAGCTATTTTGAATTAAGAGGTATTTGAGGAATATTTTGCCACAGTGCTTGGAGAACAATCACTATGGCCAGTGTTTCATTAAAATACCTTGTGCATACTGGTGACTTTTCTTCCAGGGCCATTACAATTTTCTGAATTAAATTTTTAAATTAATTTTTTGAATTAAACTCTATTCTTGAAGTGTTCTGTTAAACATGGAATGTGTTTGTATTGGTCACCAGATGAAGATGTAGTAAGGAGTCCGTAAGGAAAACTCCATTTTAATATTATTGCTATCTTCCTCTTCCTCTTCCTGGCCCCCCCCCCCCCCCTCCCCCCCCCCCCCCCCATCAACTGGGAAAGGAAGATCAGCTCCTGCCCGATGTGATAAGCATGCTTTGGTGAATTTATGCACAATTAACCCGCTTCTGTTAAAACTCTCCTGTGAAGACGTGAGCCCCTGTGCTTCCTCGCGTGTCTAACTGCCCGTTTCCAGGCTTTTGCTGCTGTCGTGTCTTTCGCGGCCTTTCCGGTGTGTGTTGGAGCCCGGGGCCCTCTGCTGCCTCTTCACTTGCTCTTCTGTGCCGTTCTTTCCCTTGCCGCCCTGTCTAAACCCAGGCCCTAGAGAAACAGAGAGAGCGCATGGCCCGCCTTAGCAGTGAGCGAGATGCGCTCACAGAGGAGCTGGCCGACCGCAAGGAGGCGGTGGAGACGGGAGAGGTACGTTCGCTTCCACCTGCAGTGCAGGCCCCTCGCCGCGCTGTCCTCCTAGCCCAGCACAAGCCGCGTTCGGGCTTCGGTGCAGAGTAGGCGGGAGCGGCCATTCCTTCCACAGAGCTGGGCTCCCTGGACGCGGTTCCGCCCAGGTGCTCTCCGCGCAGTCGCTCTGCCCCTCCCCGACGTACCGCGTGCGTGCGAGCCGGTCGTGACGCTGGGTTCCCTTCTCCGCAGAAACACGGCTTGCTTACGGTCTCTGACGGCACCCCCAACGGTGAGGTCGGGCACGAGCCCGCGGCCGGAGCCATCGCCGTGGTGTCCCAGGAGGCCGCCCAGGTGCTGGAGTCTGCGGGGGAAGGTCCGCTGGGTAAGGCCCCTGCTCCCCGCGCTCGGCGGTGCCCCGCGACACTGCGGCCCCTCCCCTTCGTCCCCCGTCTCGGAGAAGGAAAGCAGCACGAGCGCCCCTATGACGTTGATCTAAATCCTCAGCGGGAAGAAATCTGGACACATGGTCTCCAGGCATCCTTGACCTTGGGGAACCAGCACCTGGGTCAGTGGAAGGCCCCTGGGTGGAGGCACTGTTGGTGGATACGCGTGGCTTTTTTACTTAAACGCGCACCTTCCTGGGAGAGAGGCTCCCCACCTGCAGCCCGGGGAGCCTTCCCAAGTGGGCCTGATGCTCTGCTTCCTGGACGCTCCGCTTTTCTGCCGTGGCCCTCCTCCCGACGCCCTGCTCCTCCTCCCCAGGCCGTGCTCCTCCTCCCCACGCCCTGCTCCTCCTCCCAACGCCCTGCTCCTCCTCCCCACGCCCTGCTCCTCCTCCCGACGCCGTGCCCCTCCTCCCCACGCCCTGCTCCCCCTCCCCACGCCCTGCCCCTCCTCCCGACGCCGCCGTGCCCCTCTTCCCGACGCCCTGCTCCTCCTGACGCCCAGCTCCTCGTCCCGGCGCCCTGCTCCTCCTCCCCACGCCCTGCTCCTCCTCCCGACGCCTTGCCCCTCCTCCCCACGCCCTGCTCCCCCTCCCCACGCCCTGCCCCTCCTCCCGACGCCCTGTCCCTCCTCCCGACGCCCTGATTCTCCTCCCGACGCCGTGCCCCTCCTCCCCACGCCCTGCTCCCCCTCCCCACGCCCTGCCCCTCCTCCCGACGCCGCCGTGCCCCTCTTCCCGACGCCCTGCTCCTCCTGACGCCCAGCTCCTCGTCCCGGGGCCCTCCTGCTCCTCCCGACGGCGTGCTCCTCCTCGCCACGCCCTGCCCCTCCTCCAGACGCCCTGCTCCTCCCCCCGACGCCCTGCCCCTCCTCCCGACGCCGTGTCCCTCCTCCCCACGACGTGCTCCTCCTCCCGACACCCTGCTCCTCCTCTCCATGCCCTGCCCCTCCTCCCGACGCCCTGCTCCTCCTCCCCACGCCCTGTTCCTCCCCCCGGGGCCCTGCTCCTCCTCCCGGGGCCCGGGGCTCTCCGCCACCGCGTTTCTTAAGGCAAGAAGTAGATGATCAAAAGACAGGCCTTCCAGAAGTGTTCTTTTCTGGAGCAAGGCTTCTGAGCATCTGCGCCTCTTCAATTTAAGCCCTTGAGACTTTAATGACACCTGTCCCGGGAAACCCCACGATGCCCGTCCATTCGCTCCTCTCAGATCCTGCCCTCGAGGTTGGGGAAGTGGCACAGACGCTCTGTCTGCTCTGTCGTCAGCTCACTTTTTTATTTAAAGGGATCTTTTGTTTCCTTTTGTTTCATGTACACGTAGGCTTCCCAGAGGAGTGGAGCTTTGTTCACGTTAGTGAGCGTGTTCCCTAAAGCACAGAATTGCAGAAGCAGAGACTCGGAGAGAGCAGAGATGCGGGCCGGGAGCCGCTCTGGGAGCAGGGGTGGGGGGGGAGGGGCTGTGTGGTGCGTGAGGCCGGGCTACGCGGGCTCCCCTCCGCTGTTTGGACGGTGCGGGGGAAGCCAAGTGCCCCCACGTAGCCGTGACCCTGGCTGTGGGAGGCGCTGGCCCAGTGTCGGCTGCTGCTTTCCTCCTCTACGGTCCTCTTCAGTCCAAGTTCCAGCTGTTTTTTGTTTCTAATTTTTTAAAAATGTTTATTCTTTTTGAGAGGGAGGGGGAGAGAGGGAGACAGAATCGGAAGCAGCTCCAGGCTCTGAGCTGTCAGCACAGAGCCCATTGCGAGGCTTGGGGCTGAACTCCCAAGCCGTGAGATCATGACCTGAGCCAAAGCTGGACGCTTAACCGATTGAGTCCCCCAGGCGCCCCCAGGGTCCAGTCTTGAAGGCCGCCCTTCCCTCAGGCCGACCCTGCATCCGCACTCAGGTTGGCCCTTGACTGCCTTTGGCTCAGAGTCGGTCCCCAGGTCCCCCCACTAGCCTGTGTGGGCCTTCGTCTCCCCGCCAGGCCCCTTCTCCCCCGCGGGTTTGCTCCCATGAGGCTGCATCCAGCCTGCGGGAACCCCCCCACGACTCGAGTCGTTTGCCTCCTGGTAAAGGCTTGCACGTTTTTGAAACAAGGAAGTGATCTTTATACTTTGGTTTGTCTTTAAATGGAAAATCACTGCCCTTGGGAGCAAACGTTGTATTTAGTGCCTTGATAACTATCAGTTATGTGGAAATATTTGCTGAGTAATTAAGTACTTTTCTTAATACCATGAATATAAGCCTTCATTTCTTTCAGAGCTCTCTCAATAGAGAGCTATGAGTTGTTTATCAGGTAATGTTGGCTGTTTTTGACTTTCAAGAATTATTTTCAATTGTTTCAATACGTATTTCATTACAAATTTGGTTTACAGCCTTTTCCAATTTTTTTTAGATGTCAGGCTACGAAAACTTGCTGGAGAAAAGGAAGAGCTTCTCTCACAGGTAAAGGTCCACTGCTCCGTCGCTGGAAGGTGGCGTTAGTCACAACGGACGGAGTGGCAGGGGGACCCGTTGGCGAGTTACGATGCACACACAAGAGAGACGTGCTCACTTCAGACATCAGTACGCCAGCAACACTGGGAGGGGAAGAAGATAATGCGCGTTTTGTCTCTTTGTCGTTTCCTGGTGTTTTAAAACACTGTATGGGACACGGCGCCCAAGGAGTGAAGTAGCCGTCCCGAGCTGGCGCTGCGGCCTGGAGGAGCCCCCTGCCAGCCCCGCACCCTCGTCCCTGGCCAGGCCCGCTGGGTTGGCAAATTCTTCCCACACGTGCTGTTCTCGGGCGTCTGCGTCCCACACGCTCTGCTGCTTCTGGGCATTCGCTGTGGAAGATCCACTGGTCCCCCATCCTCCTCCGGAAGGACCGCGCACCCGGCCTGCGTCACTTGCCGCGGAGCCTCGCACGCTCAGGGTGCCCTCCCTCTCCCTCAAGTCTCTGGTCCCCACAGAGTTCATGCCGTGGCCTTTCTTTTCCTTTGCTCGGTTTCCTGTGTAGTTATGACCAATTGGGCTACAGAGTCTGCAGCAGTGATTAGGTCTGCTCTTAGCATTTTCAAATTCACCACGTATTCTCTCAATTCCACTTCTTTTTTTTTTTTACTGTTTGTTTATTTTTGAGAGACAGCATGAGCGGAGGAGGACAGAGAGAAGGAGACATAGAGTCCAAAGCAGGCTCCAGGCTCTGAGCTGTCAGCACAGAGCCCGATGTGGGGCTCGAACCCACAAACCACGAGATCATGACCTGAGGTGAAGTCGGACACACTTAACCGACTGAGCCCTGAGGCGCCTCTCAGTTCCACTTCTTGATTCTTGCAGCACTGACCTGTCCCCTGGGAACTTAAGGGCCTGCCCCCTCCGTGCAGAGCTGGAGTGCCCTTCATCGCCACCTAGGCTGGGATTCCCGGTTTGCAAGGCCTTATGACTTCCTCTTTTTTTATTCTCTTTTTGGTTTATTCCTCAGTAACTTCCTGAGAAACGGGTAGATAGGCTGTAAATTTTTCTTAACCTTGGAGGATTGAAAATGTCTTCATTTTACTCTCACTTGATTAGCAGAAGTCTTCATGACCGTCATTTTGCTTCATCTTTTTTTTTTTAATTAAAGTTGCCTCATTGTCCTCTGGCTTCCAGTATGGCGATTACAGACGTCAAGGGCGTTTTGCGGTTTCATCCTCTGTACGTGACCCCTTCTGTAGAGCCGTCTCTGGCAGTTTATATCCTGCTTCTCCCTTGGTGTTGGGAAGTTTCCCGGTGACGGGGTTCGGACTTGTGCTGCGTGGCACGGGCGCCTGTCACTTCTAGGAGTCCCACCCTCCCGTCCTGGGGAAAGTTCTTCACCGATTGCTCCCCTCCCCCCTTGCGCCGCTGTCCTGGACAGACTCCTGGTCCGTCTCAGGTGTTTAAGGAGATTCCGCTGTTGAACAGGCACCATTCCAGGCCTTGGGCGCCTATTTCAGTGAACAAATCCGTTAGAGGATTCCCGCCCTAGCGGGCGTACGTTTTTGTGGACGGGACCACGCGGTGAGCAGCACACGTATGAACACGTAGGTCAGAGGCTTGTGTGAACACACACACTGGATGCGTTTCTCTCACCGTTTCACGACCTGGGTGCAGGCACGGCGCGTGGAGTTGGGCTGGGCGGGCCGGGGGGGTAACTGGGAGAGGAGGTGAGCGCGTGTGCGGGGGAGTGTGGCTAACGATGGCCCCAGGAGAAGGAAGATGGCAGGTGCCAGTGGGATTGAAGGGTTTGGGGCGTCTGAGTCCTGAGAGACGGCGCTGGGAAGATCAGGAGCAGAGGTTCCGAAGAAGGTAACGGGCTACACTTGCCCGGTGGCGGGTCTGGTCAGACTGTGAGCGGGCCGTGAGGGCAAGAAGGGATAGACGGACGGCCCCGGAGGGAGGTGTTCTGGAAACGGACTTCAGTCGGAGGGGAGATCCTCTGTGCGTTTTGAAACTGCCAAGCTGTTCTTGAGGGGGCGGGGCTTGGGAGCCACTGGTGAAGCAGAAGGGGCGCCGGTGGCGATGCTGGCAGCAGGGGTGCGGGATGGAGGGGAGGTCAGGGGGGAGGAGCTCTAGGGAGCACCGAGGCCGAGCGGTTGGGCGGCCGCACGAAAGCAGGTCATGTGCTGTGGTCTCGGGCTCAGTGGCGGGGGCGCTGCGGACTTGATCTCCAGAAGCCGGAGGGCCGCAGAGGGAGGCGCTTCTGGGGGCGGCGAGCGTCTTTCTGCCGCTGCGCTAGGTGAGGAGGCCGCTCTGGGGGAGGAGGGTGCGGCGACCCCAGTTCCAGGCTTCGGGGAGGGTGAGGGCGTGCGGACGGAAGCGGGTCGTACAGAGCCCTGTGCGGGAGAGTGGAGGCGGCGTCTGGGAGGCGCGCGTGGCCTCCGCGCTCGGCACGCCGCGCTCCCTCCTCGCCGGGTGGGCGTCTCCTGTCCACACTGCCGGCTTTATCTCCTGTCGCCTCCGGGTTACTTCCTCTGTGGCGCCATTAGGAGTAAGCTGCCGTTGGGCTCTGTAGCCAGACTCAAAAACAGATTGCCAGTGATTTCCGTTAATATTTAAGTTTTAATGTTAATACGTGATATCTGATTTACGATTTTAATTAAATGTACTTAATATTTGATATGAATTTAAGTCTTAATGTTTAAGCTTCCTAAATATTTAACACAACATCCAACCTAATTCTAAGGCAAGACAAAGACCTCTAACTGCCCTTGGAATTTTATTAGAAATGGAATTTTGGGGGCGCGCATCTTTTGATTTCAGCTCAGGCCATGATGTCAGGTGTGAGGTCAGGCCCCGCTGGGCTTGGCGCAGAGCCCGCTCGGGGTTCTCTGCCCTTCGTGCTCTGCGTGTGCCCGCCCGCCCGCCCGCCCGCCCTCAAAATAAGAGAGTTAAAAATAAAAAAGGAATTTAATAAAAGTGGTAAAGACGCCGAGAAGACCTGCTGTCCCACCGGCCCCCACGAATGACGGGCCGGGCGGTGACCCGTGACGCGCCCTCTCTCCGTTCAGGTGCGGAGGCTGAAGCTGCAGCTGGAGGAGGAGCGGCAGCGGTGCTCCCGGGGCGAGAGCTCGGCGGCCGAGCTGGGGCTCCACAACGGCGCCGACCTGCAGGTCATCGAGATGCAGAGTAGGTGGCGGGGCCGCGGCAGGGAGGCTGGGGGCGGGGGGGGGGGGGGGAGGCAGCCCCAGGGCGGCGTTTCTCTCGAGGAGCCGCGTTCCGGAGCTTGCTTCGGCCTCAGCGCCCTGCGCGCAGGCCTCCGCACGCTCGGAGTCGGTGCCGGGAAGGTCGGCTGCAGCCCGTCAGCTCCCCAGGGCGCGCTTCCTGGTGCCACTGCCGTGGACGTGTCGTGGGGGAGGGGTGGATTTGGAGCTAACACACTAACTAAAACTAAAGTTTCAGAACTTTGCCAGCGGTTTCCTCATTAACCCCGTATCTGTAGATGGCGTTTAAAAGAAGGCCGCGAAGTATTCAGTTTACCTGATGCCGTTTTTCTTCTTTGCCCCCTTGTTTTATTCTTTTTTTGTTTTTTAAATTTTTTAATGTTTATTTATTTCTAAGAGAGAGAGAGAGAGAGAGACGGCGTGAGCAGGGGAGGGTCAGAGAGAGAGGGAGTCACAGACTGAAACAGGCTCCAGGCTCCGAGCTGGCAGTCAGCACAGAGCCCGATGCGGGGCTCGAACCCATGAACCGCGAGATCATGACCTAAGCGAAAGTCGGACGCTTAACCACTAAAACCGCCCCTGTTTTATTCTTTTTAAATGTTTAGTTTGACAGAGAGGGAGAGAGAGAATCCCAAGCAGGCTCCATGCTCAGCACGGAGCCTGATGCAGGTCACTACCGCACGATGGTGGCCTGAGCCCCTGGCGCCCCGACCCCGTGTTGTTCCGAAGGGCCCGCTGTGTTGCAGTGACCTCCGCGGCCGGGGAGGGCCCAGCGGCCGTCCGTGTGCAGTTAGAGGCCGTGTCATTCACAGACGGCAGTCAGCACTTGTTTCACTTTGAATAGTGGCTTTTCTGATGACTGACTCTTAATACTGATTTTTGAGGTTAGTGTCATTTCCTTCATTAGATACCTGTTGGGGCCCCTGTGACACTTCCTGTTCTAGAAATACTTGGGCGTGGATGGTGGATGAAGGCCGGCGTGAGAGGCAGGTGGTGACGGTCGCCGGCCCGGTACAAGGGGCGGGAGAACCTGGAGACGGCAGGGGGGTCTGAAAGAGATTGGCCTAACGCAGCAAATGCGGAGGGAGGCACGGCGCGGGTGGGCACGGCTTCCGCGCGCACGCTCCTGCCACAAGCCCGGTGTCACACGCCTGAAAACAGGAGGGAAAGGGACGTTTACGGGGAGGAGGTGAGCCCACTGCGGAGAGAGGAGGCTGGGCTGGAGAACCGCAAGCCCACATCCGGAAGCTGGTTTTGGAGCCCAGCAGTAGGAACCGGTCCCTCCCTGAGCGAGGGGCCTTCGCGGTGACGGGTTTCTAGCCCGCTACCTTCAGGCGACGTAACTAGGTAGATGGGCCTCTCGCTGAAGAGCATGTAAGTGGTTGGGACTTCAGTGATGCGGAAAAGCCGAAGAGTTCTTGGGGAGCCTGGGCGGCTCCGTCGGTTAAGCTCAGGTCATGATCTCACAGTTCATGAGTTCCAGCCCCGCGTCGGGCTCTCTGCTGTCGGCACAGAGCCCGCTGTGGATTCTGTCCCCCTCTCCCTGCCCCTCTCCCACGCGTGCGCGCGCGCTCCCAAAAAGAAACATTACAGAAAAAAGTTCCTAGGTAGGTTAGATTTGGTTTATCTCCTGTGGGCCTTACTCATGCCCTGTATCATTTCAGAGTGATTTTTGTTAAATTTGGTTTGCCGGAGGGAGTTTATCTAGACTCCTCATTTTAACTGACGCGCCTCTTAGGTCAGAAGTGCAAGTAAGGATTGTAAGTCCCCCCACCAGATCCCCACACGCCACTGAAGGGCAGTCCCCTCAGCAGCCGGTCACTAAGCACAGAGACAGACCGCAGGCGGCATAGCCGGGTCCCCTCTCCTTTCGCATGTATGTTGCCTTCAGAAAGCACGATCAGTGTTAAAAAAGACACTGTAAATCAAAGCGACAGAAGGCGACGTCACAGCTGGCTAAGGAGAGTGCCGACGGAGGTTGCTCCGGTGCGGGGTCCCTGAGGTGAGGCGGGAGGGCACAGGAGCCGTGGGCAGCTGACCGAGGTGGTTAGGGGCCACTGGTGTCCCCGTGGGGCTCCCTGCTGCAGCACGTTCGGTCTCCATGCACCACGGGTGAAGAGGCCTCTTCCATCTCCCAGGTCGAGGGACGCTCGGGTCAGGTGCTTGAGCTGCCCCGTGGGCATCCACGTCGGGTCTCGGAGACCGCAGAGTCCTTGCCCTGGGTGTCCGTGCCCGACGGTCACACCTTCTCTCTGAGATGGGTCCATCGCTTTCTTCTCTTCCAGGAGATGCCAACAGACAAATTAGTGAGTACAAGTTTAAGCTTTCAAAAGCAGAACAGGACATAACCACGTTGGAACAAAACGTAAGTACTTCCGCAGCCTGGTGCCAAGTGGTCTGAAGTCCCTTTGCAGCGGCTAGGCGGCTAAGTCCGCGGCTCCTGGGTCCCCCCGGCCGCCCCTGCAGCTGGCGCTCTGGCGGAGCTGTGTGTCAAAGACGAGCGGCGGCCGAGCGCGCGGAGGCCCCGTCAGCCGTCCGCAGAAAGCTAGCTGCGGTTCGGTTTCTTCCAGCTACTTTAAGAGACTTCAGGAAGCCTCTTGGTTTGAAAATCCCTTAATCTACGTTTCAGGAAGTCTAAAAGCCTTTCCGTCTAGTGTGTCTCACCCTGCGGTGTTCCGCTGGCGCTCAGACCGCGTGCTCCTCGCAGGGCTGACGTGGGAGGCTGGCCCTGTGCGGGCCCTGCCGCTGTAACCCTCTGGGGACCCGTCCTCAGCTATAAATAGCCGTTGGGTTCGGAGAGGCCCTGTGAGTGGCCGTGAGGGGACGACTGGGGATCTGTGATGACGCCGTGTTTCCATCGTGGCTGCAAGGAAAGGGCCCCCGGTGCCGCTCACCAGAGGCCCGCGTTCCCCTGTCGCAGGTCAGCCGCCTCGAGGGCCAGGTGCTGAGGTACAAGGCGGCTGCGGAGAACGCGGAGAAAGTGGAAGACGAGCTGAAGGCGGAAAAGAGGAAGCTACAGCGCGAGGTAGCCGCTTTTGCGTGCCCAGAGGGGTCCCGCGCCGCGGGAGGGGTTGAGTGCTGGGTCCCCCCTCGGGGAACAGCTGTGGAGTCCCTTACTCCTCCGTGTTGGTTTTTGACCCACACGGTGACCGCCATTTGCTTTATGTTGGTCGATCAGAGACTAAGAGAAAGGACGGCTTTCCCTTCGTTTAAGGCCGGTCTCTTCCTCTATGTCCTTTCTGTGACTGGCGCTCAGCGTCCCTGCTCGGCACCGCCAGCAGGCGGAAGGGAGACGAGGCCGGGTCGGCAGCGCTTGCGTGTCGCGGCGGGGGCGCGGAGGCGGCGCTGGGTTGTGCGTGTGACCGGGCTCTCCCTGTGTGCAGCTGCGAACGGCACTGGACAAGATTGAGGAGATGGAGATGACGAACAGCCACCTGGCCAAGCGGCTGGAGAAGATGAAGGCCAACAGGACGGCGCTTCTGGCCCAGCAGTAGGCGGCTGCCCTCCGCCGGCGCCGCCCCTGGGGTCCCGCGCAGGGGCACTGACTTTCTGTCCGTTGACACGAACCCCCTTCAGTACTGTTTGAGTTTTGTCATTGAAATAGCCACCTTTGTATTTTATAATTTATGAGAGAATGAAACAGGTTTGAATCTTCGTGAATGAACACTTTGGATTTCGTCTGCAATGTGATTCTAGACTAAGAACTGGTCCGTGCTGTTTCGATTTTTTATTTCCGTAATTTTATTTCTGTAATTTTAGAATCAGGCGAACTCGCCGCTTCCCCCGGCCGCCGCGGGGACGGGGCCCTCGGAGGCCTCGGCGCGGGCTCTGGAGGACGGCGCTCCTGCGCGCCCCCGAGATACTTGGCTGGAGACCTCGGGAACCCAAGTGCCTTCTCCACGGTGCGGTGCAGACTTCGGTCCTCCACGGCGGCCAGAGAACTTGCCTTTCGTGTCACATAGCGTTTCTGTCTTAGTGAAGAAACCAGTTCACACGTGGGGAATGTATGTTTCACTCAAATTTCTATGTTTGGAGGAAAAAGCCTTTTTTTGTAAAATATTTAAATTTATATAAGAAAATGTTAGAAAAAGATACGGGGAGTGTATATCAAACTTGCTTCAGTGCGTGTGGCCGGGAGGTCCAAAGCCTGGCGCTCTCACAGTAAGAGGAAGCCCCTTCGTCTTTGACGTCACCGGTGCCGTATCTCATGTCCAGTGTCCCACCTGCTGCTGATCCGTGCAGGGAGCCCCCCCCAGAGCCCGGCGGGAAGTCGGCCTGAAGACCCTATTAAATGCACCCTCTTGCTGACCACAGTTGGCTGCGGACGCGTTCATTTTGTCACACGGGCAGCCACGCCCCTTAGGCTGCCCTCGTCTCTCCTGCTCACGGAAACAAATCTAGAATATACAGCATTTTAAGAACTTCAGTTTCGTCCGTGACGATACCCAGTGGGGGAAAAGGCTTTTGTCGCGGAGCTGCTCCGCGGGGTCCGTGATTCTCTTTTGCCCCCAGGGTCCAGGCTCCTGGACGTGGCTGTCACATCTTCAGAAGCAGCCCTGGGGGAAGCGTAATGAGTCAAGGGCACACGAGAATAAAGTTAGACGTGGAATTAGATACTAAAGGTAACTGGAACGTGAAGGAAATCTCTGCGATTGGCCCCCTCCCCCGTGTCAGAGCGGCTGGCCTGTTGTTGTTCATCACGGAATCCGTTGCTGGGAGTGGAGGGGACAGCCTATCGATCTCTTCTGCAGGTGGGGGCGGGGGGGGCGCCGGGAGGGCGAGGTTCCGGTCCCTGAGGGGGAGGGCCCCACAGCTGGAGCCTGTGGGGAGACCCTGCCTCCCTCCGTCCCCAAAACCGGTCTGGGCTGCTCAGCCCGCGCCCCGTTGGGCTCATGGGAGCGGCCGCTGAGACGCCCTGTCGACTTTTTGGAAGGTCCATGTGGTAGAACCTGATGTCACTCCTTTTGTGACACAACAGATCTGTCTCTTCCAAAGAGGCTCCACCTTTTCATTCCGTCCGTGGAACGTTCTTCACGGAGTCTCGTAATCGGGATTTTACCTCAGAACTGTCGGCGTTCTTCCTGTGCGCGCCGCACGTTTCTGCTAACACAGGCCGGCACTAGAGGCACCACAGCAGTGGCACCTGCGGCTCAGGTTGGTACGTTTACACCGTCCTTCAGACAAGAACAGCGAGAACTTTATCTTCAGCTGGGAGGATTTCTATCCGTTAGTAACGGAGGCTGATGTGGAACGCGCACCAGTTCCAGACTCGGTAAGCACTCCTGTCACCTCTCAACTTCTCATTATGAACGAACATTAGCTTTGGTTACTGAGGGCGTAACAGGTTAGCGATTCCCCTTCCTCCATGCTCCGTGTCACCAGAGCCTCTTCTAGTTCAGGACCCTAGTTGCGGGCACTTCACTGAGCCACCCCGGTGCCCCCAGGACCTGTTTTAAAAGGCACGTGAACCAACCTAATTCGTATCACCCAATATTAGAAATTTACCAGAATACACACAGAATCAAAGTGGAGCAAGAACTATAAAATCTTTAGGGCATTTTGAGAATTCTTACCAGATGCCCAGAGGGCGCTCAAACTACTTCTGGGTTTTTTAACACAGTATATTGTAGGTGAAAATACATCGAGAGCTTTTCAAGTGTAATTATTTTTATTTTTAAAAATTTTTAACGTTTACTTTTTAGAGAGCGTGAGTCTGTCAGTGCAGAGCCCGATGCGGGGCTCGAACTCACGAACGGCGAGATCATGACCCGAGCTGAGGTCAGGTGTCTGGTAGACTAAGCTGCCCAAGCGCTAGGTAAATAAGGAATCATCAGAATTAGGACACCTCTGACGATTTACTTCCGGCCGATCCACCGAGGGTGAAAGGAGGTAACTAGTCAGCGGGCAGAGGGGAGTCTGCAGCCCCAAGCCCTGCCCTCGGGGGGACGCGGCGCCGGGCGCCCGGGGCCGGGAGGGGCGTGGTTAACACCTCTCGAAGACTTTGTACAGGTCGGGCAGGCTCGCAAGCTGCAGGACGCTTCCGTCCTCCGTGAAGTGTTTAGGAGGCAGGAGGTGTGCGCGGAAGGCCTTATAGACCACGTGTTCCACGGTCCACTTCCAGGGGTTTGCGGAGGCGGCGGGGGCCTCGCTCTGGAGAAGATGGGTTACAGGTCACAGCCCGCCCCGTTCACGCCGCCGACCGGCCCCGCCCCCCCCGCAGGTTGTGACCGGCCCGGGCCTTGCTGGTCACTGTCCTCCCGGAAGCTGGTGAGACGCCCTCTTCGGGCAGCGTCTGGGGGCCGCGGGCCTGCGCGCAAGAGGAGACTCCGAGGGCAGAAGGAACTGCCTGCCCGAGACTTGCTGCCCCGGAAACTCGGTTTCCACGTGGGAGCAGCGTGGGCCGGGGCAGGCGCGAACGGGAGGGCGGATCCCGACGACGACCTCGGGACGCCAGCGGGAGGCAGTGCCTCCGCGGGCCCTTCGGGCGCCCAGCCGAGCGGGGTCCGTAAGCCGGGCCGGGCCTGGGTGCGGCCCTGCTTTCCCGGCACAGCCAGGCGAGCGCGGGGACTCGGGCGCGGGCCCCAGGCTCCGCTCCGCAGGCTAACGGAGAGGAGGACCCGCCCCCCCCACCCCTGCTTCTCGCTGGGATGGCCTGTGCTTTTCCATTTGACAGTGAGATCATTCCAGACCAGCAGAAGGAAGCAAAACTCACGAATAAAAGCCGGGCAGTGTGCTAACCCTCCTGTGCAGGGAAATCCTAGCGAGGGGGAGGCGGCGGCGCGAGGCCCATGCCACGCCCGGCACCAGGGGCATCTTTGCCACATACCTGCTGGCCCGACAGGGTCGACTCCTCGCACACATACTGCTTCCGGATGGAGTAGAAGAGAGCGCACTCTTTGCTGAGGCTTTCGAAACACTCCTTTTCCTCATCCCAGTTCACCTGGTCCAGGGAGGGGACACGTCAGCACGCGCACCGCGCTAACCCCCACTTCCCGGCCAGGCGGGCACCGCACACCGCGCGCAGATTTCCAAGGGTAACTTCTGAGGCATCGGGTGTGAAGTGTAAGTGCCCGGGTAGGTGGGGGAAGGGGCCGGCAGCGGTCCCGCCCTCTGACGCAGGCGCCCTCCCTCTCGCCCCACCCCCCACGCCCCGCACACTGAGGGACGCCGGTCACTTGGTCACTTGCCTCGGTGGCTAGGCGCAGGATGAAGACAGGCAGGCCCTCCAGAGGCGGCACGTAGTTGTCGATCAGCAGGGGCAATCCGGTCAGGTTCCCTTCCTGCTGGTTTTCGGAAACGCGGCCATGGCAAGGGGACAAGACGTAGGACGGTCACGGTCTAATCGAACTCCGTGTCCCCGCTGCGCCCTCCGGGCCCTTCCTCCCCCCTGCACTCGGGGCTGCGCACCGCGGGCAGGAGAGCAAAGCACCTAAAAAGCTTTGTCCTGACGCGAGGCAGAAGACGATTTGTTTCCATGCGCTCACCCGCTCACGAACAGGGGCTGAGAGGCCCAGAGGCTACGGGGACGGGACAAGAAAGAAGGAAAGCAAGCGGCGTGGCGCGGCCTGGTTCACTGCGGCCCGCGGGGGCCGTGGGACTCCGCTCTCCCTCTCCTGCATCCCTCACGCTGGGAACAGAAAGGGGCATGAGTGCGGGCAGAAACGGCCGAGCCCCGGAGGCGCAAGCAGGGAGGGAGGACGTGCCGCCTCCACTGGGTGGGCAGCCCCTCCGCCCTGGTCCCGGGCCAACGACAGAACCAGCCTCAGGTGGAGTACACGACAGAAGCGCCCAGATGGCTGCACACACCTCATCAATCTCCAGAGAGAAATAGTCTGCGAGCATCTCCGCCTTCTTCTTCAGGAACTCCACGATGTACTCGGCAAGTCCTTCCTTGGGTCCGTCTTCCTCCGTCCAGCCGCTCTCGGGACTGTCCAAGGCGAGCATGGCCAGGTCGAAGAGCGGCGCCGGCTCCTAGGGAGGGGGAGGTGTCAACAGTGTGTCCACATGCAGCCACCTCCCTCCCGTGAAGCCGCCACAGGCGTCCGTGCCCCGCATGCGCTCTGGGTTGTGTTCATCCCACAGCAGAGGAGCTGTCACAGCAAAGGGACCGAAATGAATTCCTCGGTCCCAGTGCATATAAAAGTCACGTTTTCACGGGGGCGTATCCGACAGTCTATTAATGTGAAATCGCATGTGTCTTAAAAAACCTTTGTTTCTTAACTAAATTTCTTGCTGAAGACCGCTAGCCATCATCCGAACTGAATCCCACTGAATGACACCAGTCATTGATCAGTGTGTACTGTACACAAATACGGTAACAGTGGACAAGTCTGAAATACTGTGAGAACTACCAAACGGACACAGGGACGTACAGCGAGCACCTGCTGTTGGGAAAACAATGCCAACGGACTTGCTGTGCGCAGAGCTGCCACACGCCTCCGACCTGTAAGGGTGTGAGGTCTGCGACGTTTGGTGAGGCACAGAACAAATCCAAGACGGTGACGGCAGGTGGGAAACCCCAGATCTAACACGCATTCCCCATCTCTCACAGGGAAAACACCCCAAAACCCACAAGGACACCTCCTCCTTCCCCTCACGGATGGCCACTTGAGCAGAGAGGTGATGGCCTGCTGAACGGGCAGTCGGGGAGGCTGTGCGGAGGCACCTGCCTTCTGTGGAGCTCTAGCAACTCCACCTGCCTGCATATTTCTAGTGCCTCACTGATAACTAGAGCAAGAGGAGAGGGTGAATAAGTCAGATGACATTTCAGGTAAATCATCTGATGAGGAAGACTGAAATACATGGTTAAAAATAAGCCGCCAAGGGGCGCCTGGGTGGCTTAGTCGGTTGAGCGTCCGACTTTCGCTTAGGTCATGATCTTGCGGTTCGTGGGTTCGGGCCCCGCGTCGGGCTCTGTGCTGACTGCCGGCTCAGAGCCTGGAGCCTGTTTCAGAGTCTGTGACTCCCTCTCTCTCTGACCCTCCCCTGCTCACGCTGTCTCTCTCTCTCTCCCCTAGAAATAAAAATGTTAAAAAAAAAAAAAAGAAAAAAAAGCCGCCAAGGTGCCCCTGGGGGACTCAGTCGATTGAGCGTCCAATTTTGGCTCAGGTCATGATCTCACAGTTCATGGGTTCGAGCCCTGCATCGGGCTCTGTGCTGATAGCTCAGAGCCTGGAGCCTGCTTTGGATTCCGTATTTCCCTCTCTCTCTGACCCTCCCCTTCTCATGCTGGCTGTCTCTCTCTCTCTCAGAAATAAATTAAAAAAAAAAAAAAACTCCTAAATTTTCTTTCATTTCTCCCCCTTCTGTCGTTACTGTGGCCGTAATGCTTTACTTTTACACATGTTATAATCCTACACGACACTGTAATTTTTCATACTAATGGAGGAATCGATGAAAGGACCTGATGATTCTAAACATTTACGCTCTCAGTAACACCTTTAAAATCTGTGAAGGACCAAACTAATGGAAACGAAAGACAGAAAGACAAATTCAAGATTATAGTAAAAGGTTTCAATATGACCCTTTAAACACACTCTACTCAAGCAGACCAAGATACAGATACCTTCCCAGAGCATGGGGATCAGCACAGATCAGACCCTGGGCCATAACACAAGTCCCGATAATGTAAAAGGATTCAGGTATGTTCTCTGACCAAAATGCAATTAAATTAGAAATCAGTAACAGATACCAGGAAAATCTCTTGGGCAATGGAAACAACACATTTTTTTAAAATGTTTTATTTCTGAGGGAGAGAGACACAGCGTGAGCAGGGGGAGGGTCAGAGAGAGAGGGGGAAACACAGAATCCGAAGCAGGCTCCAGGCTCTGAGCTGTCAGCACAGAGCCCGACGCGGGGCTCAAACTCACAAACTGTGAGATCATGACCTGAGCCGTAGTCGGACACTTAACCAACTGGGCCACCCAGGCGCCCCTGGAAACAACACCCTTCTAAATAACCTGGGGGTAAAAGAAGAAACCAAAACAGAAATAAAGCATCTTGAACTGGGTGAAAATGACCTGTTACAATCTGTGGGAAGCAGCTAGAGCAGCACGCTGGGGAAACGTATTAGCACGTGAGCACCTGTGTCAGAATCGAAGGAAGAGGTCACATCAGTGCTCAGCTTCCACCTTAGGAAATTCAAAACAGAAGAGCTAATTAAACCCAAAGTAAGTAGAAAGGAAATAGTAAGGACCAGAGTAAATATCAATGAAATAGAAAACAGGAGAACAGAGAAAAATCAATGAAACCAAGAGTCAGTTCTTTGAGATCAATACAACTGATAAACTTCTAGCCAGATCGATTAGGTTAAAAGACAGGATGTGCAATTCCCAATATTAAGAATGAGGGGATCTAGACGTTAAAAGAATTATAAAAAATACTATGAACAACTTCGCACCACTAAATTTGAAAACAGACAAATTCCTTGAAAGAAACAAAAACCGAAGCTCAGTCAAGAAGATAAAGATAACCTGACTAGTTATATATGAAAGAAATTGAATTTGTAGCTACAGACCTTCCCATGAGGCAATCTCCAGGCCCAGATGGCTTCGCTGGTGAATTTTACTAGACATTTAAGGAGTAAACACCAATTCTACACAGAGGGGACTCTCCCCACCAATAATTCCGATACCAGTATTATGCTGATACCAAAATGAAAGACTACAAGAAAACTAAAAACCAGTATCATTCATCAACATATATGTAACAACTGTAAACAAAATTCTAGAAAATCTATTTCAGTCACTTATAAAAAGAATACATCACACACAAGCAGTGTTCATCCCAGGATTGCAAGGTTGGGTTTTAACATGAAAACGAATGTAATTCGTTATGTTAACAAATTAAAAAACAACAGCACACAATCATCTTAACAGGAGGAGAAAAGGCGTTTGACAAAACGCCATATCCATTCCTGAATAACAACGCCACGCAAGCAAGGACCAGAAGGGGGTTTCCTCAACCTCCCAAGGGGCATCTCATCTGTATGCACAGCAGAAGGCATACGTAACCCTGAAAGTGAGTGTGCTTCCCCCCGGGATCAGGAACAAGACCAGGATTTCCATTCTCACCTCTTCTATTCCACACTGTACCGAGGGCTCCCCACTGCAGTCGGTGGGGGGAGGGAGAGAAAAGCCGTCGGACTGGACAGGAGGCATAAAAGTGTCTATTCCTACAGAGGCCAAGATCACCTACGTAGAAGCTGATGGAATCTACAGGAAAGCAACTGGGACGTCCAAGCGAGTTTGGCAAGTTTGCAAGGTGCAGGGTCACCGCACAAGCACACCTGCATCTCTGCGCAGCAGCAGCTGCAGCAGCAAACAGTTGGCAGATGTTTAAAATGCCATCCATCCATGATGGTGTCAAAACGGGGGCATTACTATGGGATAAATCTAACAGAAGATTTCCTCACCGAACTGGTCTGCAGATTAAAGAGAGTCCCAGTGAAAATCCCAGAAGGCTTTTTTGTAGAGTATGTCACCCCTAAAAAGAAAATCTAAAACTACACAGATAAATAGGATTTTAATTCTAAATTAAAATTAAGCAATGAAAAGGTCTTGGAAGACACGACCTAATATTATTAGCCGGGGTTGCTTGTGTGTGTGGGTCACGGGCTTTAGAGGATGTTTATTCCAATTTTTCTCTCTTTACAAGTTTTCTTAAGTAGATATGTATTAACTTAGATAACAATAAACACGTCTTTAAGCTTGGCTACCAAATGACTGTTCTGCTTTGTATACAACTGTATAAAGACTGTAGAAAACTGAAGACCCTTCCCTCTGCAAATCATACAGTATAGAAACTGTCCTAAACATAGTTAGGAAAATCTAATACACAGCAAATCAGATATTAGGGTAGAGCTGCTATTTTCAGAAATGAGCAAGTGTTGGAAGTTTCAGAAGTGAGAAGCAGGAAATAAACTTACCGACAGCCTCAGAACACCAAAATTGGCAAAATCATAAATAAGGATCTGGTAGAACAGTTCTTCGCTGAAAATAAAAATGAAGACACTTTAAGGAAATGCCAACCCTCAGTCAGGACGAATGGGAGAAATAACCGCTGAAACGTGGACGGGTCACAGGGACGGCTCCGCCTTGCTGTGGAGCGTCTGCCGAGACCCCCTCCTCCAGGGCGCCGGGGCCCCCCCCATGGGCTCCAGTCACGGCGGCTCCAGCTCTCCGGCTCCACACGCACCCGAGAGCACTAACGCTATATCTCTAAGTCACCCATGGTCTGTCCACAACCCCTGGTGCTGTGAAAGGTGATTGAACGCCTTTGTAGGTGAAACTGAAGGAATCCGTGTTTGCTTACCTTTTCCCCACTTACAAAGAATCCTGTCAATATTTTTTATTTATTTATTTTTTTTTTACAACCCATCATTAAACATGGTATGGAGTGTACAGGGAGGGCGGGAGGCCACCCTGGTGTGTGGGGCCGGACGAGGCACTGGCTGGCCATGTTCCAGAAGCAGCCGTAAAGTATACGATACACTGAACTCCTTGCACAACACAGGCCTGGAAGAAGGGCACTTCAGAGGTCTTCAGCAACCGCAGCCACACAGGGCTGTTTAGAGACTTCTTTCCACCACCAGACTGGACAAAGCATCTGGTACCTTCACATTATAATGGGGAAACCGAGGCACTCAGAAAGAACCCGACTTGTCCCAGGTTGGAGTTAATAAGGTGGAAAACGAAAGAGTTGGGTCCAGACACTACTCTGAACCTGGTTCTCAATCTGTTTCTTTTACCTTCTCCCTGGGAAAGTGTTCGCATTTTTGACTCACTAGAATTCTAGGACTGGTCTGGATTTCTGTTCGTGAAATGAAAGAGCCTGACCACAGCTGCGATTTGGAGCCCTGGAAATGCACTTACACAGGCTGGAAAAGCAAGAACAAGGGCAGCTGAATTCCTAACGCATTAACAAGAGACCACTCACCGGACAGGCCATAGCGGTCTCCAGGCAAAGACAACGAACCCTGACCGGAGCTGCACCGACGGGCGCAAGAGGAGTGAGTTCTTATCCAAGGACGGACATGAGCCAACAGTGAGCTGTACGGGGGCAGTTTCAAGGTGGGGGAGGTCAAACTGTCATCTCGAGAGCCGCCCTAAGTCACGTCCATAGCTGCCCTGCTCGCAGGCTCAGGAGGCCCTGAGGCAACAACAGGGCTGGTGGGGAGCCCCCCCCCCCACCATGGGCAGGCGATGTCTACTAGATGCAGGGTGCCAGCACCCTCCCCTCGGTGCGGCCTACTTGAGGACATACATACTACAGGTTCCAGACTCACTACAGCTCGCCCCCCAAGGTCTGTGGAGACAACAGAAACGTGCGGGCTACGCGCAGAGCAAACGGCACCGACGTCACCACCCTTTCTGCGCTCGTCAGCCCCACAGGCTGGTGTGGTGGCGAGGGTAAGCCCTGGCTGAGGAGGAAAGGGGGCCTCGGGTCTTCTTTCTCTTGCATCCCACACAGCAGATGCTAGAATGCTCCACCAGCACTAAGCCCCAAACCCTGGTCCACGGCGGCCAACATTTACGAGCACCTGAGACAGAATTTAGGCAAGTGCCGCGTCCACGGTCACATTAAATGGCAAATGGCTCATTCTGGATTTGAAACCGTATCTGTCTGACTCCAAAGCCTGGGACCTGTCCAAACATACCTCAGTTTGGTGGTGTTGAGAAGGTACAGCTTGGTCTGATGCTGTGCCAGGGCCCACTGCGCGTTCACACAGCCCACGAAGGAGTGGTGGTGCAGCATCTCTCGGAGAGCTGGAAAACAAGAAGCCGGTGACGTCGTGACATCCGCCTGACACCCCTCTGCAGCCCAACGCCCCAAGCGCCAGGACGAGAGACAGCAACGCAACGGGATGTGGCCCAAAGATGAAGGGATACTCAATGATTGTGACCCCAAGCGGAGCAAGGAGCCAGGGAAGTACTGAGAGCTGTGAGGCCAGCTTTACCCAAAGGCACCAGAGGAAGCTCAGGAATCATGAACGCCAGTTTCTGCAGGCTCTGAGGTGCGGAGCAGGCAAAACAAAACCGTAGGACTGGTTTGAAATGGGGAGACGAGTGGGGGACCACTTCCCTGGCACGTGAGGCTGAGATGCCAGGGGCCGCACCTTCCGGCAAAAGAGAAGACGTAGTGTGTCCTGTGCTCTCGGGGCAGTGAGCAGGCCTCTGCCCACCTCAAGCCTGGGTGTGGGGAGCGAAAAGAAAAATTACAGCCCTGAGAATAAGCGCGTCGCCTAAAAGCTTGTATGGAGATTAGGGCTTAACGTGATTCCAGGGCTGACTGTCCCTCCAGGTCCCTGACAGAATCAAATGTAAATTCTCTGTAGAGAACCTCAGTTTCAATCCAGGCTTCAAATAATCCCCCACAGATAAAATACCAGGAACTAGCAGTCAAAAAATTACAAAACACACAAAGAATGCATCAGGAATTAGAATCCAGAAAAAACCACATGACCTCTGCAGGACACTAAAGAAGAGATCTTAACGGGCCTGGGCACACGGGTGGCTCAGTCGGTTTAATGCCTGACTCTTTTTTTTTTTTTTTTTTTTTTTTTTTTGTTTTGTTTTTTTTTGTTTTTTATTTCTAGGAGAGAGAGAGAGAGACAGCGCGAGCAGGGAAGGGTCAGAGAGAGAGGGAGTCACAGACTGAAACAGGCTCCAGGCGCTGAGCTGGCAGTCAGCACAGAGCCCGACGCGGGGCTCGAACCCAAGAACCGCGAGATCATGACCCAAGCGAAAGTCGGACGCTTAACCGACTAAGCCACCCAGGCGCCCCTAATGCCTGACTCTTGATCTTGGCTCAGGTCATGACCTCATGGCTCATGAGTTCAAACCCCAAGTCGGGCTCTATGCTGGCAGTGTGGAACTGCTTGGGATTCTCTCCCCCGGCCCTCCCCTGTTTGTGCTTTCTCGCTCTCTCACTCTCTCTCTCAAAATAAATAAATAAGCATTAAAAAAAAAAAAAAAAGAAATAAGATCTTCAAAGCGTTCAGAAACAAAAGAGAGACTACCCACAAAGTAATTAAACATAAGACTGATAACTGGATGTGCAGCAACAACAGTGGAAGCTAAAAAATGACAGAACACCTTCAATGCATTAACAAAAGGTAACTGCCAATCTGGAATTTTAAAACCAGCAAAAACACTTTTCAAAATGTGGATGAACTGGACAAAATAAAACTCAGTTTGCCACCTGTGACATCACTGAAGGATGTGCTTCAGGCAGACCATGAAAGTTCTCAGGGAAAGAATTCTGAGCAAATAATACTTGCTAAATCCAAACAAACAATAACAACATATTATGGAACAATATGATATGCACATGAAAACCATGAATCTGATACTATCCACTAAAGACAAATTCCCGGAGGACTAGGGATTTACATAAAGCATTTTAAAAGGTAACAAAGAAGTATATCTTTAATTACCTCACAGTTAGAAAGCATCTTCTAAATAAGAAGCCAATCTGTGAAGAATGACTCATAAAATCTGCCTATGTTAATCTAAGAATTTCTGTTCATGAAGCAAGTGTTTATTTAAGAAGAGAAGATGGATGAGTCCTAAACTGGGGGAAGATGTTTTCATGTAATGGATTATCATCTGGAATACATGAAGAACTCCTCAAATCAGTTCAGAAAGACTAAAACTCAACAGAAAAATGGGCAAAACACTTGAACAGGCACTTCATGGAAGGGGAACTATGCTTAAATGTGTTAGTACTCAGAGAGATGCAAATAAAACCACCATTAGTTATCATTTCACACACACTAACTGGTAAAAAACCTGACAGGATCAGATGCTGGAGAGAAAGCAGAACAAATGCAATGTCTATACGTTCTTGGTGGGACCAACAAGGTGCACATTTATCCGACCCCTCTGAAAACAATTTATCATCTTATGACCCAGGAGTAGCTTTCCCAAGTAGATACCCACAGCCGAGCTTCTAAACCCGTGTGCCAAGCTCTTGAATCTCTCGTGGTCAGGAGCGGGTGGGGTATGAGCAAGCAAGGATGAAGCCATGTGAGTCCTCTAAATCTCCCCTGACAGCAGAGTGAATGAACAAACATGCAGTCATAGTCACCACATGGAAACTATACATAGAAAAAGTAAACCAGAACTATACGTAATAAGACGGATGAATCCTAGGAACATAATGTGTGGATACATACATGTATATAGCAAAAAATGTATATATACATATATACACATACATACACACATATACACATATACATATATGTATACATATGTATATGCATATGTGTATACATACATGTATATATGAATATTAATATATCCTATATATACTATACATATGAACATATACATATATACATACATGTGTATATATATTCGTATTCATACGTATTCATGTATACGTATATATGTAGTAAAAATACAATATGATTCCCAGGTGCCTGGGTGGCTTAGTTGGCTAAGCGTCTGACTTTCGCTTAGGTCATGATCTCTCGGTTTGTGGGTTCGAGCCCCTTTTCGGGCTCTGTGCTGATTGTCAGCTCAGAGCCTGGAGCCTGTTTCAGAGTCTGTATCTCCCTCTCTCTCTGACCCTCCCCTGTTCACGCTGTCTCTCTCTATCCTAGAAATAAAAATATTTAAAAAAAAAATACAATGATTCCATTTATGTAAGACTTAAAACTTACAGGCTAAACAAATTTTTTAGGGCTACAAATATAGTGGTAAAAGTAGGTTAAAAAGAAAAGACATAATAATCACAAAATTTAGGATGGTGATTACCTTTAAGGGAAAGGGAAGAGGGCGGATTAGGGGAGAAGCATGGAAAAGATTCAAAGGTGACAGGCAATGCTCTCTCTTCAGCAGATGCTCACGTTTTCTTCTACAGATCCTATGTAAATATTTCATAAATTTGACTCTGTATTTACCAATATGTGTGTGCATGCGTGCGTTTTAAATGGAAAAGCAACATACCACCACCACAAAGGGAGTGGGGAAAAAGGGTTTGGAAACCACAGGAAAGGGTCAGGGGACAGCAATAAGCCTGTACATCATGTTTTCACTACTCAGCACTTTTTTTTTTTTTTTTTTAAGCGTGGGCACCACGACTGAATTCTCACGCTGTTACATAAATTCTGTAATACTCTGTCCTCCCAAACTCCAGTAAGAAGAGGCTTTTTTTTCTCCCTTCACTTTTTAGAATGAAGTGTTCCCCTCTGTTTCCCACTGGAAATTCCTCTCTCCACAGGGTGTACTGCGTAGGCGGGAAATGATTATTTTAAAAGCTGGCCAACATCAAATAATCTTGAATAATGAGGCACTGGAGGAAAGAGAAATCCGCTAAGAAAAGGGTCAGAGATTTTTCCATACAGATTTTCCATGGAACCCGCTGGCGCATCCGAGCTCCCGAGGCCCGGCCCTGGCAGCCAGCGGGGAAGGCGGAGGCGTCTGCTGGCGTCTGGCGCGGGGCTTGCCCAGGTGCCCTTCCATCCAGACGGGCCTTGTCTTCCCGGGGCCTCTGGAGGCTGCGTGGACCTCGAGCACCTCTCTTGCACGCTTCCGTTAGACAGGTCCACAGCATGGGACGTGTTGCGGGCATTTCCTTGCCATTCTGCCGGCAGCAAAACGGGGCAGGATCCTTGGTCCTTCTGTGCTTCGAGGCCGAACCACACATCCGCGTTCTCAGTGGAGGCCCTGGGTCTCGGCACGTTCTCCCGAGAAGCAGCAAGGAGAGCCAAGGCCGAAGGAGGCGCGCCCGTCCTCTACTCCTTACTGGCCATCTGCAGAGCAGGGGCTCGGCGCCCTGCCGGCCTGCGTGCAGACGCCACCGCACACCGCCCGTGGCTGTCGTCGGAGACGCCCGGAAGCCGCCGCGCGCACCAGGCCGTCGGGGATGATCGGAAGCCCTCCCAGGCTGGCCGCACGTCTTGGCTGAAGTGGCCTCTACTTGCTACAGCAGATCTTCCTCTTCCCTTCTGCTGTGGCCAGTCACTGGCTCCGCACTCCCCACAACACCCTGGTGTCCTGTAAGGCAGGGGCCAAGGCCCATTCACCTCCCTTTCTGCCAAGGGCTTGGCATCGGGCATCTGTGCAGAGAAGATACTTGACAGAGGTCGGCCAAGCTGATTTCCTGTACCAAAAGAAACTATCATCTGGGCACAAGGCCTATGAAAGTATGAACATTTAGACCCAGGACTGTTCACCTAAGAGCAAGAAAATGAAATTGTGGATAAAAAGTGAAGCACATTTTCACATTCAAATGATAGCAAAAGACATTACTACACTCCTTATCCTCATACATTAGCGGATCCAAACTACGGAACTAGCAGAAGTTTAGTCACTGCTAATCTGAGATGAGCCTAATTCCATGGAACCCTACGCTGGAAACTGGGCCAACACTTAACGTCGTTTCCTGACTGCAAGCGTGCCCGCCAGGAAGGCGGAAATCCAGCAGGACTCAAGAGAGGTATCTGAGTGTTCAACCCTGACATCCTTCCGAATAAGGCTTCACCGCCCCGGCTGCTCCCCTCAATCCTGAGCGCACCCGCCAGCACTCTGAGGACACCAACAGGGGGGCAATAAGCGCGGCAGACGCGATCCCCGCACAGGATACGCTCGTGTGCTGTCGATTATTTGTAGGTTGAATAATCACACAAATAAGCACAACTAAGAGTGCTGTTACAAGGAGAGCACCCCGGACTCCTTTCCTGGGCCAGGGGCTGCTGTGGGGAGCAGCCAGGCTGCTGGTCTGTGGAGGCCCAACAGCCTAGCTCACCGAATCCGCGCTTCAGGGAAATCCCTGAACGGCATTCACCTCAGACACCAGCAGCTTCCCGCACCTGGGGGCCGTGGGGGTACCGCACATGCCGGCGGCAGGACCCCAGGCAGAGGGCCCTCCCCTCGACGGGGGCTGGCGCTGAGGGGCCCCACACACGGGATCCTAGGTGTTCCTCACAAGGGCCCAGGAAGACTGGTGCAGAGCAGGACAGTGATGCCCCAAAAAGGGGAACGATTTCCAAGGGGCTCCACTCCCACACCACGGGCACCACTGTCACGGACACTGCTCCTGTGACCCCCTCACGGGCGCACCTGAATACCAGCCTCAGACGCAGGATCAGGTCACGAGGCACACCGGCCCACACAGGCAGCTCAACCCTGGGCCAGCCACCCCTGCCCTCATCGAGGCGTGGCGTGGGACTGCTTCCGGTTCCCACCACCCGTCCTCTCTGCCTCCCAGGCCACGTCCTCATCCTCACAACACCTGACAGCGGCTGCTTTGCCAGCCTCACAGGGCGATTCAAGTTCAGGGAGAAAACGGGTACAGACACACCATTTGGGAACATTTAGATTCGTCGTCTGAGCCTCAGCAATGGACTCTAAACCTGATCAAACTTGATGCAGGTTACCTTTATACTGCACCCAAAATAGACTGCAGTCAGACAGAAATTTCTCGAAACTTGAACTTTAAGTAGCCTGCTTTGCAGGAGGGATACAAACCCTCAAGGAAGACTCAGTAAATTCCAAGTCTCAGGGAGGCTGTCAGCTGAAACTACTGTAAGCAAGCCTGCGAAATCAATCAAGTTAACAGCCCACCTCTTTCATTCTATTTAAAAAGGTTTTAAAAGCTCCCAGCTTGAAAGCCAGTAAATGGAAGAACTGGAGCAAATCTTCATGGAAACCAGAGCTAGAAGCCAACTGGCGGCTGCTTCTACAATGGCAAGGCCTCAGTCACAGGAAGCGCTGACTCTTCCCACGCATAGAGACACCCGTGTCTTTGCCCACGTGCGGACAAAGGCCCAGAGTGCAAAGGAAAGAGAGAACATGGAAAGGCAAACGGAGGTCTTCCTGAATTGGTGCAAATCAGGGGTCACCGAGACAGAAAACTGTTAACGGGGCCGCTGAGTCGTGGCAGCCGCTTTAGAAGCTTGAGGATTACTGTGAACGGTGCTAAATGCACCTCGGCCACTCAGGTCTTCGCAGGTTAATCCAGGCTGTCGTATTTTTAAGACACAGCGTTGAAATGTAACTGTTCTCATCAGGAAACGCGTCACACATGAGAACGGGGAAGGCCGCGGCAGAACGGCGGAGGCTGCAGAGCAGAGCTGCTGGCTGGAGCCTGGGCCGGGTCAGCTTGGGTGGGGGCACTGTTCTACTCCTCAACCCCTCCCCGCTCAGGTCATGCCGGGAGGGGACTAACCCGCTTTAATTCCCAAAGCTACGTTAATTAGCTTTGAAGTAACAGGGACCAAAATAGGGCCTCTAGACTCCAGTATTAGGAAAAGCTGTTTTGGGGCGCCTGGGTGGCTCAGTCTGTTAAATGTCTGACTTTGGGTTAGGTCATGATCTCCCGGTCTGTGGGTTCGAGCCCCACATGGGCCCTGTGCTGACGGCTGGGAGCCTGGAGCCTGCTTCGGATTCTAAATCTCCTGCCTCTGTCTCTCCCACACACATGCTCTGTCGCTCTCTCAAAAATAAATAAAAGATTAAAAAAAAATAGAAAAATAAAAGAAAGGCTGTTTCTGAGGAAGACGATATTGATTTATGATTTTATCTTCAGGATATAAAAATATCTACTGACTCTTTACTCTGTAACAAGTCTTTTACTGACGTTTTATCTCTAATCAGCACAATCCTCTTCAAGGGTAAACTGATCTCACTTTATGGATGAGGAAAACTGAGGCACAGCAAGGGTAAGTCACGGGTCACACAGCACGAGGGGCAGTGCAAGGAGACCGGCTCAGGCCGTCTGAAGCCTGTGTGCTTTAGCAAGAGCACATCCCAGTGGGGCCGCAGACCAGAGTCCTGTGGACGGTCACCCGGCTTTGTGAGCTACGAAGCACACTCAAGAGTATTCAGATGACGGCCTCACTGTGCCTGCCAGGGTTTAACGAGCACACCGACGGTTACACTTCAGAGCAGGGACCACGTGCCCCTTCCCTCCCAGCTGAGAATCATCTTCAAGCTGCTGCTGCTGCTGTGGTCAGTAAAGGGAGGCCTATGTGGCACACTGAAGTGGCCGCTGCCCCAATACGAGTCCTTCCTGTGTTTCCAGAAACTTCACATTGGCGGCTCCGGCCCCGGGAGACCCCACAGACCCCAGCATGTACGTACTCTCATGTCCCCGCGCGTTAATTTCTTCCTGGAGGCTGAGCACACTGGTCAGGTTGATGATCCTCCTCCGCGGGGTACAAGCTGCCGTCATGTCCGTCCGGGAGTCGCCTTCTGCCATCTCCACGTCCAGGCTTTCCCGGGGCCTCTTTCTGTAATGAAGAGAAGGAGCCCATAGATCACCACTCTTAAAAACAAATTTCACGGACACGTCTTGAGAAGGGAACGGCTGTGCGTGCCGGCTCTGCACGTCGGGGGTGGGTCCCTGTACGGCCGCAGGAGGGCAGGACTGGCCTGTGCTCCAGCGCGCTGTGTGTTGGATGGCCCTGCGACCGCGGGACCTAGGCATCCCCTGTGCACTGCAGGGCCTCGAGCTGGGCGCTGGCCACCGTTCCCTGTTCAGCCTCCATCCAGCAGGAACAGTGCCAGCTCCACGCCTGCCCTCACCACGCCTACTTCCTAGCTGGAGAGTCAGAAGAACACAAACAGCTCATTCCAAGTGGCAGCAAATACCAGGAAGAAAAGTAAACCCAATGATGGGGCAGGGGGAGGGCCTCTCATCACCTCGCAAGAGGTCTTGCTTTGTCACCCCAGGTGACGTATAAGCCCCGAGGGACAAGATGGCAGAGCCTTCCTAGGCCCAGAGCACAGGCAGTTCAGGCCAGGCACACAGCACTGTGGCCAAGCACCCAGAGGGACACAGAAGGCGGGGGACTGTTGGGGAGGCAGGGCGGATGCCCCCAAGTGCAAGGGGAAACGTTGGTTTTCAGCTGATGAGTGACACAATTTCACGTCTGGTTTCAAAGATTTCTTTCAACCGCTGTGTGGTAAAGAGCTGGTGGTGTTCCGTCCCCCGGGACAAACAGAATCCCAGCCCTGCCCTGTGGGCTGCGAAGAGCATGGAACAAGTGTGTGTGCATGTCCAGCACAGGCGGCTTCTCTGCCGTGGCAGCGCCCTTCTTATTCTCTGGAAGCAGCCGCACAAGTTGTCATGCCAGGCGGATGTGGCGACGGGCAAACTGGGGTCCCCTAACTTGTCTAGGTCCCAGCAGGCCCTGTAGCACCGGGTGGCAGCTGCCGTGCGGGTGGGCAGCCCGGGCAAGTGCCTTCACCCCGCGCCCAGGGGCAGGACAAGCCGGCAGGTGAGGAATGTCCGCCTGAGGTCCCAGCGCCGCGCTCTGCAGGGCGCATACTGGGGACGCAGCTAAGTGACGACTGTCATCCCCACCGCCAGCCTGTGGGCTTACCAGGAACTGGGAAAATGCATCTTTGCTGGGAGGGATGGAAGCAGCTTGGGGCGGGATGGAGGAGAATGCTCCCCCAGCCACCTCTGCTGCTGACGCTCGATCAAAATCCAGTACTGAAAATATAGGAGAATCTTCTGATTTTTGCTTTCCGGTGTGTGTTTAACCCGTGCTGGGAACCATGGACATGTAAGATACTTCACACGCTACCGGGTGGGGGACTCTGGAGCCAGGGTCAAAGGCAGGGCACCATCCCCCTGGGGTCAGAGGCTGAGCCAGATGGAGAGGCCACAGGCGGCTCTCCCGCGGCCAAACCAGCAGAGGCGCGCTGCCCCTCCCGAGGTGCATACCTGGGGTTACCTGGGCTGCAAGGGGGCCCCCTCTTCTCTGCCGCGTCCCCCTCCAAGCCCTGAGGCGCGGCAGGCTCCTGGGGTCCGAGCGCCTCCTGGTCCTGCTGCCTGGCCCGGCTGCCCGAAGCCTCCGTCCCCTCTCCCGGGACCGTGGCCGGCGGCTGCCCGGACACGGCCTTGCCTCTGGGCTGCAGAAACGCATCGAGCTTCTGTTCCCGCGAGTCTGTGCGGACCATCTGGTGGGCATAGACCTTGTCGCCGCCTCCGGAAGTGCTCGAGGAGGTCACACCCACTGTGGATTTAACCACCTCCCCAGAGGGGCCAGCAAGACCTGGTAGTAAAGTCTGGATCAAAAAAGAAGGAAGCGGGTTAAAAAAATTTTTTTTAAGTAAGATTCTTGGCCACTATGACCTTTCAAGGTCAGTGGTATTTATGTCACACATGATTCATTCTATGTTTGATGCTGAACTCTTACTGTATTCAATCTTATATGTTTCAGTAAAGTAGAATCCATTAGAAAAACCCCTAAAAACAGGGGCAGTGGGAAGACTTAAATATGAAGTCAGTCAGTCCACGTCCCAGGGGCACCTGGCTGGCTCAGTTGTAGAGCATGCAACTCCTGATCTTGGGATTGTGAGTTCAAGCCTTAAAGTGTAGAGATTACTTCTAAAAAATCTTTAAATAAAAAATAATAAAAATAAAAACACAGAACCAGGTACAGCCATCATTCCAGAGGCAGGTAGAATACAGAGGGAGTTCTGACCAAAACTTGAACTTTAAAAGACATACCAGTAAAAAATTCAAATATTCAACAAAATCCTTGTAATTCTAAAATTGGTTTGAATTGGGAAATATTAAAGTTCTCCTATTTTTGTCTTTTTTTCCCTTCCATAAGAGGATTTCACATTTTTTATTGTGGAAAAATACACATGAAGCTCACCATTTAACCATGTTTAAGTGTACAGCTGTGTGGCATTGTGTCACATCCCTGTGCAGCCATCACCGCCACCCGACTCTAGAACTTTTTCATCCATCCAAACGGAAACTCTGACCCCATGAAATAACCCTCCAATCTCCCCTACCCACCAGCGACTGGCAGCCGCTAGTCTATTTTTAAATTTACGTATTTCCTAGCTCTGTCCGCTGGCAAGGCCTAAAGCCAACGACCACCCAGCAGCAGTAAGGACCCCTGGCCTCCAGATTATAAGCTCTAAATACTGCCCCCACTAAAATAAACCAGCTCCTTGGAGAAATGGCCAATTCCAAGTACAGAGTGAGCCCACATCATCTTCTCCTGCCGGAAGCAAGGAAACTATCAGAGACTAATGGACATGGGTCAAAAGGACAAGAGCAGCAGCTTGAGGGGGACTTTGCTGGTCTGAGATGGGAAAACTTGAGCATCCAAAATAAAAATGACTCTATTTAATTAAATGATACAGCTTTGTTAACAGTTACGATAAAATACTGAAAGAAAGAAAAAGATGGGGAGGGAGAGACAGAGAAAGACAACGAGAGACAACAAAGTCATTAAACATCACTGCAGATCGCAAGGACACCAACTCACTCCTTTGCAAATTGATAATTAAAGAAGCAGAATTCAGCATTCAGCCTTACTTTCTAATACGAACTGTATTTCAGGATAATCAAGAAGCTCTAACAAATGAGAGAAAGTTACTGTATAGAGAAGAATTACAGTTCGCTACTGTAGAAAAAATGATAAAAACAGAAAATCATAATCTTGCAATCCGAGTAAGATACCAGATTCAGGTAATGGTCCTCAATGAATGCTGAAACCACTCGGCTAAATGTTCCTGGAGAACAGAACAACGAAGGAAAGAGCTTCACCAGCTGAACCCACGGAAGGGTCTCATCGCCAAAATGACACAGTCGGCATGCGCCTCCTGCTGGGATGTGGCAGCAAGTGCACGGCCAACACTCGGTGCTTTAACTGGGAGTGTAATTCTGCTGGTTTACCGGGCTCCCAGTTTACAGGAAATGTGGAGATTAGAGCGACAGATGTCCCTAAGAAGCAGCGGTCAGCCAAACAAAAATGTGCATTATTCTACAGGAAGCCTTTAGAATAAGCAAATAGGAACAAAAGATTGTACAGGGATCTTCTAGTTTCAAAGAGACGTAAAAGAGACTTTAAGGTACGTCAACTAAATATAATGAGTGGAATTTAAATGCATACAAATTTGAACAAAGCTACTTGATAAAAGGGTCTTTTTTGGACAATTGGGACATCTGAATATGGGCTGGATATTAAATATTATTGTTAATTCTGTTATGTATAAAAGAACATTGTGATTTTATAAAGAAAAAAGATTTTAAAAGCTTAATGAAGTACTAGGGAAAAAAGTATATGCCTGGAATGTGCTTTAAAATACTCTTTTCCTCTGGGGCGCCTGGGTAGCTCAGTCGGTTAAGCACGGACTTCGGCTCAGGTTATGATCTCATGGTTTTTGAGTTCGAGCCCCACGTTGGGTTCTGTGCTGACAGCTTGGAGCCTGGAGCCTGCTTCAGATTCTGTGTCTCCCTCTCTCTCTGCCCCTCCCCGTCTCATGCTCTGTCTCTCAAAAAATAAATAAACATTAATAAAAATACATTAAGAGAAAACTCGGAAACATTAAAAAAAAAAAAAGGGGCGCCTGGGTGGCTTAGTCGGTTAAGCGTCCGACTTTCGCTTAGGTCATGATCTCGCGGTTCGTGGGTTCGAGCCCTGCGTCGGGCTCTGTGCTGACTGCCAGCTCAGAGCCTGGAGCCTTTTTCAGTCTCTGTGACTCCCTCTCTCTCTGACCCTCCCCTGCTCACGCTGTCTCTCTCTCTCTCTCCTAGAAATAAATAAAACATTAAAAAAAAAAAAAGAGAGAGAAAACTCGGGGCACCGGGTGGCTCAGTTGGTTGGGTGTCTGACCTCTGCTCAGTTCGTGAGTCCAAGCCCCACGTCAGGCTCTATGCTGACAGCTCAGAGCCTGGAACCTGCTTCAGATTCTGGATCTCCCTTTCTCTGCCCCTCCCCGACTCACACCTCTGTCTCTCTCTCTCTCTCTCTCCCTCAAAAATAAACATTAAAAAAACAACAACTCTTTTTTCCCACCCCCAAGTGAGAGAGGGAGAGAGAAAACAAATATAGCAAAATGTTGGTTGTTGAAGTTGCATGATAAGTATATGGATAATTTGTGTATTATCTACTTCCATATGTACTTAGAAATATTCAATGAGTTGGGTAATAAAAAGTCATATAAAGCAGATACTTTGCTCAAAAAAAACATCCACCTCTTTCTTCACGGACAATATAAAACCCTTGCAATGCACACAGGCAAGTGAAGTAAACGCAGCTGACCCTTGAGGAAAGCAGATTTGAACTCCGCGGGCCAACCTACACGCAGGGTATTATAGTTCGGTACTCTAAGTGCGTTTTCTCTTACGATTTTTTTAATAACCTAAGTTTCTTTTCTCTAGCTTACTATATTGTAAGAATACAGTATGTACCATATACACAAAATATGTATTAATCGACTGTTTATGTTATTGGTAAGATCCCTAGTAGTGAAAGGTCTTGGGGAGTGAAATCTTACATGCAGATTTTTAACTGCACAGGGGGTCAGCCCCTCACCCCTGTGCTGTTTAAGAGTCAATTATATTTGCTTCATGTGCCTGCATCATATGCACGGGAGTGGGAATTAACATAGCTACTTCGCAGACAGCAAGCTTCAAGTCCAGAAAAGTGAAGTACCTTGACGGAATTGGAAGGAACCCAAGAGCCCCCGGGGGTGCCTGATTTCCACACCAAACGGTTTCACCAAAACCAGGGCTCAAGCTGTAAGCCCTGCGCAGTGCTGTGCAAAGCAGAGCTGGGAAGTCGGGGAGAAGGTATTCTGACACCTCCCAGGAGTGGGGACGGCTCTGAACTGGGACCCCACCACACACGGCAATGCTCCAACTACACCAACAGAGGCAGACTGTACTGGGGCCTCACCCCCGCCACACACGGCCTCCCCTCAACAGGCCCACACTCCGGTCTCACCCCAGCCACACACGGCCTCCCCCCAACAGGCCCGCGCTCCAGCCTCCCCCTGGCCGCGCGTGGCAGCGCCTGGGAACGCCGTACAACTACTGACGTGCCACCTGGGGCCTGAGCTCTTGTGTGGGGAAGACCTAGGCAGGTGACTCTCCTGGCGACCACAGTAAACCCTGGACCCTGGAACTCCAAAACCTCGGACACGCATCCTCCTGGCCTCCCTCGGGCCTCTTCCTCGCTGTTTCTCCAGCCAGAGATACTCTTTTCACTCCTCCTCCCCTCTGCCCGTCCCATTCCTACTCAGCCCTCGGGTCCCAGTCTCTGCGGCGAGAGCCGGTGTTGGGTGCCAGACAGAGGCAGCTGCAAGTCAGGCCCAGGGCTCACATTCTAGTACCTTCCTGCTTGGGTTCAAATCAGGAGGCGTTACCAGAGGAAACGCAGCACAGGAGACCTGGGGAAGACAGCCTGGAGCAACACGAAGTCCGAGCGCCCTGTGCTTGGGCGGGGGGGGGGCCGGCAGCGCGCGGCCTGGCGGGGCGCCCCCACCTGGGTGAAGTACGTCCGGGACGCGCTGGAGCCCAGGAGCCTGCCCTCGACGTGCTGCTGCACCCGCTCCAGGATGCTGTCCTCGTGCAGGAAGTGAACCTCATGCTTCGTGGGGTGCACGTTCACATCCACGTTCTGGGGGCTGATCTCCAAACTGGCGGGTAGGGCGGGGGAGGGAGAACAATTAGCCGGCGTGACCCGCATTCTCAGGCCGCGCAGCCCCGGGCACTCAGGTCATCGTTCTCTGCCGCACCTTCCTCGTCTGTAACAGGGACATGACCCACGGCGGGGGTCCCGTGCGTGTGAAGCGCTTCGTGTGGACCTGGCGCAGTGCTTACGGTCAGCTGCACCTCCGTCCCAGACCCAGGGGCAAGTGGCGCAGCTGGCCTGCACGGCCCTCTCCCCGGGACCACGCACCTGGCCCCGGCCCCCGCTTACTTTTTGTGTGAGAGGATCAAAACAAAAACACATGAGAGAACCTTCTAACCCTAAAACCTAACACAAACTCCAGTTTAGAGGCCATGCTGGCCATCACCTTCCTGCCTCAGCCCCAGATCCACCTTTCACCGTGTGCTCCGTGAGCACAATGTGGGTCTCTGTCCACAGAGGGCACTGGAGGGACCCTGGGGAGGGAGGGGGGCCGGGTGGGGGCACGAGACCCGCCACCCACCCGTTTCCCCAACACAGTGGCCGGCACATGGGAGGTGATCAGTGAGACTCTGCTGCGAGAGTGAGTACGTGAAGGAAAGCTGTGCCCTCTGTTGTGAGAGGGGACAGAACGGCCTCTGCCAGCAGCACAGGGGACACGCCGACGGAGCCCCAGCATGCCCATCTCTTTATGAGGGTAGCGGGAAGGGCTCCCTGTGAACCTTCGGTGAGGGGTGTGCGGCCACTTACCTGAGGTACAGGAACGGGTGTGTGTTTTTGGGCAAATAAGCCGCATACACGGTTTCGATGGCTTTTCTTAAGGACGCGGACTCTACCAGCCGATCTAGAAAATAAAAGGAAAGAAGGCAGCTCAGAACCATCCTGAAGGGAGAGGTGACAGGTGCATGTTCGTGCCATGCCGCGAAGCCACTCAGGGAGAACACCCAGGAAAGAAGGACCTCTTTCACCCGCTGCTCCCACTGTGGGCTCGGGCTCTCTATGCTCACCCAGCCACAGCAGCACGGGAGGGCGGGAAACTCTGCCTCCGCCTCCCCTCCCACGATCAGTCCAGGCCACCCTGCTGGGCACAGCGGGCAGCATGCCTCTGGCTCACAGACTTCTCGTACTGGCTGCCTCATACGTGTGCCATGGCTAGGGGGCGCCGCGCTGGTGACTGGGTGAAGTCCAGTGCCAGGCGGTGAGCACCACCAGAGAGGTGTGTGCTAGGTGGAGGGAGGAGGGAGCAATCGACTCTGCCTGGGTACCGGGGAGGGGTATGTTCCAACAGTGGGGTGTCCCGACGGAGTGGCAGGGGTAAGAAAGAGCCATCCGGGCACTTCAAGCCGCACAGATAACTGGATGTACCCTTAGGGTGACTCAGGAAGTGAGGCAGGCGGGAAACACTAGAAGATGGGGGATTAAGACAAAAATCAGAGGAAAATCTATTTTCAGAAAACACAACCTTCCTTTCTCCCCGACAGATGACCCACTGATGACCTGCCCCTCTGGGTCGGTGCAGCCAAGGACACGTCCCGGGACTTCCTTTCCAACGAGAAGGGAGGCCGTGACCGTTCTCGGAGCGCTCGGCAGCCTGCAGCCCCTCAACAATGTCGCTGTGCTTGGTGACGTGTGCCCTGAGCACACGAGCAGGGGCAGGTGTGGGCTCCTGGCAGAGGGCAGCCAGGGCCCCTCTGCTGCGGCTTCTGGGCTGGAGACGCGCTGAGGGCGTGGTCCTTGTCCCACACCGGAGTGCGAGCACACAGTAGTGCGGAGACAACCCAACCGTACACCTGTGAGTGTGGCCTCCCTGCTTCTGGGGAACTGGTCCCAGACCAGACTAGCTACGGCTGACGCACAGCCCGTGCAGTGAGCAGCTCGCCAGAAGCACAGACTTGAGCTATGCACCCGACACGGACACACATTTTTGCTGGTCTATCTGGTAGCCAGCACATGTGTTAAAATGCAGTGATTCTTCATGCACAGAAAACACACATGAAAAATACTTCGGGGGCGCCTGGGTGGCTTAGTTGGTTAAACGTCTGACTTTCACTTAGGTCATGATCTCGCGGTTTGTGGGTTTGAGCCCCGCGTCGGGCCCTGTGCTGACTGCTAGCTCAGAGCCTGGAGCCTGTTTCGGTCTGTGACTCCCTCTCTCTCTGACCCTCCCCTGCTCACGCTGTCTCTCTCTCCTAGAAATAAATAAAACATTTAAAAAAAAAAGAAAAGAAAAGAAAAGAAAAACACTTCTGAGCTCTGATAAGAGCAAACTTTGTTACACGTCAGGCTTTACTCCTTCTTAATAAAGTAGGAAAAACCCTACAGTTATAGATCCGGTTAACAGAATGTGTCTGTAAAATACGCTCTCTTCCTTCTTCTATATGGCTTTGAAAACTGCTGTAAAACACGTACAATCTAGGGGCACCTGGGTGGTGCAGCGTCCGAATCTTGATTTCAGCTCAGGTCATGATCTCACAGTCATGAGATCGAGCCCCACATTGGGCTCTGCAGTGACAGTGTGGAGCCTACTTAAGATTCTCTCTCTCCTTCTATCTGCCCCTCCTCTGCTCATGCACTCACACTCTCAAAAAAACAAAAACAAAAAAACCATGTACAATCTGGGACATTTATAGCTGGTTATCATTATGAGTGGAGAAGAAGAATATACCATTTTCCATGGCAAGCAAACAAAACCATAATGGTGTATTGCTTTGAACAATAAAGGTAAAGGATCTATATGATAAAAATGATACACAGCGGGGCGCCTGGGGGGCTCAATCGGTTAAGTGTCTAACTCTTGATTTTGCCTCCGGTCATGATCTCACAACTCATGACATGGAGCCCCGTGTGGATTCTCTCTCCCCCCTCTGCCCCTCCCCTGCATGTGCTCTCTCCTTTTCTTTCTCTCAAAATAAAGAAACATTAAAAAAATGGTAAGTACTGAACAAACGGAAAGATGCGAGATGCATTTCTGGCTGGAAAATTAAAAACCAAATCAGACCCACTTGTAGTTCCCGGTCAGTTTCTCAAAACCATATAATATGTAATTAAGTAAAAAGCAGCAGAACGCACAATAGTTATTTATGTAACAAGTAGCGATCATGTAAACAATAGGCTTGCAGAGAGATAAGAGTGGAGAGGAAATTCACAAAAATCCAAATTCATCTGGCTAATCTCCTCCCTGATTTCTGGTACTGCTCACTGTATCATAAATCACTCATTCTTTAAAAAGAAAACTCCCAAGGGGCTTATCATCCATTTCTTTGCTAATGACATTGCCCACCCCCAAGGCACCCTCTCCCTGTGTCCCGCTGTGCAAGTCAGGGAGTCCTGAGCTCAGGCGAGAACATCTGCTGGGCCCGGCAGGTGAGGACGCTGTTCGGGCTCACGGACTCTGTACTGCCCTCTCCCAGGCGGGCAACACAAGGCCTCTGCGCCGGCCAGCGGTGGACACGCGTCAGGGGACTGAACACACGCAGGCCGGAAATTATAAATACTTCCCGACCACACCGCACTTGGGCAGGAGGGCTCCCTGCGTGTGATCACACCTGTGGGTTAGGGATTCTTCCACGGTCCCATAAAATTCCCTGCAGACAGACTTCCCCACATGGGTCTCTTCCACTTACGGTTGATGAAGAGTAAGAAGATGCACTTCTTCACTGAGTAGTTTGCGTTGGATATGTAGCCCTTCATTGTGAAGCCAAGGGTTTGATCCTCACACCCCACTTCTATCAGTTCTCTGGTTGGAAAAGAGAAATTCTGAGGCTTTTGAAAATAATGGAAAATTCAAACCGTATAAAAAAATTAGAGCTGGAAAATGAGGGCTCCTTCTCATAAATGAATTCTGCCAAATAAGGACCCGAGACTTGGTTTGTTGAGGTCCTATGGGCCCCCACACCCATGCATCTGTCCACCCACCCATCCATCCACTGTCCATCTGCATACCCACCTGCCCATCCAGTCACTGTTTTCAAGACCTTATGTTATATGCCAAGCACGGCTCTGACTGCTGGGACATGATGACAAACCTAAGCTGTGAGGCCTTGTTTTACTGAAACCTATGTATCTTCGTAACTAAACCCCAAAGAGGAAACTCCAAAAGGACTCATTTCTACGGAACCCCTATATAAATAGCACCACAGTGGGGCTCGAGTTCGATGCTGCTCTGAGCTGTGCTTACGGGAGGTGGGTTAACAGGTGAAAGGAAGTCTTAGCCACGCTCCCCTCTGCCCGCAGACCTTCCCAAGTGCTGGGTCCTCAGCCTGGAAAGCTCCCTTTCTGACAGCTAGCGAATTCCTCCACATCTTTCGCGTCAGGGCTTACTTCAAAGAGGAAGTAACCACCTCTGACTGTCACTCTCTGTGACCCCGGGACACTGTCCTGTGTGCCTTCTCTTTTCCCTTTGGCACAGCTGGCATAACCAGTCATGAACGGCATAACCCTTTCATGTGGCTTCCCAACCAGACAGGGGAGCTGGGAGGGCAGAGGCCCTAGCGCATCGCTCAGCGCAGCGCCCAGGGACCGGCAGGCACTCGCGGCAGGCGCTGGCCCATATGGGGTGATGGGTTCTCTGAGGCTCTGAGCAGAAAATACGGCTCGCACACAGTGAACTAACAAACCTTTTCTTCCCCAGAGTATCTCAAGAGGCTGGCATTCTGGAAACACACTTTGGGGACTGCCACTCAGTGGGGTTTCTAACGTCTTGTGGTCCCTAGGAATTTCCTGACAACTAATTCTGAGTCTTTAAATACAATAAAGAAGCTCATGGAAGTTTCCTTGTACAATAGAGTTCTCTCTCTGCTCTAGGAACACAGTTAAAAAAACACAATTCATTAACAATTAGAAAGAGAAGGGTAATTAAAAGCAATCTGACCAGTCCCTAGTTTGGAACTTGGTTTTGCTCAAAGACTCAGTAATTTGTCCTCTGAAGGAGAAAACTGGGCTTGGGGACTGCTGCTGCTGCTTCCAAGGTTTCTGGAACACGCGAAGTCAGGGCTGTCCCCTCCATCCGGGGCGTGCCTGGCCCACAGCGGGCTCCCAGGATTTCTCCCCTCAGGTTAGGACACAGGCACTCTGGGCCTTGCGGAGTCCTGAGGCCTAACTAGGACTCCGAGATGCAGACGGTAGTTTCCACCAGCAGAGGGAGTGCTGTTTACAATGCAAACAAGCCCCCTGGGGCTTTCCCTGACCGTGCAGATTTGGTAACATTCACAAATCTGCTCGCCACCAGACAGGAAAGTCTGTAAGGACAGGGAATATTTTATTTGTCTTTACATCTGTAACTTCTGGCAAAAAGCCTAACATAGGGGAGGCAATTAATTAATAAATGTTGATGATCACAACGAAGTCCCACAGTGATGCTAAGGGAAGTCTCAGGAAAAGAGGCAACACTGGAAGAGGAAAAGGTTCTACTACACTGTAAACGCTGTGAAGACAGGCTAGAGAGCACACACTGATTTGCAGCCAGAGCATCTGGGAGATAACCTGCGCCCGGGAAGTGTGGATTCCATGAAATAACGACTCCTAGAGCAAATGTGAACCATGGAAAGAAGCCTGCATGTTTCATTAAGGCAGGTACTACCTGGACGGATTCCCAAATAATGGGATAAATGATACACCAAGACATGGAGTGCAGATTTTTTAAAATATGAGTTATCAACATACCGGCTGACAGCATTTCCAAAGATGGAGCGAATATTGTCTACGGTCGTGGCGCCGGGCAGCGTTCTAACATCAGCCACGGTCTCGCCGTGCTGATGAACAGAGCAGAAGATAAAACTTATTGTCACACAGCAGTGACTGAAACATCCTGACCTTACCTCCACAGGTGAGCTCTTAAAAAAACAATCCTTTCTCTAATACAAAACTGTCCCTTATAAACCAACCACTTACTTTTTTAACTGAGAAGCCAATGCCTGAGTTGTGTATTGAATACCTAGCAAAGAAAGAGAAACAGAACAGTGAGCAAATGCACACTGTGAGGCAGAACTCCCTTTGGGTTAAATAAATCGGTGGGGTTACGTGCCTTAAACAAAGATACACACGGCCAAGAATATCTCCGTTATGTCACATCTTCCCCACAGGAAAATAAGCCAGCACACACATCAAGGAGACAACCCATGCCAGCTGTGGCAGAAGCTAAGAGAAACCAGGGTTTTTGGTTTTATAGGGTCTAAGGAGACTCTGGGGCTTTTTAACGCACTCCCCTCCCTGCCTACAGCATTACTCCCCCAGACCCGACAGGTCTGGGTGCTGCATCTTGAGAACCTGGCCTTTACAACCCCTGAACTCTTCTCTCTCTGAGCCCCTCAAGACACCCCCTCCTCATCCGCTTTTTCCTTGGCCTCCAGCCCTGTTCCAGCATCTTCCAGCCTTTTCCCAGTTGGCTATTACTTATCATTTCTCCCCACCGTGGACCTCATGAACTGAAGGACTGTGTCGAGCAAAATGCACGTATTCGGCTAACAATTAGGAATTCACTTAACCACGCCTAGAACCAAAACAGCCAAGCAGAGCTCCCTTATTTCCAGGAGCTAATGTTTTGACGCTGACTGTACAACTCCAGGGAAAAGCAAAGAAACTTGAAGTATAAATCTGTTCCACTTTATTAGGAGTACATGTTTTATTCATTTTGGAGTTTTGAGAAACACTGAAAAAGAGTTACCAGATCTCTGCTACAATCCAAGGACATGCAGGATGAGAGAGCCCGTGCTGGATCCACTCAACCAGCAGGTGAAGTCAGTCTCCAGTGGACATAATGTTATTTCACCCGCCCTGCCTTTCGCTTTCTTCTTGCAAGAGCCCCTAGCCTTCCTCTGGGAAACCACCTCTTCCCCATTCCATCCGATGTACCCGCAGCCCGCCAACCAAGGGACCTCCCACTGACAGAGGCGCCCGATGGGGGGACCCTGCCCCTGCCAGTCAGACGTACTCTCCGAGGAAACAGACACCTGAGTCGAGTCAGGAGAAGAATGCGAACAACTGGAGCAGACGACTCGTGCAGCAGAGCAACTGCTGACACTTCTCGCCACTTGGGGAGTCACGCTTAGCCTTCCAATAAATGTCCCTTAGGCTCAAGTCAGCTGGAGTTCGTCTGTCTTGCTTTCCACCAAAGAACCCTCACTGGCAAAGACCAACTGCTCTCTCCTGGGAGGGGAGAGAAAGCCCAGAACTGGCAACTAAACCTTGATCGGCAACAACCCGTAGGCTAAAACACAACGTACTCTTTTCCATCTAGCTGGGCAACTGCTCTCAATTTATAAGCAGGGGACGCATTTCTTTGGTGAGAACCACTTCCAGACGTGGGACTGTACCTGCCAACAACTTCCAGAATTTTCCCATACTCCTCACTTGGATTTTTTAAAGCTTTCCTCCTTGTGGATATATTGTAAAAGAGGTCCTCCACCTGAAAAGAAGATTTTTTTCTTGTCACTTCACAGAAGTACGTGGAAATAAAGAAGCGAGGTGTCTACCGACAGCTGGCCGGCAGAGAATCAAACTACACTTACCACCAGTACAGTTCTGAGCACTGACTGGGGAGGGCAAGAGACAAGCCGGCCACGGTCAACAAAGGAAATAGATAAGATTTTTCCTGCTTCTCATTTCATTCACTGATTCCTCAAATAGGTGCCGGGGGCTCCCTCTACATCAGGCTCTGCTTCGTGCTGGGAGTGCGGAGATGAGCAAAGCAGTCTTACCCACAGCAGCACACAGCTCACTGGGGCAAACAAGCAGCTTCACAAAGAACTGTACCATCACATGGCATCCAAACAAACGTGGTTTTCAAACTAAGAATAATTATAAAGTTTCTGAAACCATGTGGGCTTCTTGGAAATGGCGCTGTGGTCACCCTGGGTTGGGTACAGGGTATGTATTCACATGCCCTTGGAAGCACACACTCATCTCTGCCTCCCGCCTGCCTGCCTCATCAAGTGCAGGGCCAGGACCCTGTGGGGACATGAGCATCAGCTGGGGCTGGGGGTGGATAGCGGGTGCTTTACGGGATCACACATGGGAAGAGACCGAATGTGGCACCACAGACAACAGGCAGCGGACTGGCCTCCCTCTGATTGATGCCACCATCATATTACTCAGACGGCCTCTCAGTGGGCAGATATTCTTTGTTCCCTTTGACAGATGGGAAAGGTGAGGTTAAGGGACATTGAACATCTTGCCTCTGGACATACAACTATTGAGTTGGAAGGCTGAGACTCTGACTTGTGTCTTTCTGGAGCCAAGTTTAGGGTCCTTTTCATACCAACTACCTCGCCATTCATTTCATCCATCCCCATAAAAAAAGACGAGGGAGCAGACCGGCTGCCGTGCCTCAAAGGCCAGTAACTCTCCCCTTGTTTAGGCAGGAAGTACCTGCTGTTTCTGTGAGCTAGCAAAACTTCATTTTATTACTGCTCTGGAAACTCAGGGACAATTTTACTCCTTATTCCAACATTTACACAAGATCTTTTTCACCACCATTCTTACCGTGATCTGCGTCCCCTGATTGCCTGCACATGGTTTAGGAGGAGCTTTCAGCTTTCCATCGGAGTAACTGGCTCTTAAAGAAAATAATGAGATTATCAATAACCAACAGAAGCAGAGTACTTATCCAAAATGTATAAAAGAAAATGATCAACAACAGATTAAAATACAGCCATGTTATATATGATCTCTTTTTAAAATTTTTTTCATGTTTAATCATTTTTTAAAAGCTTTTTAATCTTTATTTGAGAGAGAGAGAAAGAGAACACACAAGCATGGAAGGGGCAGAGAGAGAGGGAGACACAGAATCCAAAGCAGGATCCAGGCTCTGAGCTGTCAGCACAGAGCCAGACGCGGAGCCTGAACTCAAGAACTGTGAGATCATGACCTGAGCCAAACTGGGCCACTTAACCAACTGAGCCACCCAGGTGCCCCAGTGTCTCAGCGCTTTTGGAGACAGAGCGCTGAGACAGAAAGAGAGGGAGACACAGAATCCAAAGCAGGCTCCAGGCTCTGAGCTGTCAGCATAGATCATGACATGAGTCAAAGTCAGATGCTTAACCTACTAAGCCACCCAAGTGCCCCTATTATATTGTCTTAAGATTTACTTCTTTGTTTTTCTACTATTCCATTATCATTCCAATTGGATACCAAAAAAAAAAAAAAAAAGGAAACCCTATTCTTCTAGCAATTTAGTTTTTAATTCCTGAGTTGTTTTTTAAGTTTATTTTTATTTATTTTGAGAGAGAAATAGAGAGCAAACAGGGGAGGGACAGAGACAGAGGGAGACAGAATGCCAAGCAGGCTCTGAGCTGTCAGTACAGAGCACAATGCGGGGCTCAAAGTCACAAACCATGAGATCATGACCTGAGCTGAAATCAAGCGTCAGATGCTTAACCAACTGAGCCACCCAGGTGTCCCAGTTCCCAAGTTTTGAGCTACAATGCAAACTGCTTATGGTGAGAGTAAAATATCTTCAGTGATTCTGTAATCAGATACGGAGGGGCTGGCGCATGACACACCTGCAGAGGCCCTGGGAATAAAGAAAGGCCCTGGAGAGAACCCTCAATCTAGGGACAGACTGTTCCCTAAAGTGTAAACACTGTGCTAAGTGATCTAGGGGGTAAAAGCACCACAGGAGGATGACAATTCATCTGGGCTCTAGGGAGGAACAGTTTCAGGGAGAAAGCAGGGAAGACCATCCAGGAAGAGCACAGAAGCCTGAGATCACGTGGCGGCGGGGGATGGTGGAGAGAAGCGGCTGGAAAGGTGGATGGCAAGCGCAGGGAGGGTGCTGTTCAGGGATGGCTCTGGATTTCAACCTATGTCAGTGGGTGGGAAGCATCGGTGGGGGGCCCGAGCAGGAGCAGAACAGACTTCCAGAGGTGAAGAAACAAGAATCCCAGTCTATTTTAGGAAGACATTAACTTGTGAGAAGCAATACTGATCACATCCGCGCACGCAGATCCCAGGGCAAGTCTAGTTCACAGAGTCCAACTCTCCTAGCAACAGTGCTGTATATTCTGGAATGCTCCTTTTTCCATTCCGTCCCATGTCTGTCTGTCAAAGGCTGAGAAACAGGCAGAACTGCTGTTGTTGGAGCTGATTTCTGTATTAATTTATGAACAATCTGTAGGATTAAAAAATTTCTTTTTACCGTACTCCTAGATGGGGTACCCCTCCCTGTCTTCCACTAGTAAATGGCCAGTGCTTACAAACACAAAGGAGTAACTCGGATTCCTCAAACCCTGTTTCTGTTCTGTTCCAAGGCTGTTTGTCAGCCTCTGAAAACTGCAGCCAGTGGCCCCCGGTGGAGGGCGAGCAGCACAGGCACACGCGTGTGGCCGCGAGCTGGTGGCTCACAAGGCAGCAAAGAAACCGTGAGCCTCCAGCACCCCCGCCACAGGCCTGTGTGCAGACAAAGCGCTGTCCTACTAACGTGCATCCACATCCACTGCCTCCTTGGAATACATCTGTGGAACAGTTTGTAGGCACTTACGTCACCCCTTACCTGTTGAGAAGCCATGAGTAAGATCACTACCTGATAATCATCCCTCTGGGTTTTCAACTAATCCAGAGAGGCAAGAAAATTTTTTCAAGATCTTGGTCAGAGAAGACGGCCCGAGTGTGGAGACAGAGGTAGGGTGAGGCCGAGGCACAGGGACGCCTCCGCAGGGACCCGAGAGAAGCAGCCTCCGCGTACCTGTATGCGCACTTGGCAGCAGCTGTCTTGGTTGTAATGGTGACGTGAGCCACGTGGCTGATGCTGGCCAAAGCCTGAGGAAGAGAGAACATGGGATGAAAGAAAAGCTCACTGCTGGGTCACCCACTGTCACCTCATTAAAGGGGAAGGTGCTCTAAGTTGCCCCTTCCGTTTTGTATTAACAAATGGCAACAATAAGCATTTTGCTCACTCACTTTCACGATGTGTAAAAAAAAAAAAAAAGGGTATCAAATTGAATTTGTGGCATATTACTAGGAGGAAAATATGTATTAATATTAAAAGTCCACGGGAAACACATCAGAGTATTTCTTTTATTTTAAATCCAGTATAGGTAACATACCACTCATTAACTTCAGGTGTACATGATAGGGAGTCAACAACTCGGTCCGTCACCCTGTGCTCATCATGGTAAGCGTACTCTTAACCCCATCACCTATCTCCCCCGTCCCCGCCCCTTCGCTAACCACCGGTTTGTTTTCTACAGCTCAGAGTCTGTAGACCGCCCTTTGCTTGTTCCTTTTGTTTCTTAAATTCCACATAGGAGTGAAACCATATGGTATTTGTCTTTCTCTGACTGACTCGTTTCACTTGGCATAACACACTCTAGGTCCATCCATGTGATTGCAAAGAAACACCATGGTGTTAACGTGTTGGCAGCAAGTGCGGTCAGGCAGCAGTATCACTGGCATGCTTCATAACATTCTCAATAATCTGCCTCCCAACAATGTGAACACTTGCCTTCATAAATGGGAGCACTCCGAGCAGATAATGTCGCATACTGTTACCCAAAGCTGTTTCCTGTAAGCACTTACGTGTTTAGAAATGCGAACTTAAGGTTATGAAACTGAGACAAAACAAATATTTAAAAAATGACCCCCCCACCACTTGCCTAGCTCACTGGAACCCCCTTCTCCTTTCTCAGGGGCCTCACAGCATATAAACCTGCAGGCAGGCACTGCGGCGGGGGCTGGGTGACAGAAGACGGTGAGCAGAGCCTGCAACAGGCTCAGTTCATGCGCGGGGAACACGGCTCCGGCTCAGAGAGTGCCGGCTCCTGGCTGGACGTCCCCAGTTTGCATAGGCGAGGTAACTCTCATCACGGCAGGTGTGACGATCCTGAGCTGGGCAAGGCGGGCAGGAGGGACACAGGACACGCCGCTCCGGCACATGGCCCACGAGGACGGCGTGCCGTGGGCGGGGCTCTGCTGCCATAGGCGCCTCCGCACCAGGACTGGAGCAAGTGGACAGGGGCCAGCTCTGGGGTCAAGCTCCGGGGTGCCGTCCCCCACTCAGCCACTCTCCAGCCGGGTGCCCTGGCCGTCTCTCTCTCTTCTTTTTTTAAGATTTTATTTTTTTCAGTAATCTATACACCTAACGCAGTGCAGTCCTCCTAACCCTGGGGTCAAGAGTCACGCACTCCACCAGCTGAGCCAGCCGGAGCCCCTCTTAATACTTCCTAAGTGTCAGTTTCCTCATCTGTACAACAGGGTAGTAATAGGACCGGGGCTGCAGGACCAAGGTCAAAAGTTGATGCTGACAAAGTGCTGAGAACCAGCGGCAAAACATAGAAATCCCTCAATAAATCTTCCCTGTTTTTTTTTTTAAAAAGAATTTTTTAAAATGTTTGAGAGAAAGAGTGCACCCTAGTGGGGGAGGGGCAGAGAGAGAGGGAGACACAGAATGGGAAGCAGCTCCAGGCTCTGAGATGTCAGCAGAGAGCCCGACGCGGGGCTCGAACTCACAAACCGTGAGATCATGACCTGAGCCAAAATCGGATGCTTAACCGACTGAGCCCCCTAGGCGCCCCTAGTTCATGTGCTTCTTATCCCTCTTTTAATCTACAGGTTCTTGCTCCCTCCTCCCTCTTCCTTCTTTCTTCCTTAATTTGTTGAAAGAAACAAACAAGCTTTTATCATGTAGTTTCCTGGTCTCTATCATTTACCACGCTCCCTTGCCTCCCATATTTTCTCAATACTGGCACTCAGAGAGTATTTATCAGATTTACATTCGATTATCTGACCAAAAAAACTCCGTACGTGGTGTTGCATTCTCCGTCAAGAGGCATCTAACACCCTGTCAGGAGGGGAGGAGGGGGTTGTATCTGTAGATAAAATAAATTTCAGTGTATTAAGTATTTATGAACAATCTTTGGTTTTAGAAAACTGAATTTCATTAAGATTTTTCAATGTGCATCTATTTTACAAGTAAAAGTATCATATCTTATTTACCTCTGTGTTGAGAAGGGGCAGAAATATGATCACAGCCCCGGGGAACTTTTCACACATGTCTTTAATATCAAGCTTACCTCACCCCGGAAGCCGTAGGTAGAAATACTAGCTAAATCCTCAAAGGACTGCAGTTTGCTTGTGGTGAACCTCTCACACACAATATCCAGATCTTCTTTCTAGAGAAACCAAAAAATAAGTAAATAATTAGGTTACTCCTTTTTCCCCAATCTTGAATTTCCCTTTTCTTGATTGAATCCAAGAAGAACCCTCTTAGGAGAAGAGTTTCAAAATTAGCAGTCACTGTGTCACTTGGCATTCGGAGTGCGACACGGTCCCCGGGGTCCCTTCTAGCTCACTGGTTACATGTCTCATTTGCTGGTTCCTCCTCGTCTGACAGTGAAGTAAGCTGGCACTCCATCCTCGAACCTCTCTGCTGTCTACACCCACTCTCTGGATGAGTGCTCCCAGGCTCATGGATTTTAGAAAAATCATTTTTATGAGAAAACTTCTTTATTAAAAATCTACAGAGACATTTAATTACAGTAAAATACACATAACAGAAGTGACCATTTTAACAATTTGTTTCCTCTGACCCTCCCCTGCTCACGCTCTCTCAAAAATAAAATATTTAAAAAAAAAAAAAAAGAAAGAAAAGAAAGAGGGAAACAGAATCCGAAGCAGGCTCCAGGCTCTGAGCTGTCAGCACAGAGCCCGACACGGGGCTTGAACCCACAAACCATGAGATCGTGACCTGAGCCGAAGTTGGACAACCGACGGGGCCACCCCGGCACCCCGGCCGTTTTAACCATTGTGAAGTGTACAGTTCGGGGCCATAAGTACATTCGCACTGCTGTGGCACCACCCTCTGTCTCCAGAACCCTTTCAGCCTCCCAAACTGACACTCTATCCCCATTAAACAAGAACTCTCCACCCACCACTCCCCAGGCCCCTGGCCGCCACCATCCTACTCTCCAAGAATGGGCCTCCTCTAAGGACCTCCGACAGGAGGAATCTTACAAAACCTTTTGTGACTGGCTTATTTCACTTACCGCAATGTCTTCACGGTTCGTGCACGTTGCGGCATGTGTCTGAATTTCAATCCTTTGTAAGGCTGAATGATATTCTATGACACGTCCATACCATGTTTTTAAATCTACTCACTTGGGGAAACCTGGGTTGCTCCTACCTTTTGGCTACTGTGAATACACCTTGAACATGGGGGTACAAATCTCTTCAAGATCTTGCTTTCAATTCTTTGGAGTATAGACTCACAAATTCTACTGAATCATATGGTAAGTCTGTTTAATTTTTTTCAGGGATCACCAAACTATCTCCCACAGAGGCTGCACTATTTTACATTCCCACCAGCAAGCACACAAGGCTTCCAATTTCCCTATAACCTTTATAATGCCTGCTATTTTATCTTAGTTTTATAACAGCCATCCTAATGGGTGTCAAATGGTATGTCATTTCTGCTTTTACTTGTATTTCTCTAATGGCTTGGGGTATTCTGCATCTTTCCCTGGGAGTCTCATAGTTTTTAATGCCATCAAAACACAATACGCTACATTTTTATCTCCACCCGCTAAACCTCTCCCCTACCCTGCAGACCCACACACTTAGTCAATTAACAGCCATCTTAAGTTTAACATGCTTCCAAATCAATTTCTGACCTGCCCCCAAATGCGTTTCTACCATAGGCTTCCCCATCAGTAAATGGCAACTCTTTTTTCCATTTGCACAGGCCAAAGCCTTGAAATCATTTTTTAAAAGTTTTTATTTATATTTATTTTGGGGGAGGGCAGAGAGAGAGAGAGCAAATCCCAAGCAGGCTCCAGGCTGTCAGACTCCAACCCACGAACCAAGAGATCATGACTTGAGCCAAAACCAAGAGTTGGATGCTTAACCAACCAGGCCACCCGGGTGCCCCAAACCTTGACCCTCGACTCCTCTTTCTCTCATACCATACACGAGCAAATTCTGAGAGCTCTGTCTTCATAATCAGTGCAGAATCTCACTACAACCAAGTAGGTCCAGGGCACGCTCACCGGTCTCCCGGACGGCTCCGAAAGCCCTCTCACCGCCTCTGTCCTGTCCTGCTACTGTCTAGCTTCCACAGTGTGGACAAATGGGTTCTTCCAAAACTCACCAAACCATGTCACCTCTTCGCTCAAAGCCATTTAACAGTATCCCACCTTATTCTGAGTAAAAGCCAAAGATTTCACAACAGGCCACAAGGTCCTACATGATCAGCCTTCTTATCCTCCAGACCTCCTCTCCTGATGTTCCTCAGCTCCCTCACCGCGGCCGAGACACACTGGCCTCCTTGCTGGCGCTTACACGAGTCAGGCTTGCTTCCACTCTGGTGTTCTCTCTGCCCTTCATGTCTCCTCGACCATCTTCCTGAGTAAGTGTCCGGCTTGGAATAGGAACTCCACATCTATTTATCACTGGTACTGAAAATTTCAGTCACAAATTGAATCCACAAGCGCCGCAAAGAGGAAAGGCCCTGCCACTGCCTGCTGATGCACCCCTCAAAGCGCACAAACAGCCCGCTCCCGAGGGTTTACTTACCCGGATCCCCGTGCCGTTGTCTTGGATCTGAATCAGCTTGAGGCCTCCCTCTTTAACAACCACTTGGATACTGGTGGATTTTGCATCTAAACTGGCAAATCAAACAGAAAAAAATTATGTTCTGTCCTATTCTGATGCACATATTTTAATGAGACAAGGCGTAAAAACAAATTCCAGATAAATACAAGGCTGTCTGATTAATGTGTTTCTCCTCTGTTTAACGGGCTCCGTGACTGCTGTGTGAGAGGGAGAAGAGAGAGGCGGGAGTGAGCAATCGTCGTTTCCATTAGGACATTTGGCACCCTTTCTGTTCCTCTGGGAAGGAAAGTGAAGTTAAAAGTCGGTTCTTTTACCACATGCCTGATTCTTACCTTCTTCTCAACTGATTGCCATTTATGACTTCAATTTTATTCGGCCTTGGGTTCCCGCGGGACCCTAGTCAAATGTCATTAAAAATATGTGTGTATGTGTGTGTGTGTGTGTGTTTATACTAATACCCTTTCAAGAAAATACATTTTGTTGGGGGAAAGGAAAAAAATGGCAATACAGAAAATTCTTTGGGAAGCCAGTAAATCTTAGGTACTTTCAAAGAGTAGCCAACAATCACAAAAAGCACCAGCTACAGAAAACAAATTCAGTCTGTGGCCTGCATGAGGGACAAAACTACTCTGCTCCTCGCGCAGAAAATTCTTTCCTCAAAAATAAGACAATGCGGTACTTAAATACCAAAGCCCTTTCTCAGGGGCGGCCGGAACGAGTGGTCTCAGCCACCTTGATTTACATACTGAAGAAAGTGGACTGGATCCCACCCCCCACCCCCGGCCCCCAGCTCGCAGAAGCAGTGACACACCGCTGGGCTGGCACACTCGGTTTGGCGGTGCAGGGCTGTGGCACGTCGGGGTCCCAGGCCCACGGCGCACGGGCAGTGAGCTCCGCGACAGAAACAAAAGCCAGCCTTCACACCGGGTGCGCGGAAAAAAGTTTCCAGGGTCCCCGCTCCGCCTTCTGTGTCTCTTCCAATTCTGTGCCTCGGCCTCCGCGGTCCCCTCCGCACTGTTCCGTTAGTTCCCCTGCACGGCCGTGTGTGTGTGTTTCCACAATATAACCCCCCGTGTGTATGTGTGTGTTGTGTTTCCACAATAAACCCGTGTGTGTGTGTGTCCATCCCCTCCGCACTGTTCCGTTAGTTCCCCTGCACGGCCGTTTGTGTGTGTTTCCACAATAAACCCCCGTTTGTATGTGTGTGTTGTGTTTCCACAATAAACCCGTGTGTGTGTGTGTCCATCCCCTCCGCACTGTTCCGTTAGTTCCCCTGCACGGCCGTTTGTGTGTGTTTCCACAATAAACCCCCGTATGTGTGTGTGTGGTGTGTTTCCACAATAAACCCGTGTGTGTGTGTGTCCATCCCCTCCGCACTGTTCCGTTAGTTCCCCTGCACGGCCGTTTGTGTGTGTTTCCACAATAAACCCCCGTATGTGTGTGTGTGGTGTGTTTCCACAATAAACCCGTGTGTGTGTGTGTCCACAATAAACCCCCGGACACACCTACCATTCTTTGCGGTCCTTTTAGTGGATCGATTTTACGACCAACAGCTGCTGTCAACACGGAGGTAACGCGGACGCACCCCACGAAGCTTCCAGGCCACCCCCACCTCTTGCAGGTCTCTAAGCTCTTCCTCCACAACGGGACACGCCTACACTTCACAGTCCACGGGCCACCCCACACGCTCTGGGGTCTTCGATGTGCTCCCCAAGGCAAGGTAAGGGGGAGGAAAACACGAAGTCGGGTCACTAACTCGGCAACCAGGGACATCACAAGTTAAACCCTGACAAAGCCCACCCGCCGGTCCGAAAATCTCGACAATTTTTTGGAATAAAACTCAAAATGAACTACACCCCTGGCTGAATGATTATTTTCGGAACAAACATAATACGCATAAGACGGTATCTCTGAAGTATGAAGTGAGCTTCCCCTTCCGAAAATTTGTATGCATTTAAAATTTTTCACTTTCCACACATATGAACAAAAATCATTCCCCTTAACTAACGGCGCCATTAACCCAACGCTACGCGACCGCCGCTTGCGCCCCCCGCAACTCTACAAAAGTCTCGCGAGAGCGCTCAAGACTCGCGGTACCCGGGCAGAGACAAGGCAGGACAGCGAGAGCTCCGGCGCTGTGGGCATGCGCCGTACACGCCTCCGCCGGGGGCAGGGAGGCGTGTCCGCGCCATCCCGAATAACGGCCGGTGACGCCCTAGCCTCTAAGGAAGCCCGGCTCCACTCCCTCCCTACCAGTTCTCAATCATCTCCTTGATGGCATTAGCCGGCCGCTGGATAACTTCCCCTGCCGCGATGCGGTTCACCACGGTTTCGTCCAGCCGCCGAATAACCCCCGCTACGAGCGACATTTTGGCGCCACGGGAGCCCGAGACGCGTCGAGACGCTCACCGGAAGTGCCTTCAGCCAATCACCTCAGGGCTTCGTGCTCACGTCTTTCCACCAACTCTGTTTACGCTGCCCTGTCCGACCTGCCCGCGGCAGCCGCCTCGGAGCGAGGGAGCTATTGATTGGGCAGCCGGCACGCCAGTCAAGTGTCCTAAGTCCGCGGGTCCCCGGCTCTCTCGGTCCCTCCCTAGCGCCCAGCTTCAGGCCGCCGGCTAGAAGGCAATGCGCCTGCGCGCTGCCCACTCTCCCATTGGCTCGTTCCCGGGCTAGGGACTACGAAATCGCCAGCCAATAGGAGCGCGGGTGCCGTAGGCGGCGGTGGGTGTCCCCCCGCTGGGGTGATCTGGCGCAGAGCGGAGGAGGCGCCTGCCCCTGCTGCCGCCCGCGCTCCCCCTCTGCTTGCGGCCTCGCGGAGGTCGGCCCCATTCTCGCGGCCTGCAGTACGATGTGGATGACCCCCAAGAGGAGCAAGATGGAAGTCGACGAGTCTCGGATTTTCCGGCCCGAGTGGACCCAGCGCTACCTGGTGGTGGAGCCTCCGGAGGGCGAAGGGGCCCTGTGCCTGGTGTGCCGCCACCTCGTCGTGGCCACCCGCGAACGCGACGTGAGGCGCCACTACGAGGCCGAGCACGACTACTACGAGCGGTACGTGGCGGAGGGCGAGCGCGCGGCCCTGGTGGAGCGCCTGCAGCAGGGCGACGTGCCGGTGATCGCCCCGCTCACCCCCGAGGAGAGAGCCGCGCGCGCGGGCCTGGGGCTCGCCCGCCTCTTGGCCTTGAAGGGTCGCGGCTGGGGGGAGGGGGACTTTGTGTTCCAGTGCATGGAGGTGATGCTCAGGGACGTGCTGCCCGAGCACGCGAGCGTTCTGGACGGCGTGGATTTGTCTCCAGAGGTCACGCGGCAGAGGGTCCTCAACCTGAGCAAGGATCTACGCAGCCAGCTGTTTAACCGAGCCAAGGACTTTAAAGCCTATTCGCTTGCCTTGGACGACCAGGCCTTCGTGGCCTATGAGAACTACCTCCTGGTCTTTGTCCGCGGCGTGGGCCACGACCTGGAGGTGCAGGAAGAGCTTCTGACCATCATCAACCTGACTCGTCACTTCAGCGTCGGGGCCCTGATGGCGGCGATCCTCGAGGCCCTGCAGACGGCGGGGCTCAGCCTGCAGCGAATGGTCGGCCTGAGCACGACCCACACTCTGAGGATGATTGGTGAGAACTCGGGACTAGTGTCCTACATGAGAGAGAAGGCTGTAAGCCCCAACTGTTGGAATGTTATCCATTACTCGGGATTTCTGCACTTGGAACTGTTGAGCTCGTACGATGTAGACGTTAATCAGATCATAAACACTATATCGGAATGGATCGTTTTGATTAAGACCAGAGGCGTTAGGCGCCCCGAATTTCAGGCCCTACTCACCGAATCGGAATCGGAGCATGGCGAGAGGGTCAACGGACGATGCCTGAACAATTGGCTTCGAAGAGGGAAAACCTTAAAGCTAATATTTTCCCTGAGAAAAGAGATAGAAGCCTTCTTGGTTTCGATAGGGGCAACAACCGTCCATTTCACAGACAAGCAGTGGCTTTGTGACTTTGGCTTCTTGGTGGACATTATGGACCATCTTCGAGAACTCAGTGAACTCCTGCGAGTTAGTAGAGTCTTCGCTGCGGCTGCCTTTGACCATATCTGTACCTTTGAGGTCAAGCTGAGTTTACTGCAGAGACACATGGAAGAGAAAAACCTAACACACTTTGCTGCCTTCAGAGAAGTGGTCGATGAGCTTAAACAGCATCTTAAAGACGATCAAAAGATATTTGATCCTGATAGATATCAAGTGGTGATCTGCCGCCTACAAAAAGAATTCGAGAGACACTTCAAGGACCTCAGGTTCATTAAAAAGGACTTAGAGCTTTTTGCAAATCCTTTTAATTTTAAGCCTGAATATGCACCCATTTCAGTAAGAGTGGAGCTAACCAAACTTCAGGCAAATACTAACCTCTGGAATGAATACAGAGTCAAAGACTTGGGGCAGTTCTATGCCAGCTTGTCTGCCGAGTCTTACCCAATCATCAAAGGGGTCGCCTGTAAGGTGGCGTCCTTGTTTGATAGCAATGAAATCTGCGAAAAGGCGTTTTCGTATTTGACTCGAAATCAACACACTTTGAGCCAGCCGCTGACAGACGAGCATCTCCACGCCCTGTTTAGGATCGCCACAACCGACCTAGAACCGCATTGGGACCACCTTGTGAGAGGAAGAAATGAGCCCAACCCATAGGCCTTGGTAGTACAACATTGAGACCCTCAGAGAGAATCTAACTCTGAAAGCAAACGGTTGTCCGATTTTTCAAGTTAACTAATTTGGCTTGTGGCAAAGCACCAGGTTTATTCATCCAAATTGACCATGATTCAGATTCTTCTGACAGATGTTTTTTGTGTTTTGTTTTTTTTTTTTTTTTTTTTCATCTCAAGAGGCAGCATGGGACTGAGACATGCAGACACCTTTTTTTAAAATTTAATTGAATGACAACGTCATGGTCTTTTGCTTTTATGACATAATTGTTTTTTAAAGAAATTCAGTACTGATAATGTGAGTTGAATTAGAAGTCTGTTTTTCTGGTGTTTTGAAGACATTTTAGCTCTTATTTTTAACAGTGTTAAAATTTCGATGCATATGGTCTGAAGTTATCAACTCCATAAGTGTACGTTTGAGCCAGTTTGCAGAAACTCATAGCAGGTTCAGAAGTTTCTGTAAAGGAAGGACGTACGTACAGTGGAGGTATTTTGTCTAACTATCAAAATGTTTGAGACTATTTTTTTTAAACATTTTTCTGAGTCTGAAGTAAATATTGACAGATTTCCTCCTCAACTCCCCCCGCCCCCACCAGCCCTAGCAATGATATTACTAATAGAGGGAAATAATCAAATAAAATTTTAGGCAGAGGAGTAAGAATTATTTTTAAGTTGCTGGTTTAGGAGGCTTCCTGCATTTTGGAGATCAGACTAACCAGTTATTGGGGATTTCCCCTGAAATTTTCACACTTGGGTGCTGTTTTATCAGCTTGCCTATTCCAGGACTACGGTAAGTATAGAATCTTAATGGTTGCCCGTTAGTAATTCTTTATTCTACTCCAGATAGAAGTTTGGCCCTGTCAATAAAAAAAAAAAAAAAAAAAAAGGATGAGAGAATAAGATTTTTGCCCTCCAGCCTCAGGAGGTGCGAGATATTTTAGCTTATTATGCATGGGTGTTGCTTTATAAAGAAACCCTGTTACAAGGAAACCCTTTATTTTCAAGTGATACGACCTCAGATTGCGTTAGATGCTGGAAGTGGATTTATTATTATTATTATAGAGTTTAAAACTGTCCCACACATTCTGTATTTAAGATAGTGCACAAGTAGAAATATTTAACTTTCATGAAGCAGCTTTATTAACAGATTGTGGCAATTCCATATTTCTAGTGAGACATCTGCTTTGTGCTAAAACAGTTATTTTCAAACTTATGTTAACCATGGAAAGGAAATCTTACAGTAACGCCAAACGTATAAAACGATGTAAAGGCGGGACTCAACTTAGAGGTCCTCTCAAGTACAGTCTGCAGACTTGTGCTCAAGTCCTGTCCTAACCTTTGTAACACATTCTAGGGTCACTAACCCAGCAAATTCATCAAACCAGGTTACAGCCAAGAATTTAGAAGGAATTGATGCCTGAGCATTGAAAATCGATGCCGTAAGAGCCCAGGAACCAAAATTGCATCACTAGTTCTCATCCAGAAGCAGTGACCCCTCTTTCCAGAGGTTGTTGGAAAGCATAGGGGGCTTTTTTCGTTCTGACTCACTGGGAGGATTCTGCTGGCCTTCCCCCCGCCCCCACAGTGCATGGGACCGCCAGGCACAGTGGAGAACAATCCTTTGCAAAGTGCCGGCAGACGGCCTCCCCTGCCTTGTAGATTACTTTATTTTGAGGGCCAGGGCAAATTACCGGTAGAAGCAGAATGAGAGGGGCAAGTGTGGCAAACGGACAATATTTGAGAGGGGAGACCAATGCCAACATTCCAGGTTTGGCTGGTAAAGTGCAGTAAAGGCCTTGATGGGTTCTGGTAGCGCACAATGGCATTCGCAAGTCTAATTTATAACGAACCAGATAAAGGGCTCTGTTCCGTTAAATGTAATTAGAGCAGAAAAGCAAGTATTCACAAGCTAGTAACCAAGAATGGTCAAGTCGAGATTTTAGTTAACAGGGAATAAGCTTAAATATCTGGAAGAACAGCAGTAAAATAAAAAAAAAAAAAAAAACCAATAAAACAACCAGCCCAAAAAAAAAAAATCTACCGGTAATTTCCCAGGAGTTTGGAGTATTCTTTTTCATGGCAGGTGCTTCATTGAAAGAATATTTGGAGGACCTGCTTCTGCTTCCCTACCCTGGTTCCTCCAATATTGAAGTCTTGTACATTTTGTGAAGTTCCACTATATATTTTTGCTTCAGGTAATAAAACTAGTTTGCATCATGTAGTTACTGAGTTGGGGGGGGGGGAGATCTAAGAATTTAAAATTGACCCTAAATAGTAGAGCATTTGCTATAAATTAGTCTTGTTTGTACAAAAAAAAAAAGTGTGTATATTACTGTCTTCTGTATTAAGTAATTCTGTAACTGCATGGCAGTCTTAAATTTTTCTTTTCTTTCATTTTTTTTTGTTTTTTTTTTTTCTTTTTTACAAAATAGTTGTTACTGGTCCTGTTGTATCAGTGAATATAGTTGAAATAAGTACTATTTTTTAAAAGCCCTGTGTCCCTTTATATCTCCCATTCCTACTAGTTTCCTTAAAAGACGTGTGTGTATCCCCAGTATCCGTAGTAGCACTCGCTGCTCTACCCAGCTAGGTCCTCCTCTTCCACGTTCCTCCTCTCTGACACCGCTGACCACTTTCCCATCAAGTCCAGGTTTACTTCTGCGTCAGGGGGTAGAGACCGCCCGCAGGTATGCTTTCTCAGTCTCCTTCCTGGGTGCTCTTTCCCTTCCATGTTGGTGTTCTTGTCATTTTATAAGTTTGTTTCGGAGCTGCCTTTTTCTTTTCTACATCAGCCTTAGCCGCTGTCGTCTCTGTCCACAGCTTCAGTTCCTGTTTGTATGCAAATGGCCCCCGAATTCGTGTCTCCTTTCTAGGTCTTTCCCAATTCATATATCTAATTGCTAACTTCCATCTACTCTGCTGTCTCATGGACACCGCAGCATGTCCTTGATCTTGACCCCAAACCCGCTCCTTTTATGCTCCCTCTTCCAGTAGATGGCACGACCGCCGTCAGTTGTCCCGGCCCAAGCCAAAACCTGCCTTGCCCATGACCCTGCTCCCATCGCCTCCGCTCACGGACACGTCTGTGCCCAGCCTCCCGTCTGGAAAGCTGTTCTCGCTTCTCCAGTTCAGGCCGTCAGCCTACCTTAGTCACAGCAGCAGCATCCTCGGTCGCTTTCGCTCTGGCCGCCAGAGCGTCCCAGAAGACATACCCGGTCGTATCTCTCTCCACTGCTTTTCCCGCCATGTAGGATACAGTTGTCATCTTTGAGGTCTCAGTTTACATACCACATGCTCTAGGAAGCCTTCCCTGATGCCCTCTAGACTAAGTGCCCCCACTGGACCCTCTCAAAATACCCTCTTCTTTTCCCAGCTGTACGCTTTGTACACTTGGTTGCTACTTACTGATCACTGCTGGACTGTGAGCTTTACCAGGGCAGGGACTGTGCCTTGTTAGCTGTTCTGTCTGTAGCGCTTCGCACTGTGCCTGGCATTCCAATAAATATTTGGATGAATAAATACGTGTGTAGTGTTTTATGATCTCGAAGCCCTTTTGTAGTCTCCTTTGACCTTCACCGAGGTCCTCCTGCCTTAGCCTGCTTCTTGGGTGTTTGTTACTCACGTATCACAAATTAAGAAACAAAACGAACTTCTTTGTGACTACAGAGTTGTATTCCCGGAATTCAGTTCAGTGATTGGCATGTGGCTCAAATATTTACTGTGTGTGAGTGCTGTTGAGGGAACAAATTGCACTTTGCCCTGGGAAACAAGAAGTGAGGCCAGGATTCAAACCCAGGAATGCTCACATAAATCTATGGAGTATTAAGTCTTTACCTTCTTTATTTAGAAGTCTTATTTTTTTTTTTTTTTTAATTTTCAAAGGTAGACTTCCAAAGGAGCCTAGATGAAAAAGACTGGGCAGCTGTTTAGCAGACTAAGACAACACTTGGGTAATTAAAAAGTTAACACTCGGTATCAGAGAAAGATCGTGCTGTTTAAAATCTCCTTTTTCCTTTTATAAAGTGTCAATCCTAGAAGAAAATGACATACTGTTTACCTGCTACTTTCCTTTACAGATGATTTCTGGCTCCTCTGGGATTTAAAAGTAAGTAAATTTAATCAAATTTTACAGGGATGCCTCGGTCTTTCTGGACACTAGAAACTCAGTTCTCTTGCTTTCTTGCCCGCACAGCATCACCCCTTCTCGAAGGGAGGTTCCCCACAAGGGGCTTCTAGTCATGGTGTACTTAGATTTGCTCTTTTTCTTTGCTTTCTTGCTCATGTGCCTCTGAACTTAATTTCCAGGTAACGGGGGCTTTGGGGATTCGTGGAAGAACTCTAACCACAGCCTGTTTCCTTGAGCCCTTGTGACGTAAGGGATTAACCACTGCCCCACTTAGTTGGACTTGTAGTCTGTGGCACATTAACTCATCCAGAGATCTTAACAGTAGTTGTGACGGTCAGCCCGTGATCCTTGCTCCCACGGTGGGTTTTAATGGGTTTCTTTAATCTTATGGACTAAAGAATTCCTCATTTTTATCTTTTTGTAAATTGAGAAGTAAGTACTTGAATCTGTGAACTCTACCCCTTGCATTTCTGCTTGCAGCTTGATGGATTCTGAGTTCATCTCTTTCTTGTACATGTTGTCAGATGTGGCCAACAGCAAACCATAAAGCTTCCTTCCTTCCTTCCTTCCTTCCTTCCTTCCTTCCTTCCTTCCTTCCTTCCTTCCTTCCTTCCTTCCTTCCTCTCTTTCTCTTCTCTCTTTTCTCTCTTTCCTTCTGCCCCCTTTCAGTAAAAGATAGGTTCTGTGCCTCCCAGGCTTTCCCAAGAGACAGTTTTACCACTCCATAACAGGAATTGCCCCTACATAAGTTATTTCTTCCCCCCGCCAGTAGCAATTTCCTGAATGCCTCCCGGCAAAGCCAGTGTGTGGTACGCTAAGGTCTTTAAAAACTGGAGCCACTTTCTGTGTCAGGACGGGCAGCACTGTCCTACAGTCACAACCACAAAATCTCAGTGCCTCACGTAATGTCTTCTTGCAACTTGACTTGGGACTTTGCTCTAGGTCGGGGGTCCACAGCCTGCGGTCCACAGGCAAAATCCGTCCTGTTGCCCATCGCTGTAAATAAAGTTTCATTGGAAGACAGCCTTGCCCATGTATTATTGTCTGTGGCTGCTTTTGCTCAACCGTGGCAGAATTGAATAGCCGTGACAAAGAATGTGTAGCCCACTGAGTCTAAAATCCTGTGTGACCCGCATGGAGAATGCTCACTGGACCCTCCTCGAGTCTCACTCTGGGATGCAGGTTGACCAGGCAGATAGCATCTAGGGCGTGGCTGCTCATTTTGGGAAAGGAGAAAAATACAGCAAATCACTTACAGGCCCTTAAAGCGCTTTCACTGACCAACACCAATCCCATGGCCACAGCCAAGTTCAAGGAATAGTGTAATTCTTCCATGTGCCTCGTAGGAAGACCGAAAATATTTGGAAGACAACACTAGATTAACACATGGTTATGTCTCTCCATTGCTATAATTTCCTTAGAAATATTTTTTAGTGAGGCAAAACAGTAAAGGGTGGAAATATTAAGTGTATGCCTCAGTGGATTTTTATACATGCCCTTGAGCCCATCGCCCAGATCAAGATACTGAACATTTCTAGCAACCCCCGCAGATGCCCTTATGTCCCTCCCGCACACAGATAAACACGATCCTGACCTTGGTCACCATACATTACCTTTGTCTTTTTAAAGCTTCATGTAAATGTAACAATTATATGTACTCTTGTGTCTTGTTCAGTACTATGTGACTCATCCATGTTGCATGTGCAGTATTCCATTGTACGCCTGTACCACGATTTATAAATCCATTCTACTGTTGATGGAAATTTTGGTTGTTTCCAGTTTGTGGTTACTATGAATAAAGTCGCTATAAACATTATCGTATCTGTCTTTCAGTGATCGTGTGCACCCATTTCTCTTGGCATAGTCTTTGGTATATTCCCCACTTCCGTACTTTCCTGTGATTATTCATACAGCAACCAGAGTGATCCCTGCTGTAAAATCTAAATCAGACCATGCCGTTCCTCTGCTCAAAAAACCCGCTAATGACTCAGTATTATGATTAGAACAAAATCCAAGGTCTTTATCATAGTCTGCAAAGCTCTGTATGATCCACCCCCCGCCACATAGCCTTTTTCTTCCTACCCCGTTTTCCATTGTATCCTTCAGTCCCTTTCCCTTTCCCCGGGCGCTCTGCTCTGTACTGGACGCTGCCTTTTGAGTTGGGGAGTCAAGATACATGATTCGACTCTGTCCTTAAAGTGGCTGTGATCTACAGATAATTTTAACAAGCCGTAACTCTGGTTTGTGTCAGATCAATTACTACTTCTGTAGGGAGTAAGAGGCGAATTTACCCTGATTAAACTAATTAGTGTAAAATAATTTACAATTTTACAAGTGTAAAATAAATTACAATCCCTGCAAGGGATTTAGAGAGGAAGATTAAAACGGAAAAATTCCTTGATAAATTTGAGAGACGTTTACTTGCATTTTACTTCTACTGATTATGAATTAGAGTTCACCAACTTGACTACTCTTACATTTTACTATTTCCTATTACATGTTCACTTCCATGAGGGATAGGAGGGAGCTGGGGGTGGCGGGGGTGAGAAGACCGTGGAATAAAGAAGTGCTGTTAATAAGCATAGTCCAAAATAGCACAGTCGTGACCAAGGGCCTCAAACCTTGTACCTTTATTGGTCCGTTATGGATTATTATAAATATAGCAAAAAGTTTGACTTAAGCTCTTTCCACATTTGTTTTTACCTTATTGATACATAGTTGAAGTACAATAAACTGCAGTTTAAAGTATAAAACGTAATTGGTTTTGACATAAATGCATGAAACTCCCCACAACCAAGGTAATGAACGCTTCATCACCCCACAAAGTTTGCCACTTGGTTTTGACTACTGGGAAGGGAAGTTGACTAATTTAAGTGGGGGGGGTGGGTAGGGAAAAAGGACTTTTTGAAAGAATAGGAGCTCTGTCAGAGCTGTTGTTGACCTCCCTCTCTGAACGTTATTACTGCTTTTGCCAGCCAGCGTTTGTGCATCTTCCTGGCTGTTTCTCCAACACCATCCCCACCCCCCCGGCCCCCCGGGCCCCTGACCACTGACTTAGTTGCCTAATATGTCAATTCAACATTGCAGGACATGACTTGGGGCAGTGCAGTCTGGTGATGTCTTCCCCGAGGCCAGGTGCATATACCTGGAGTGGAGTGATGGCTACGAAGGGAAGGGTCCCGTACTGTGTTTGGTGGGGCTTTCTGGTCATAAGAGACCAACTTGTGCTTGCTGAAAGGGAAACAAATAGGAGTATCTCATGGAAACCATGTAGGGGAATTAAATTCAGCTGTCATTCAACGATCACTTAAAGCCTAGTCTGGGCACCAGAGACCCTGATTCTTTTTTTTTTTTTATTTTTAATGTTTATTAATATTTGGGAGAGAGACAGAGACAGAGTGCGAGCAGGGGAGAAGCCGAGAGAGATGGAGACAGAATCAAAGCTCTGAGCTGTCACTACAGAGCCCAACGCGGGGCTCGAACTCATGAGCCGTGAGATCTTGACCTGAGCCAAGGTCAGATGCTCAACCAACTGAGCCACCCAGTCGCCCCCAGAGATTCTGATTCCTAAAATAAATTCCCGAACTTCCTGGGTCTTGTCTATGCCCTCCTTGTACATCTGCTCATTGTCTCTAAACATCAACTTTAACTACATGTGCGTGCGTGTGTGCGTGTGTGTGTAAATGTCTTTAATAGGATAATATAGTTGTTACAATTGCAAAGAGGTTTTTCTCTAAAGGAGTTTGTAACATGCAGCTACAGGCCCAGTCCTGTGGGTGAGGTGTATTGAAGAGGGAGCCTCTATCTTGGGATTTCAGCTGGGCAGACACACCAAAAGTTGTCTATCACATCTCTCAGTGTTTAACAACCACTGACATTTAAAGTCATTCAGGGGCGCCTGGGTGGCTCATTCGGCTGAGTGTCAGACTTTAGCTCAGATCATGTTCTCGTGGTTCACGAGTTCGAGTCCCGTGTGGGGCTCTGTGCTGACAGCTCTCCTGCTTCTGATTGTGTTAGTCTCTCTCTCTCTGCCCTCCCCGTCTCTCAAAAATAAATAAACACTTAAAAAATTTTAAGAAAAAAAGTAATTCCAATAGGTTTATTGCCTCCTGTCACCAGGGTTCTCATTGAGCCTTCTGGATGAGAATTTCTAGAACTGAATATTAAAGGGTCCATAGAAAGATCATTTACTCTAACTCCTTCATATGTAAAGAAATTGGGTCCCAGAGAGGTGGCTAAGCTTATTCTGAATTACATAGCAGAGCCAGGATGAAAGCTATTTCCTGTTCTGGTGCTTTTCTCCCTCCGCCATTACGTCGTTACCAGATTGGCCCCTTGCCTCCATTCTTCTTAAGGGAATTACCTGTTAGCCAGGTGGAAGACCCCAGAATCCTCACAGTCTTGGCCTTTGGCTCTGGCTAGCAATGGCTGAGATGGTCAGGATATCTCTCGGCACTTACACAGAAATCTTTTGGGAATCTAGAATTCTTTGCATATTGTTACATTAGAAAAAATTAACCAAATGTTCATAATTTGATGTGTATTCTGAGACAGTCTATGCACTGTACTCAGTACCTGTTTCTAGAAGGTTTGAAAAAAATCTAAAAAGAATAGGACTAGTATGACTTTACGTTGTTTTTGAAGATTTTTCAACTTCTTTTTACGTCTCTTGCATATTGAATTAATTTCAATTTTTTAAAATTTCTTGGGAAATTTTCCATTAAATCAAGGTTTTCAAATTTATTATGTGGTTCATAACATTTTTCTTTTATGTCTTCCGTACCTCTGGTTATATTCCCTGTCTCATTCTTAATGTTTGGGCTTTCTCTTTTTCCTGATTAGCCTCACTACAGATTTTTATTTTTTTGTCCTTTTCAATTAATTGGCTTCTGTGTTATATCGGCACATATTTCAGTGCTATTATGTTCTAATTTATTGATTTCTGCTTTTGTTTTCTTGAATGTATTCTTCCTATTTTGTATTCTTTTCTTCCCCTTTGATTATTTTTTGCCATGTCCTTGAATTGAATATTTTTAAACTTTGTTTAATAGCTAACCTATCATCATTGTGCTTCAATCCTATTATCAATATAAAGGAGGTTTCCAAGGCCTCTCTTATGGCTTTTGTTGACTCAGATTCTCATCTGACTGACTGATGTGGATGCTACCGCACCCCTGAGATATCTCCTTTAGCACTGGGGTTCTTACTTCATTTCTAAAAACCAGGAACATTTTCACATAATTACAATGCTGTTGTCACACTGAATTAATTATTTGAGAAAAACTAATGCCTAGTCCATACACAGTTCTCCGCAATTGTTCTAAAGATGGACTTTTTACAGAGTGTTTCTTCAGATCGGGATCCAAGCAAAGTCCACACACTGTATGTGGGTTGTCGCTTCTCTCTTCAATCTCATTTAATCCAGAGGAGTCCCTCTGCGGGCTCCCCGTTTTCTCGTGCCATTATCTTGTTGAAGAAGCCAGGTCTGCTGCTCCATGCACTGTCTCCCACGCTACATCGATCTGGTTTCTTTCTTGTTGTATTGTTTAGTTTGTTCCTCTATCCACCATGTTTTGTGCAGTCTTAAAGTTCATGCTAAAGGCTTGATTTGATTCAGATTGGACTGTTGTGGCTACAATACTGAAAATATGGTGATGTGAGCCTTACAGCAGGCTTTGGTCTGCCCATGTCTTCCTCCACCACCCCCTTTCTTTCTTTCTTTCTTTCAATGTTTATTTATTTTGAGAGAGAGAGTACATGCCCACGAACAGGGGAGGGAGAGAGGGGGAGAGAGAGAGAAAATCTTAAGCAGCCTCCACACTCAGCATGGAGCCTGATGCAGGGCTCGATCCCATGACTGAAATCAAGAGTTGGACACTCAACCAACGGAGCCACCCAGGTGCCCCTGGCTTCCCCAGTTTTAGTAATGCTAGGATTGGTCAGTGGATTCAGGCGTTGCAGCCTCATCTTGCCTCTGTCAGATTCCATCCCAGTCTTTTACCTGATGGCTTTGGTCCACTGGTCATTGTCACCTGGATCTATTCTTTCATTAGGACTTATAATAATAATATAGTTGTCTTTTTAACTCTATCACCTTTTCTACACTTATGAGCTGAGTTCTTCTGTAAAGTAGAACTTTTCCTTAGTAATGAGGACTATTTAGTTACCTTGAAATACAGTTACATGCCGAGGAGTCACGGGCATGATCCGCAAGGGTAGGGATTCACTTGGCTTTAACTTCAGTGCCCGGACTGAGTAGGCCTCCACTAAGTACTTGTCGAAGGGACAACAGATGCACACTTCTTCCTCTTTATTTGCTAATTTTCAGAGTTAGGAATTGGTGTCTCCGTTTTGTTCATTGGGTTTTGGTTTTTTACTCACAGGTTCTTACATTTTAATCAAAATTTTCATTTCTAACCTTGAAGACTTTCTTTAATTGTTTCAGTTTGCAGTGATTTTCATGCTCGTGATGCCTCATCTTTGACTATCGGCAGCTTCTTCAAGATGGCTCCTGTGTCTTTTGCTACAAGCCCATTGGTCTTCGATAGCTGCCATGCTTTTCTGTGTAAGGTGCACTAGGCTCATCTCTATATCCCTATCCGTACTTGGTTCGGAGTCCCAGTTCCTTGAAGTAGAGGCTGGTGGGAGAGATCACCATTAGGATGCTGGTGTTGCTTGTTATTAGCAGTCTTTGCTTCCAGGGCTTTCTGGTGCATGGAGCTAAGAAACATATGCATTCAGGCCATATTAGTATTTCCATTAAAATTTTTAAAAAATATTTATTTATTTTTGAGACAGAGGGAGAGGGACAGAGTG